ATAGATTTATCCCGAATGTCCCCTTGGAGTTGCGTCCCCCCAGCTTCGGATATGCTGCATTAGAGCATTGCCCGCTCTCATATTCAGAGCAGACCGAGGAATATGGATTCGATCGTCTCAGACCCGTCTGGCGGACCTCGTCGCACATGCTGCGTTATCTACGAGAACTTGATGAGCATTGCCATTCTCGCTCCGTGATTGAAGGTTCATATGACGAGCGGGACATGGATGTTTACCGATCTTTCGAAAGAAAGTTGGGAAGCCCCTCAACTCAATGCTCATGGAAATCCTGGCGAGGGGCGAATCAACCAGGAAATACCTACGTCGGAGGCAATCTTCTGCGATCCCTTCAACTCTGTGGGGATGTGTCGGGAGCTTCGACCGTCGATAGGACAGAGCTCCTTACGGATTTGACGGAAATTCGCCGAAGATCCTCGGCAACGACGGTTCGGAGGAACGGGCCAATGGGAAGACACCGAAAAGGACGAGCCTCGGCGGAACTGGAGCCCGGGATCCGATCATCAGGCTCGCCAACTTCGCTTCTCCGTTCGGTAGATTCACTCCCTCTGTCATGACTCCGAGGATGCCGATAACCTCGGAACATCGCATTAGTGGTGGTCCGGATCCCCTCAAAGAGTCGGACAGCAGCAGTGCGAACCTTGTTCATCTCTCGGGAACGGCCGATCGTCACGAGACGTGATTGTTCCCACCGCAGAATGAAACAAGCATTCTTGGGCACCGTAATTTCTTTCAACGGACACCTGCGACGCGGGACTCGAAATTGGAAATGCTTAATTCTCTGTGACGTTGATCGAGATAGATGCCGCCCAACAGATATCCGCCGAGCTCCTTTGGGAGAAGCTCTTGACTGACTCCCGAGTAATCGTTGTTATTGTCGGATACGACGGAGAACGAGAACTACGTAAAACAGAAAGGCGTCGAGAGTTTTAAGAAGTGACTTGATGCAGAACCAGATTTCAGTGATGCTGCCGTCGTTGGTTCTGCTGCAACGACGCAGAAACGAGTCGTCAACAGCGAAAACAGCCCGAGCCAACCAACAGCGTCGTCCACAGAAGTATGTACCACCTCCACCGAAGCGGCGGCACCGCCATTCGAGTCAAGGCCGTAGTTGAGGAGGAGAGGAAAAATTCAGAAAAAATAAATAGTCTTGTTGTTTGCCACGCACCGAATTCTTCGCACAGAAAAATTCAGAGCATCTGTTTATTCATATGAGGAACTTCATCTGGGATCTGTCGAGGTGCTCTCCAGTGATGATTGCTCGGGCCTTGAAAAGCACGAAGTTCGCAGCGTCCGGCTTTCGATAATATAAATTCATCGGTGCGCTCCACGGGCTGAACGATTCCATCGATTCAGTAGCTGTCGCTTGGGCTGCGGGTGATCGTGGTGGCGTGGTCGGAGAATCATTGCTTATCGTGGGTCGCTCAGCGACGCCATTGGTTTTGACATTCCGGGACCCACTTCGGCGTGGTCTGGAGAGCGAGCACGTGGCCGTTCCGTTAGGAGGCGCCGCGCTCGCAAATCTCTTTCTTCCTTCTTCTATTCTTGGAAGGCACCCAAATCTACTCGCAATTTCCAGCCAGCTCGTCGAGCCTTTCCCGATAACGGGTCGAAGGAGGGCTCGCAGCGCTCGTCGCTACACGCACTGGTTTCCAATGGGAATCTCTGACTATCATGAGCGATAACCTGTTTGATTGTCGTAGTTGAGTTCGATTGATTAGTCTCGGGAACATCACGCCAAGGATACAGCGTAAGGCCATAAATCCCTACTACCGCCCTGGAAATGAGCTCAAGGGGAACCTTCCGTTGCGGACCTCAAAATGAGACTTCGCGGAAACTGGAAAATTCGACTTCGAGTCCGCATGACATCCTTGTCATAAAGGCGAATCCCTCCTCTTTATTCCCCCAGGTCCTGCCTGAATGATGAATATGTATTTCGAGCGATGAAGGACACGAAAGAAGAATGAGGAAAGAAGTCTTTGATTCAGATGTTGCAAATCGTGAAACGAATCGATGAGCTGAGGCTCTGTAATGGGCCGCACCATCGAACATCAGCTTGCAAGTCTTTCCCGGAATAGAATCGCCCGGCTTTCCGTCCATCCTGAGAATGTCCGAATCGGGAGCATGCGGGAATCTCATCCGGAAACTTCATAGGAAGCTAATCCTGAGAGCGCAGTGGAATATTCCGCATAGGAGACTCCCCCTGGCGCGTCTTCTAATGACGGAAACACTATAATGGAAGTGCGCGGTCTGACCGACTCGCTGACTCGCCTCTGGAGATCATCTCTGAAAACGAAACTTGCCGCGGCCTCCTTGAGACCGCTGAAGAAAACATCGAATATCGACCTCTGTCGCGATTCGCTCCTCTTGTTTTGGCTTCTCATCTCATGCTCTTCCATATTCATCCAATACTCAGACTGATTGTCCAAATGTCATTCGTTCCCAGATAATATTCACCACAGTCGTAAACCGGATGACTACGAATCACCAGTCTGGAGCGAGACCTTGCTCCTAATCTCATGGAACAGTCAAGTAAATATTTCATGTACGAGCTCTTTATCCAACTACGTGGCCTTTCTCTCAATGAGCGAATGCGTGACCGCGCGGGCTGCTGGGTTAAGTGACGGACCTCCATAGGCATCGACGGATGCCGGCCGGCCGGGCGGCATTCTCCTGCGCACTTGGGGAAGCCACGAGTAGCCTTGGATGACGTCGGATGGTGCGACGCACGCCGTCACAAACAAGAGAGAAGACTCTAACGCCTGGCTCGAGCGAGACGCCCGTCCGACCGGCATAGCTGCCGGTCCGCCCGCTGGCCGGCCGGCGACGTTCGCACGACTCGGCCCCTGTCGAGTAAGCTCGTGTTGTTTTGTGCGACTGTTCGCTACCCGAGCGATCGCTCGCTCCGACCGAGCAGGCGGAGGGACGGCGCAAACACGGGCCCCGGCATTAGTGCTGACTGCTGACGACGGACTGAGACGCAGTCGTCTTTGTTGTTTAATGGTTGCCTCTCTCCGTTCGGTCTTGATTTTCTGCGTCGCAGCGGCTTTCGGAGATGACGTTCTATGCATGGATTTCGTCTGAACGGCTCAGCTGCGAGCACTGGCCACAACCCGTTCTCGCTTCTCGAAACAAAGGAAAAACTGTCCACGGAAGAAAAATCTCCTGACGTGAGCTGAGACGATCTGGAGGAAAACTCCGAGGCTTACGCTCCGTCCCCATGACTGATCGAGCGACTCCGAGGGAATCCTGGAGGAGCTCCAGGAAAATCACCTTGCCGAATCTCCCAGTAGAACCGCTGAAATCCACCCGAGGAAGCCGGAAATTGCGATGTCTCTCTCGGGGAACGGACTCTCCGCTGGTGGATCCCCCTCCCCGTGGATGGCGAAGAGATTCGAGATTCTCAATCGCTGTTGAGCGAATAGTCTGCTCCGGAGAGTGGCAGAAACGAAGATGCTCTCATATGGGGTTTTCTCAATCAATGACGCTATGAGCGATGACTTTCCCCTTGACGGTAGAAGAGTAGCACGGCCGACTCCGGGTTGTGAACTGGCACCGTAGTCATGGAAGCCGTCGAGTGCATTCCCCAAATCTACGGGAGGAAGTTCGACCTCTAACTTGGAACTGACAGCCTCTGCCTCGTGATCGTGGCGATTCTACAAATCTACCAAGGACAGAGGCGTAAGATGAGCCAGGGTTTCTGTTTCGAAATCTCTTAAGCATGACTGTCGATGGGTTGGATGTGCTGCTTATTATCATTCACAAAAGTCCGATAAAGTCTGAGCCTCTGAAGCCTCGACTACTTCATTGATTTGGAGAGAAATCGAGATATGCTGCGGGGGTCAGGTATGGCAAGTGTGATCATCGTTATCTAGAAACCACGGATTCGCGCACAGCCGCTCCTGAGCTTGCTCTCGCTTTGAACTGCACTTGAGGTGGAACGAGCAGCCTGAGGGAAGGTACGCTCGTCGCAGTTTGGATTGTGGCACATCGATTTCCCAAAGAGCTCACCCAGGTCATGTGCTTCGCACTCTTCGAAATGTAAGAGAGCAAATGAGTAGTTCCGAGGTCGATAAGTCGCGCGGGACCGAGTGATGTCCGACAAGCCGCAAACACACCAAGAATCGTTCTTGCCTCAATATGTTCAGGTGATCGATTTACTCATGTAGACTCCGCTCATGAGTTCACGAGTAGGCCCTGCGCAGACAATAACGTGGTCTGACTCCGTCAGCGTCGATCTGAAACCTGATTTTAGTCGGCGCGCTACGCAGGTAACCCATCCGATTCTGTCCCAAGGAGTCGTGGTTGAGATTGAAGATGGAGAACGCTCGGAACATGAGTCGAGTCAGGTCCGGCTACAGAATCCCTCAGGATAACTCGAATTCGCTCGGCTCAAATTTCGCCCCCGCTTCGAGACTCGAACTTGTCATTTCCGTTCTCGCGATGTTTTCATCTACGCCTATATCTTCTAAAGTACGTCAGAGCGTCGTACTGGAACCCATTGCACTCTTCGAAATATGAGGCCATATGTACGTGCACTGAGTTTTTTGTATACAACATTCGTCCACTTGGTCAACAATCTCAGTGCGGGACTCGTCTGCTCTCCATGTTCTTCTCGTTATGGTGGAATCTCCCCGTCAAACTTGAGCCACGCGAGAGCTACTCAAGTCCCAGATGCCAAGGCTACTCTGAAGCCTAGATTGAGGATCAACGGTCAATGTGAGGAGCCCAGAGTGCTCAGGCATCAGAAATTGCGATGAGTAGAGTTGTTTCGAAGCGCAGTCGTGACCCTGGAGTTTCTCCTCGCAATCTCATATCAGGGACTTCTCCTGGAACGAGTGACCGGTCTATTATTTTTATAATTATTATTATCGGTACTGATGCCATCTATGTTTGCAGAGTTTGAGCGGCTAGATCCGTTCCGAATCCCACGCTCGGATGTAAGAGCACGGATGTGATATTAGAATATCGACGTTCTCAGAATGGAAATTCTAAACCAGATCACAGTTCTCGTCTCGAACCCTCCGCAGGGTTCCGGAAACCATAGGAGATTGAGGAAAGGCTTCAACCTAGCGACAGCCGACACGAGAGGATTCATGAATTTCAAGGCGTTCTCGAAAGCTATCAGATATCCGCTCAAATTGGAGGTTCAGAGAAAACTTTACGACGAGCATTTCAGAGGAGGTTTCGAAAACCGAGGCCTCGACTACCACCAGTTCCTGGATGTCCTCATGAAGCTGTCAGGCCGACCGCGCGAAGATCGGATCAAAGATATTCTGAACTTCTACAGCGACGGTCGGGGTAACATTTCATTCGAGGACTTCGAGAACATCATTGCGGTCGCCCTGCAGCAGATCGATTTCCAGATCGGTGAAGTGGAGCTTCATCGACTTGTCGAAACCATTCTCAAAGGCAGACGTCCTGGAGGCTATAGAGTCGAATCCGTCCGCGAAATTATCAGACAGTGGAACAGCCTCGATAGAAGAATCGGAGACATCCTGTACTTGGCGCTATTTCTAGAGCCGAAGGTTCCCCTGAACACGACTAAACACATCAACCGTTATCCGAGTATTTCTCGACCGCGGTCTTCGGCGTCGAAATCGTTTTTCGTTTTCGTCGTCGTGTTGTATTTCTCCGCGATAGCTCTGCTCACAGCGGCTGTGTGGCTACACGCACGTTCGAATCCGACAGCCACGAGGAACGCTTGTGAAAAACGCCACTTCGAACTATGGAAGTCCTCCCTGCTCAAGCTGAACGAGACTCATCGGGTTCCCGAGATCTCGAGCGGCGCCGGGACGGTCCCTCAGCTGGAGAGCGAGGAATACAACATAGCCAAGAGCGTTGTCACGGAGCTGTTGAATTTCCACCTGTTCCTCGCATCTCTGCTCACTCTGAAGTTCGTCAAAGTTGCGCTCTGTCAGAAGCCTCTATGCGCTTATCTGAGCCGTGAAGACGTCCGTTTGGTCCTCTGGATGGTCGGCTTCTCCATAAGTGTTCTGTGCGCAGTCGAATACGGACTCCTGAGCTCTCGGGTGGACCGTCGAAACGTTACATCGACGTACTCGACTCTGGGGACATTTCTGTTCGAGAGTCGGATGCTCAACCATGTTGCATCAGTGACGAAGATCTTCATGATAGGGATCACTCTGCTCGTGAGAGTCCCAGGTATCCGAAACAGACTCGTCCACTATGCGTTCGACGTCGGAGAGCCGAACCTGAACGTTTTCATCGCGACGCATTTGCTGCAAGAGGAGTCGTTCCTGAAGTGGGCTGTTCCTCTGATCGTGACGTACGCTGTCGATAGCTACCGGTTTTGGAATATCGACGAAACGATCCAGAGCCTCCACGCCTACATTAGCTCGACCAGCGGGGGACTCATCTTGACAACGAGCGGCAAACATTTGGAATTCGAACTGGGCGACGTCTACTTCCTCATCGTGAACCAGGTAGCCGTGAGCAGCATCGTTCCCGCGTGGATCATCTCCTCGCCTTCTGACAAATCGAGTCTGAAGCTTCTCCTGCACGAAGGTCATTGGCAAACTAAGATTTTGAGGCAACACCTGAAGAGAATCATGAATGGACAGGGCAGCTGGAATGTGCTGAAGGACGACGACGACGTACGCCGCGAGAGTCGGACCGTCAAGAGAACCCAGGGACCGGACGACGGGGTCACTCAGAAGCTGCGGCAGAGGAATACTCTGATCCTGTCCTCCGACAGCGACAACGACCCCAATCGATCCGATTGGCCGCATGCGACCCTGATGCAAGTATCTTCGAACCTGAAGGCTCGGATCAAAGGTCCTTTCAAAAGCGTGAATTTCCTCAAATACTCGAGATACTCCTCGATGATGCTGCTCATAACTCCGAAATCTGCCGGGGCTGTCATGGCGTATCTTCAACATCACTCGGAAACGGAATCTCAGCAGAAAATTGTTCTGTTCTTCGCCGCTACGGAGTTCCGTCGCGTCGAGTGGTTCGTCGCGAATCTGGTTCGTTTGGAGATTCGTCAGATGGAGCGACATCTGAGGCATGGCGACCAGGATCGGATGAGCTGTGGGTCGTGCCGTATGTTTTTCCGCATTTACCTCACTTCGGCTACGAGCGGGCAAGATGCTCGGATAATGTGGGTTCAGTTGGGCATGGCTGTTCTCGCCGAGGGGAAGGCCCACCTGGTCAAGAACTTACAGAAGTCTCTCTACCCGGATCTGAATGTCGTTGCAATCGACAAGGAGCTGTTCCAAGACCTCGAGTTTGTGCTGTGTGACGTCGACTTCCCTTACGCCGATGCTTTCTTGTCGTTGTCAGAGAATGCCGACACCGAGATAAGGCACTTTTGACCGAACGCGAGGCTTCTTCATCCAGCTGGAGTGAACTAGTTGACTAATCGTTTCTTCGGAGTTGGTTTTTGTGGTCGCAAGTCGCGATATCCATGTTGTCTTTCTCTATTCACCGAAATGTGAGCTACATTAAAAAAAAATATTGTTCCAACACAATTTCGGTCCAATGCATCATTTAGGACCCTCTCTCCTCGCATGAGTACCGCAGTGGTTGGGGGCAATTCGCAGAAGACCCTCGCGCTCGAGAAGCGAGCTCATCTATTTTTCTCATCTGATCCCGGATTTCTCGGCTTTGGTCCTCTTCTCCAGGGGAACTTCATCGCGTTGAATTCCGGTCTGATTGTGGGTGATCTGCAAGGATTCGCTTGAACGACGAAAACCGAGGACGCCTGGAACATGGAACATCACCAGATGTTCGCGGTAGAACTTCTTCTCTTATCATCTTCCGCTTCCGCCGTGCCAAGGTCCCGGTTTCGGCGTCTCCCACAACGAACGATCGTGGCTACAGGAACACCTGGACTACCGTACCCCGCTTCCAGATGGCAGTGGTAACGGAAAACCCCTCTCGGATTCGATGATCCTAGTCAGAGACACCCTTTGGGGATCTCCATGGATGCATTGGCTCAAAAGGCAGGCAGGGAGAGTTCGAAGCGGTTCCAAACAGGAAACGGAGCGGAGCGGATGAAACGAGAGGTGTTTGAGCCTTTAGAACTTAGAATTTATTTAGCCTAAATTAGAATTTATCTCGCAATAGATTGCGAGACCTTCGAACTATCTTGTCAACAATTTATCAAAAATATTTATTCCGGCTTTCAAAGATCTCTACCGGCGCGAAATACTAAAAAACCACTGAGGCATCATGTGTCGGCAGTCTCTTCCATTTCTGCGAGTTTCGTTCTGATGAAGCGAGCAACTTTCGTATGAGCTTCCTGCTTCCTGATGAATTCCGTCGCATCCTTCTCATGGAACTTCTTGAGAGCTTCGGGGCCTCCCGGATGGTTCTTGAGATAATCGGTCACGTTGTACCTTCGTCCCTCGAATATAATGATTATTTTCGTCTCGGCATTCACCATTGTCTCTCGGGTTCTCGGGAAGCTCCTCTCTTGCTAAGGGAGGATCCCTCTAGGAGCCCTGCTGAGTAAGAATATCAATTCCTCAAGAAATCCCGGCGGTCTACCCCGCTCCACCCTGAAGGCCGGCTGTAAACACTCTTATCGAATAAGAGACCTTCACGTTGGAGTCGCAAGGGACGGGATTCCCCTTCAACAAAGGGCGCACGCGGTCTGCGGAACCTTAGGGCACCCGATCTTGCAAGCGGCAGGGTAAGGAACACGTCCCTCTGATTGACGGCTCATGCAAGAAGAGGCTAACCTAAGGAATTGATTGGTTGGTACTCCGGAGCTGGCAGTTCTCCTGTGCAATCGCTCCCCGTCAATGCTTCCATCGTGGCTATCGGCGCTGCGAGTTGATACCAAATGAGCGCGAAATTTGAATCCGAAGAAGGTTTTCTCACTCATCGGTCAACAACGCTTGAACTGCCTTAGTTGCCATGGCTGGCAACGCTCTCTTAATCGAGCAGCGGGTCGGCACGATAATCACAGGACGCATGATATTGGCTTACGCTTAGATTAATGTGAACTTTATTCAAATATATGAGTCAGCTGAGCGTGGACGAAACCCATTCGCTGATTCGGAATCATTGTATCGCTTCGATAGGCTTCGAATGAGGACAATTTTTCGAAACGCAATTAGAAGACTCAGAAAAATAGGTATCACTTCTCAAATGGACTGAATGAATGATAGTTTTCCCGGGAATTTTTAGGGCTAGATATCGATGGTCTCGGTCGCAGGGGTCATCGTCTCGCGGAGCTCTCCTTTTGCTCCGGGGTTTTTCGCACGGACCGTACGTTTGGCATTGGCAGGAGTCAAGGGTCTGCGAGCGACGGTGTTACGAGTCAAGGAAGTTCTTTCGGTGATCGGAGTCAAATCGTTGTTGTTCGCTAAATTCAAACTGGAATCGGAAGCGAATTGAGCTCGGGTTCGTCTGAGCCTCGGTTCTTACTCGCCATCGCATTGAGCTTCTTCAGAATATGGGAGGAGACTCACCGCAGAGCACCCGACGGACCCGGCGTATTCTGACGTCGGGTTCGCACGGCACATCCCACCGGCGTGGCGAAAGTACTTTCGATCTCTCGCACATTCCGACGCACGAAGCCCGCGCGACTTGTCCTGTAATCATCATTCATATGATTTTCGATCTAATTATCGCTCGTAGTCCAGTTTTACCATGTTATTGTAGCTCTTTGTTCTCTGCGATATTCGTGTTGCCGGCTGAGCGCTGCATACGAACCGGATAGCGATGACAGACTCTCTTGCGGACGTTGGACTTCTGACACCGGATCTGATAGGAGTGTCCGATGACTGCGCGGTCGGTGTGAAAGGCATTCGATTGCTCTGAAAGCAGTCGATTCTCAGTCTGACTTCGGGAACACTAAGAGCGAGAAATACCGAAATCTCGGGGACGCTCCGCAATTTCAATGGTAGAAACGGGGAAATTACCTCTGGCGGTTTGAACTCGTTCAGTCTCCGCATGAACACCTCAGCATTAACGAAGTTATGACCCTCATCTTCTGAGTCGACGCAGGTTCCCGAATTATCAGCTGGTTTCCACTCGGCGTCTCCTTTTGAGCCCCGCGCGGAGTCCAGATTAGCCTGGAGAGTTGTGATTTAGATTGTACTTCCAGGTGATGAGAGAGACAGAGAAGGCAGGCAGAGAAACAGACTCCGCCCATCGAGATCATCGGTTGAGGGGGCCATACATAGGATCGGACCACAAGTCGGGTCCCCAAAAAATCTTCACCAGGCGAAATCACCAGGGATTCTCGGACCGCCTTCAAGAACCGGGATGGCCCGACCTCGCTCGAGTCCCATGCGGCAGAGTCATTGTGATAAGAAGGAGGGGAAACGCCGTGGAGACTCACTTGAGATGCACTCTGTTCATCGTCGACAATCCGAAGAATGAAATCGTCCTCGTCATCTTCTGATTTATCTCCGGACGCCAGCCCATCGATCTCATCCAAGTCGGTTGTGGAAGTCTGCATTTTCTGAACTTCGTCGCACCGCGATTTCCGACTTCCGCTGCTTGTGCGGCTCAAACGGCGCGGAGATTGCTGTTGAGTCATCGACAACTTCCCGATGCTCGCCGCAACGATATCCGTGGCAACGTCGACCTGAAGAATGAAGAATGATGATATCTACGTAGAGACCTATTCCGAAGCGAACTTCATATCCACAAACGAAACTGCCATCCCGCGAGCGAAATTCACTCACATCCGAAGGCTCTGAGGTCTCCATGGGCGTGACATTCGGAAGCTGGACTTTCTCCGCTCCGCGGACATCTTCTTTCGGATTAATGAAAATCTCTTCACTCTGAGAAGAAGCTGGTATCGTTAGCTGAGGAAGCGTGGAGAGCCCTCTCCCTGCGGCGTCGTTCTGTCTTGAGAGTCTCGGAGGTTTCCGGGGAGAGCACCTGACTGCAAGACTCCCTCGAGGGGCAGCTTTCGTCGACGTCTTAGCCGAAGTCGACGGTGAACCCCTGCGAATGGTTGGTGTCACAGTCACTCCTCAGCGATCGTCAGCAATCTACATATACATGGAGCGCAAATGAAAAACCCCCGTATTCCGACCGGGGATTCATGATCACGCACCCCGCATCTCTCTTGTTCACTGTTTGCGTGTAGCTGTACTTCATCGCAGCTCTGACTGTCGCGGCCCTAAAGCGGGAAGACGATTCAAGCAATTATGATGTTTTCGGTCGATCGTGGAATCGTCGGGTGAATGTCGAGCTGCTAGAGACCTCGTCCCTGCACCAGGGTCATCTGATTCATACTGAGAATGTGGATATGATGATCGGAGAGGATCAATAAACCCAGCGTTCTCACCTCCGCACGGAAGTTCTCTGACGTTGCTGTCGTGTCATGACTTGACTGCTGTGAGCAGGTAGAGATCGGATAGAGGCATTGTTCCGTTCCAGTCGGCGACGACTTTCTCTCACGACTGCCGATCCAGCTTCACGCCTGTTCGGGAGAGCACACAGAAGTTCGATAAGATATTCGCTGCCTGAATCTCAATCCGGGGCTGGAGCGAGCCAAGAAGAGCTCCGAGGAAAGAGACCCACCTGTTCAGGAGTTTACTAACGTCCTCGTTAATCTTCCGCGAATTTGAACGCGTCACTCGGGTCGTTGTCTCGGGAGTGGGCTGCTCAGCCTCGGCCTGAAAGATCCGCTCCCAATTGAGCTTGAGAACTCAGGCATAGAAACCCCGGACCATAGGCAAACGAAAGGTCTCGGGACGAACGCAGAGAGATCATCGAGGGGAGCTAAGCTACCGAGAAGAGCTAAGCTATCGAGAACACGCACGGGGAGCCTAGGCTAGAGCTTGGACAACATCGAGTTGACGAAGAATGAAACGTTTGTCAAACGCGATGCGATGGTTTTATTAATTAAAGTCGCGCATTATCTTAAACGAGCTCCATGGGGCTCTGAGAATTACATCATTCAAACGTCAACGGCGATGTTGTAACGAGAGAACTAGTGAGGGGGAAATCGTCGTGAAACGGGAGTATACAAGTGCATGAGTCTGCCGATATCATGATCAGTGAAACCATTTTCCTATCCGAACTACGGAAGAGTCGAGCGATTATTCACGCGGTCGCTCGCTAATTGCATTGAGAGTATCTGAATCACATTCGAGAACGAAATTAGAATAAAATGAGCCCCCTATTTTGATTTCTTCGTCGAGTACAGTACCTCGTTCTGTAACGGAGGACTACTGAACGGATTCTGGAGCGTTCGCAAAACAGCACTGTTGTTCGAGTTCCTGACGATTTCGTGGAGTTTATGCGGGGGCGGAGTGTTTTTCTTAGCCTGTGAAGCGGGGGCAAGGGAATAGAAATAGGAAAACTCTTGGTTCGAGCACGTTCGAGGGGGTATCAGAGCTCCGAATCCGACTTAAAAATCCCGAGACAGCTCGAGACTTACCTTCGACATCTTTGGAGGACACGATTGGGGGACGAGTTTGCTGATCTGCATGCGCTTCGATTGGAGCTGTGGCGTCCGGAGGACCGAAGCGCGATGGCCTGCTGTGCCCTGTGGGGAGGATTCCCTCAGGATCGTACTCTCGAAATAAGAATTTGCGGTACATTCCGGAATTCCCCTGCTCGATGAACTCCCGATCGAGACTCACCTTCGACTTCAAGAAGGTGAAGAGTTTCTTTCTCGAGTGTCGTTCCGTTTCGTGGTCGCTGAGATCATCTTCCGAAAGCAATTCTTTGCTCTTCGATTCACGTAAAGCCTCATACTCAGGGGGTAGGACCCCTATCAGTGACGCATTGTCGATGAGTACCTGCAGCAGCATCCGCGGAAATGGTTTCAAAATACCGTCGCGCCGAACCGATATCCTTATGTAGGCGGATTCTGATTCTTTTACTTTACTGTAGCGGTCGCAAAGTCACCTGAATGGCCACCGTTGAGAGATCACTGAATTTCTTGGCTAATTCCGGATCCGTCTCGACCTTGACGATCCTCGGCATGAGTGACGGTGCCAACACTTTCGCCAAATTAGCGCTTGTCATTTTGTTGCAATTATCGTTCTTCGCAATTTCCTGTGGGAGGAGATTCTTGCCATCCTCCGGGTGTACGGAACAACACTGAAGTTCTTTGCCCTCTCGGAAATGAGAGGGGAAGAGAATCCAGGAGAAACTTACCTGAAGGAATACCGCTACGTGTTTCAAGGTGTTGAGATGGAATGTTGGGAGAAGCAAACACGAGAGTAAGAGAGCTTGAGTTCGATGATGATGGGAAGACTCCAACTCTACGCATTTAGCGAAAACGTCGTGCAGCAATCGAGGCACCACGGGCTCCGGGAGGCATCTCAACCACCTGCGAGCCGAAAGATTCGAAATCGATGAGCGGAGGCGCCTCCACGTATTATTTCATTCGAACAGAGCTCGAGGCCTACCGTTTCAGCACGCAGGTGACATCGTGAACGGAGTACTCGCCCTGGGGTATCTGCGCACCATTCTCTTCCATGAGATCTTTCAGGCGACTCGCTCGCCGTTCATTTCCGTTTTTACGCAGGAGACCTTCCTGCGGAGTGAGATAATTCTTCTATCAATCCCGGCTCGTTATGAATGGACTGCGCTCCTGGGAGCGGTGTGTGTAGACGGAGGACGGAGCCCAGCACGAACGTCTGCATGTTTCCGAGCTCATGCTATAATCGACATGGCAGGTCGCGGAACCCCGTAGATATCTTCGAAGCCAAGGCGGAGAAAAAGCATCGCATCACTTTAAGCTCTTGCCTGTGTCGCATGATTCTCGAGGATGTATTTAGTCACCGACTCCAGGAAATGTGGGACGGGCGCGTTTGTTAGAGATGATGTCTCCTACGGAAAGGGAATCGATTTTACCTCGTCCTCGATTCGGGGCTCGATTATTATCTACCCTGTATGGGTTTCGGGTAGTACCTGCTGCTGTTGCTGCAGAGAGACCGCGAAATATGTGGAGCTTTCTTGTCCACAACCTGTTGTTTCCTCATGGAGCTTCTTTAACGCGTCCCTGAGCTTCTTAGCTTTCGTGATCGATATCTTCACATTTTTCTTCTCCTGCATTAGAGAGAGAATCAGAATTCTGTTCATTCATCAGTCTTTACTCTCCTAAGCAAATACATCCATGGTTTTCCACCGGATGAGGCCCTTGGAGGTCTGGATGGGGTACCCCACGATAGATTGTTTCTCACCTGCAGGAGCTTGAGGATATTCACATGTAATTGACTCATTTCGCGGCCTGAGTCTACCCGACTCCGACGAGCGAGTCCTGAAATAAACCAGCCGTCATTAATCCGGAGCTCTAAGATTTGAAGCCTCTGCGCAAGCGTTCGAGCCGTCGGATCAAGACGGCTCTTCTCGCATTCGGACCAGATGGTACCCGAGCCCGAACAAGAATTCTCCCCAGAGCTTGTAGCTGATGATCTGATTATTCGAGGGACAAACCAAAAGTTTGTATGCAATTCTCCATGGCGAGCATAGTCACTTCGTTGTAAACGATCATCCGAGTCGCCTGACGGAACTCGTCAACGACTTCCTTGACACATGTGGATTTCAAGCGACAAGCCACAAGAGCGGGGCCTGATGTCCGTCAGGAGAAGAACAAAGAGGGACTTCATGCGAGTTTCGAGCTCGCGGACTTCACGTAGATAAGGAAGTGTCGCCGGTCGGACCGTGTAGAGTCTGCATGCTGATCAGATGGACGGGAATCCTCCCAACGAACCTTTGGTGCCTGACGAACTGGGGGATTCTTGCCTCTCAAAGCATCTTCTCCTGAAGCACAAGTCGAGCGCTGGCGAACCCACTTTGAAGCCTGCAGAGGGGCTGGGTCGAGACTGTAGCGGAGAGAAGTAGGAATAAGAACTCCTGATTACGGGGCAGAGGAATTATGGTGCTTCACGCCATATCGATTTGTGCGGAAGACCTCCTTCGAGGTTGGAGCCGCAAGGGTCTTCGATATCAGCGGGAAGCTAATTCCATCTAGTGCCAAGACGAGTAACGTTCCTAGAGAGGAGAACTGTCCTCATCGGGCCGAAATTTCGGACGCATGCAGTCACGGAGTCTGAGAGTCGCACATACTTCAATTTGATTAGGATGAGCTAAATATTTGACCGCGGGAAACTTGTCGAAACCTCGGCAGTATATTCCTTCCACAACAAGGAGGGATTTGGGAACCCGCCGTTTTCAAACGCCCGTTAGAAACAAACTCCGTACCACAGATCCGGTGAGGGTAAGTACCACGCATGCGCGCTTTTCTCGAGACAAGTTCACATCTTGTGCTGGGCTGAGCGACGAAATCTCGGACCGATCGAGGGCTGCCTAAATCTAGATTGCGGTCCGTACGTTCAGCGATCGGATGCCCCGCTTCGGATTTTCGTGCCTCGGGGACGAGAGAGAATGTTGCGCAAGATCTGAAGCTCATTCCGGTCTCCGATTCATGCATGCATAGCCGCTCTTAGCATGATGATGATGATCTCTGCTTCGGGCGAAAAGGCGCAGCGAGCTCTTCTCGCAGAAGGAGGGCGTAAGAAAAGATGAGGTTCGGTCTGTACGCCTGTACGCTGTGTACGGCGTACAATTGTACGTATACAAAGTCTATGGGATGTGCGTAAAAATGTGCGCGGGGTGATCATCAGGGCTTAGAGCCCCGGGCTAGATGCCATGAATGCCTTCCTCGGCTTTTTCGCGATATTTCACCTATCCCACGTTCGCTCCTGACATTTTGCGATTTTTGTATGCGGCTTACACCGGGTCAATACCGGAAGTCGCGGATGTCCAACTCCCTGAGCCGAGAGCGAGGCTCCATTGATTTTGCACTGGGCCCATCGGATGTATCCTGCGCTTAAGACTGACGAGGCCGCCACCATCCAGAAGTCTACGGACTTGCTAGCAACTGGTGACTTGAAACGACAATTAACTCTCATCGCCTCCAGCTATGCGAGTCTCCCCTGCTACCTGCTACACAACAAGCCTCGAACGCTCTGGACAGTCGCTGACGGCGTCGATCTGTTGTTTCGGAGAAGTCGAAAAATGAGCGAGGGCAGCCGAGAGTCCCATAGCCGACTCGATTCTGAAATAAAAAATAAGAGACGCACTCCTAGGTGAAGCAATCCACCCTAAACACTCACAAGCGTCGCCGATGTTGGTGATAGCTCTCGCCTAGATTTACCACGAGCAGTCCAAGCCGGATCGGATAGCGCGCGAGTTGCTCTCCGGCAGTGGCGCTTTTAAGGCGGGGAGGCGGAGTGGGCGGACCGCCTCGGGCGCCATTTGTCCGACAAGTTTCAGGGGCGCAACTATAGTACACGGAAACTGAAAAAAAACGGGAAATTCCACAAAGATTTCGCGAGTGGAATGGAATCCGTGGATCGAATTCTTGAGAAGGGGCGCCATTCCCGGGATGCGCCCCGGGCGGCACTTTGCCACCTCATGCTACTGCCCTTCGGCAGATCTCAGAGCTCAATCCATTCAAGCTCTCTCCTGGGCATCGTCAGCATCGACGGAGCTAATTCAAAACTCCAGAGGGATCCTCATGATAAAAGCCCTCGTCGGATATCGGAGACCACCGACATGTCCGATCTTGAAGCTACCGAACACAAGAGGGACCGATCGGAATCGATCTTCGCCTACAAATACTCTCGGACGAATACCATGCACGATACATATATATATCGAAGTTATTCTTCGTTTGCAGCAAGCCAGCATTCGAGCTGCACCTCTTGGTCGACACCATCTGCTTCTATGCTTTCGTTCAGTCGAAGCAAAGACAAGAGCCTTCCTTTCCGGAGGGGAAAATTTTATTATTGTAAAACTTTCCGAGGTGAATACGGTCCCGAGGGGAAAAAACGTTCCCTCTATTCGTCTTTGTTTTCCAGTCTGATAGACATTGCACTCTCGTCTCTTATCCATATATTATATGTGCAAACGAATCACGCTCCTGACTGTCAAATCGAATTGGCATCACATATCCATCAGAAAATTCATTCGAGACCTGTCTTTCATTCCACAAGATATCATCTTAGCGTTGAGCATAGCGGCGTTTCGTTGCAGCAACTTCAGGAAAATGCACAGATTTCACGATGCTGTTGACGTTGACTCGACGAGTCGAAACCTCCGGGCTCACTGATCGAACTCCATCCATCGCGATCGATCCTTGTGGTCCTCGAAACATACATGGGGTCACTCGGTACCAGTCGTAAAGCTCTCGCCTTGCATCCATTGCACTCATTCATGTCACAAAGCCAATCATACGAGGACGTCGATTTGCGTAGTGTTATTGCGAAAATTGCTGTATATGCACTCTAAGTTATATTAGTTCTGGTAGTCATGTTATAAATCCTGGTTATCAATTATACCGAGATATCAGGGCCCCGATCGTCGGGTTCGTACTGATCAGCATCTCTTCCTAATCCACAATCGATCATATAATGTCGCATCACAGTGAGAAATTATAGAAAAGGTACATTGAAAGCACGAGAACGGAACCATGCTCATGGGAGAGACATTCTCAGAAAATTTGGCGGCTCCGAAGTACGGAGAGAGTCACGCTGATGACCCTTCTCTATTGGTTCGACGATCTCGAGTAGTTATTGAATGGTCTTCTTTCGTGGAATGTGACTTCCAGCCTTGCGCGCATCAACGGCAAGAGGCTCTTGGTCCGTTCTTGCCTAGAACCCCTCGTTGGCAAAGTTCCCGGAGGGGCGTCGGCGGAAACTCTTTGTAGGCGATTCAATCGTAGATTTGTAGATCGGCCTCCACCATTGCCAATACGATGGACACGAAATTTGCGGAATTCGATTTTCCTCCCTTCTTCTCTGCCAGCCGTGGCACTATCGACTGTTGATGAACGAGATGCCGAACCGCGGATCTGAACCTTCCCGATCAGATTCCCGAGACGCTGTCCCGTCACGATATCGATTGAAGAAGTCTCCAAAGTCTCAGAAGTAGTTTCCAGAGTAATCATATGCACGATGCCATAGACCGGGGGAGCTGGGTGACGAATGAGATGTCATCGACGATCCAGGCGAACCACTCCGAGGGTCCTGGAACTGCGGAGCAAAAATTCAGGATATTCTCATCTAACCGATGCCTAGCCTCCGGTGATATATGGATGTATTCTAAGCTCCAAGGTCTTTCCCGACCTTTTTGTGAGTATATATATTCATTCCGTCACATTCTTTGTTCTCTGGCGCAGAAAAATCGTGCGAATGCTTCACTTACGGGTCTCGAAGATGTTCGGAAGTACATGCATTGGATCGACACAAACTAAGTCACGGCTAAAATAATTAAGCAAACTCACAATCAACTCTGAACGAATAAGCTTCAAAGCCACTCTGCTCATGCTCGCTCCGATATCGGATCAGCTTCCTCGCCGTCTAGCATAAGACGGCGACAATGTGTCAGAGTCAGAGGAAATAAGCCCAGCAACTCCGGTATAGGCCGACTTCCCTCATGGCGCATGACTCACCCTCAACATCTGCATCAACTCATCGAGGTGATCGATGAGGTCACGACGCGAGCTCTGCAGCCGACCGAGCTGTTCTTCAAGGTCCCCTTTGCGTTTTTCAGCAGCTCCAATTCGGACGCGCCCCCAGCCGCTGTTCCTGTATCTCCAGAGTCCGCCAGCTCCTGACGGAATTCTCCGTCAACCTAATTCACGGTGGGAGGAAGAAAATCTGGTATTGAGACCGTACAATTACGGCAGATCTTGCGACACAAATCAAGCAAAAGCTGACCTCTCTCCGGAGTCTCATAATTTCTTTCATCATCTCCCGGTTTCTCGTTTCAAGCTTAGCCACGAGGGCTTGTTTCTCATCGAAACTGTCGATTCGGGATTGTTCATCAAACATCCGTCTGCTCTGATCCATCATTGACTGAGTTTGAACAATAAAATAACGTTAATTTTTCCTAACGGACGATGTATCTCCGAGTGAATGATCTATCGCGCAAGGGAATCTCTTGGATAGCAACCGTTGGGTTCGCACAGGGGCTCCATGGAAACAAGGGAAATATTCCACACTCACAATGCTCATTGGTCTCATGTGAAGGTTCCCGAGTGAAGTGTACATTGGTCCAGAGGAGTTAGACGACGCATCGCCTAACCGCCGCGAATATCGCGCGATCAGCGAATGTTCTTCGTCCGGCGATTCGTCAGAAATGAATGAGGGCTCGACAATTGAATCGTAGCTCGAATAGAGTCCTCGGGGGAGACTTCCCCTGAAAGAGCGAAATTTATGGGAGTTCTCGGACAGATTGAGGGCTTCGTCCGACGGAAGGTGCCCCAAGCTGAGAACTCACCCGCGGACTAAAGAATGGCCTTGGCTGTAGAGCGTGCCAGTCCTGCCCAAAGTAGCAGCACCTTCTATCGGTGGCACTATGTGTGCGAGGTTCAGAGTTGCGGCGGGACGATCCACAACCCGAGGAATTGCGTCCCTCTTATCGGGAACACATCGAAATGATTTGCGCAGAGAATGTCCCAATTGTTTCGAGGGTGGTTTCTGGAATCGGCGGGAGCAAAGGACAGTCAAGTTGAGCTCGGAATGGGCCGGGATCCGGACGCTACCAAGGAAAATTCCGGACTCTGGAGAGGACTTACGTAAGAGGCGTATTCTTTGCATTGATGTTGCAAGGAATGCTGGTTCGACGTCTTGCCCTTCCAGAAGCAATCTTGGCAAAGATGATAATTGTAGCAGCGTTGGCATTTGTATCGGAAACCGTAAATATAAGGCGACCTGCAGCCGTCGCAGGTTACGGGGTGCATAACGTCTTCGACCGCGCTGATCTTCGCTATGAGAGGGAACCACAGCAAGCACTGTGGACCCGGGTCGCTGAGTACCACTTGCAGGAAATTGTTTATCGTGAACTTCCGTTCTGGCGGAAAAAGTTGGGCGGGTAGTGAGTCGACGAAGGCGAAAGAAGGGCTTTCGAGGAGAGATTCCGGAATGCACAAGGCGGCTTTCAGGAACAAGACCAATCGCGACGGCAGCAGCCAGCCACTGGAGTCCGCGATCAGAGAGAAAATGTCTGAAACACAAATATATACCTCTCTCTCGAAATTCCGAATCTGTCACCTCGAACTCTATAATCATAGACTCGTTCAGTCGCGGTGGGGACTCACAGCGATATACGTCGACGGTTTTCCCACAGGAAAGCATGGCGATGAAAACTTTGACGTTCAGCGCTGAGATAGCGCCCGTTCGTGCGATTGGGTCGTCTGGCGAAAGCGTCGGAGCCAACGGGAACGTGGCTCTGAGCCAACTCAATACAGAGGATGACACGATTGTCGTGTCGACCCTATCTGCTGCTGGTACTCGTTTGTTAAGCTGGAAAGATCATCATACGTATGTACATCGTCCCTTCTATCGATGGTCAAGGCGGACGACGGGGTTTCGGCGATTTTCTCGATTCCTGACCTGTGCATAGAGCGTTGTTAGGAGGGCACCAATGCGCGACAAATCCACGGGGTCCTCCGGTGTCACTTGATTGAGCGATTGCTCTCGTATAGCTTCGATAATATGCCATATATCGATTTGATTAACTGAAATAATGTAGGTACAGAAATCGTTGATTTGCGACAGATTTTCTCGGGAGAGGCCACGGCGGAACCAGTCGTCGTAGACCGGGGGGAGACCTCAGCTTTCGAGAAACTCACAGTAAAATCTTCGTTGTATGTAACGTATTTTGCAAGCCATCCGGTATGAGGCGAACCGGATGGAATCGAAATCTTGAGTTCCTGCAAGGAAACGAGCGAGAATTGATAGCGTGCGTCCCTGAACGAACTACGTGCACCATTCTGGAGGGCATGCGGTGAAAATTCGATTTGCATCGTTTCAAGCCAAATTGCCATGCGATGCTCTCCCGCCATGTCAGACGAGCAACGACCAGCCTACAGAGTGAAGAGCTTTTGGTTGTGGAATCCGATTCGGCGCTTACACGCGTCCGTATACTCTTTATTTGAACAAATTGTTTAATTTACACAAGACTGTCATAATCGTTTGCTTCGAACCGAGGACATTTATATGGCTCGAGAGCGACCATTCCTCAATTTACACAAATCTTCCGTTTGTAGTATAAAAAGCTGCGTTTCTAAACAAGAAGTTGATGGATCTCAGCAGAAGTGTACTGAGTCGGCAATTAGATCGTAGGAGCCGCACGCCGAGAGTTCAGAGGGGGAATCGTTCGACTCGGGAAAAATTGACTCTCGATGTTCGGCGGAGTTTGACTGGATCGCTCTTGCAGATCATACGACGGACAGGTGGACGCTGCGTCTGCCTGTCCTGCTGCCTCCCCGTCGACAGGCCCGACTGCCTGGCCGGCCAAGAGGTAGATAGATAGATAGATCGACTGATTGTTTACTTGCGGCGGTCGATTCGCGACCGTGGCTCGTTCTGAGTTCTGAGTTATGACTAGATAGGTGCGATCGTAGCGTCTGTTTTGTTATTTTCAGATCACAAATCATGGACTGAGGAAGTCTTTGAGCAGAATACTTCTCCGCTTCTCCGCGATGACCATCTGGTTTCCGAGCTCTCCCCGCTGGGTCGTTTCCGCGCGCTCGAGTTTCCAGCTGAGGTTCTCGATTTCAGCCTCGAGGGTCGCTTGTTGATACTCGAAAAGCTCCTTCCGCGGTCCGGGGTCGAGGAAATAGGCGTAGGGATAAGTGTACTGCAAGGTGTACCGACACTTGGCCAAAAGGGCCGCGGCGTCGAGTAAGTACTGCCAATCGATCCAGGTCCCTTCCTTGGCCATGACTTTTTGGTTGATGCGGTTCTGGATTTTCTCTCTCATGACTTCTTCGAGCCGAAGTGACTTGGCGTGGTTCTCCCACCGCTCGAAGTAGAATAAGTACTTCTTGAGTGCTTCTCGGGCTTGCGCGTTGACTGACTCGTTCGCAATGTTGGGATTCTCCTTGTACCGACTGCATTCGTAATACTGACTGCCGTGCGTCTTCCAGTCGCCGAGGCACATCCAACAGAAATCGTACTTGCAGCCCGAGCACTGCATGTGGTTACAGCCTCCGTTCTTCTCGATGCACACGTGACACATGGGACAGTCCTTCGTGTGGGCCGAGATGTAGTTCGCCGTCTCGGAGTCGTCGGCGCACTTGGTGATCCATTTCTTGATCGTTTCGCAGTCCGCCGGCGCGTGGTAGTCACCTCCGCAGCGGCAGCAAAATTGTGTTTGACAAAACGAGCACTTGACGCGTTTAGCTAGGATCTGCTCGACCCGAATCACGGCCTGACAGTTCCTACCGGGACAGAAGCGCAACTGGGGATGGGTGCGGATCCAATCGTTCCGACAGAACTGTAGGTATCGGGCCTCGAGCAGTGCGCTTTTCGGTGCGATCAGCTGCAGTACGAACTCCATCGGCGCGAGGATGTCGCAGCCTTGGCTCATGCAGGCGATTTCCGTTGAGCGGCCCTGACCGATCTGGACCTCGAGGAACGCTGTCCAGCAATCGGCGCAGAACTGATGGCCGCAGTCGAGCGACCGGAACTCGCCGGAGCGTAAATTTTGGAAACACGTCTGGCAGAAATGAGCGTTGTTGTTGTCGGGGGATACGGTGATGCTGCGGATTCGTGCTAGCGCCAACGTCTGCGCGGGATTCTTTTTGTAACGTTCCACAACCTCTTGGCAATTCCACTGGAAATGGTGCAACAGCATCCTCGCCACCCCGGCTTCTTGGAGTATTAACTTGTCCGTGAGATCATTGACGGCGGTTGCAAACAACTTGTCGACATCTTCGGGTGTGACACATTCGAAATGATACGCTTCAATGTCGGCTTCGGTCGCTTCCGATTCGATATCCGCCGATTGGGAATAGTAATCCCCTTCGTCATAAAGATCATCTTCGTCGGATGAGGTATGTGCGTCAGACATGGCGCCCCCGATCGGGGATTTTGGGGAGAGAATTTAGCGCGAAACAAGGGGCGCAACTCGCGGCTGGAGAAGACAGGGTGCTGCTGGTCCCTCGGATTTCGGAGTCCGTCACTCTGCAACGAGACAACGGAATAAGCTACAACCTTAGCGTGTCAACATTCGGCTCGCGGAAGCGTTTCGCAGGAAGGAGAAAGACGGAAACATCCCCCCTCTTCTCCCCCTCAGTTCCCTCGCACCCCCCTCCCCTGATTTCATTCAACTCTGAATGGGATCCGGGGAGCGATTCGCTCTTAAGAAACCCTACGCCTACGGGAGGTCTTCCTCCAATTCGGGAAAAAGGGGGATTCGGTCGGTTCGGAGCTTTCAACGAATTCCCTCCAGTCCCTCGTGAGGGAGCAAGCAGAACTGAATCCTCTCGGCTCTCCCCTAATCGAATCCTGATGAGCTCAGATGCTCAATGTTGGGAGGGACACCATGTCTGAACGCCGTCTGGTAATTGATAACTTTCTGTGTACCTTTCTATCTACACCTTTTTTCTCTGACACACGAGCTTCTGTAACACCACCGGACCGAGAAGCCACATCCAACAAACCCAACGGGGACCGCTCACTAACTCAGTACGAATCACGCCGCATTCGATTCCGGGAGGAAAACTTACGAAGTTCATCCAGCAGTTGAATGTAGTCGACCATAGCACTCGGAATCCTGCAACAGTCACTACGTTGTGAGGTGTGGTTTACGTCCGAGAAAAACAACCCCGATGAGCACATCTAGCAGCGGAAACAACGATAAATACGGATCATGACGAGTTTTCTCGTTTGGGGGGATAGAATGCTCTCGGACTTACACTGTGCGAAGCTATTTCGACTTCGAGTCGCTGCGACGGCGACGACGCACGGTCGAAAACACTCGGGTTTGTTGCGCCGCCAGAGAGCGTCGGTCGCAATGACTCTCAGCGCGTCGATAGTAATAATGTAAAGACGCCTCAATAGCCCGATCCTGCCTGTCCGTCGCTCGCTCGCTCACTCGCTTGCTCGGCCAAAAGTCGGTCCGTCCGTCCGACGATCTCCCTGCCTGCTTGGCTCGCTTCTTCCGGTGCGATGCTCTCCGACGACGACTACTACTGTGGTGGTGTGTGAAGAGGCCGCCCTCTCCCTCTTCTTGACAGCGGTGCGTGTCTGGGTTCTGAAGCTTGTTGTAATGGTGGCGGCGCGAAACCGCTGCCAGGCTTTTAATAGGTGACCACACGATGGACGATTGGAGCTCGGAACTGAGTCTTTCCAATCGTCTTCCTTCTCTTTCGCAGAAAGATTTCCGTCCCGCGTCCCAATGGGATCAGAATTTGTGCGTGATTATTATCATGGAGGACAATGACGCCATATTAGCCTTTTCGAATGAATCTTTGTGCCGGTGAATAACGAAGTCAGGGCAGACGGTCGCTCGACAGGCGCGCGAATTTCGCCGATGCTGCTGAGCGGATATCGTACTCAGAGTAGCGGCCTGGAAGGGGGACATTGCGTGAGGAACGAAGCGATGGCAGGTACATCTAGAGAATACATCTCGTAAAAAATCTGCGTGTCGCAAACTCTGTTCCCAATCGGAATACCTCATTTCTTACCCTTCAGCGAAAACTCTTGTATCGCCTGTGCAAGTACGGACGGATCGCTATTTGAATGGGCACCCTCCCTCGACAGTGCACCTTTCCTCTTACACGGCAACTCTTCTTCTTCTTTTTCTTCTTTGGAAACTCTCCTCCGACTTTCTAAGACTTACAATTAGTTCCTCGTCTTCTGGGAGGTATGGTCCCCGTGGAAATGATGATAATCATGTGCTGCATGGGACTCGATGTCTATTTCCACGCAACAGTGCGAGCGAACTTCCAATCGATTCGCGGACGGACTATCTTCGGATAAGCTTCTATAACACTTACAATTAGATGCGCACTCTTCATTGATCGAACAGCTCTTGGGAGGTCACTTCCGGAACAGAATCGGACATGCCCCATGCTACAAACTCCGATGATCAAAAGAACGCTCGAGCAGGAAGGCGCGTATTCGCCTCTTGACCCAACGTCGCAGGATAATCATCGATTACAGACCACGAGATGTGGATCCCTCCCACGGCTTCGAGCCGTCGCATCTCCGTGATTCATACGTTCAATGGGGTGCGTCTCAAATATCTCGCAGAGATCCCGCTCGTGCGGACGATCAATCAATATCCAGTGGCCGTTCGACACCCTAAAGGTTGTCAGGCAACATCGGGTCAGCTCAAATGATCTCATAACCACGCTGGTTGTCGAGCGTGCCTCAGTGATGTCGACTGAGTCGCTGTCTGGTCGATCTGATCTGTTCGATCACAACACTTTGTGGGACGAGAGGGAGAGAATTTCGGACGTCGCGTCCTCACTCGGGTATCTCGAATGAAGACACGCATTCATTAGCCCTCGGAGGTTTTACAGACTTTTATTCAAGCTTAGTACGACAACTCAGACTCGGCTATGGCTTCTGATGTCTCCAGAGCAATCCGAATTCCCTTACGAATATTCCGACTCGTTGGTGATGGTATCGAGAACTTTCCAATTGAATCAGCGCTCGTTGACATGGGAACGATATCTAGGTCGAACCAGAGCGATGTTGCTGTTGTTTGAACAGAGAATGTACTGATAATTCCGAACATCGAATATTGATACATACAACATAGCTCCTTAGAAGTATTCGACTCCAAGAATCTGTCGAGTGAGGGACCTGAGAACTATCGGTCTCATGTCCACACAGGACCTTAGAAAGATTCGACTCAAGAATCTGCGGAGTAAGGAGCCTGAGAATTATCGGACTTATGGCCTCATGGCTCCCCAGGAATATTCGTCTCCAAGAATCTGTTGAGTGAGGAACCCGGGAATTATCGGTCTTATGGCCACATAGCTCCTTAGATATATTCGACACCAAGAATCTGTGGAGTAAGGAACCCAAGGATTATCGAACTTTTTTTTGTGGTGGAGCTGCTCGCAAAGGGGTGACCCTATAATTCTCAAGAGGAACTGCGAGCGCGAGAAGGGGGGACTGAGGAGGAGGTGAAAGGGAAAGGTAGAAGAGCCACAGGGAGAAAGTTCACTGGGGCACTACCCACAGAAGTGGAAAATCCAACTGGAGTGTGGGGCTCATGTATATGATACCCACTGAAAAAAACCTTAGGCTCTTTACTTGAAGGATGAGAGCGGATAGTATTGGATTTGATGAGTTCAGGATCATACGTCGAAGGTAAGTCATGAGGGGGGAGGGCACCCCATGGACGGGATGTGCGGAGGAAAAATGTGGAGGCAAAATCAGCAGTGCGATTGGAGAAAAGCCGGACAGGGTAAGGGTGCTGCTTGGTATCCTTCCTGGTTACACGGGCGAAATAGGACCGAAATACGAGGAACGAGGGAAGAGATTTCATCTGAGCATTTCCCATGGAAGTATCGATAAAACAGGCAGAGGTCAGTAACCTTACGACGAGAGGATAAAGATTCGGGAGTAAAGGATATGGCACCGACATCACCGATGAGACGGATAGCACGTTTTTTAATAGAGTCCAGAGTAGAGAGGAATGGAGGAGCGGCTTCACCCCAGATAAGGGCTGTACCCGAGACCCAAGAGAGGGACGGATTTGGGTTTTGTAGAGCTAAAGGAGGTGAGAGGGAGAAAAATAATGTCTGGCTCTGAAGAGAAATCCCAGTTTTTTAGAAGCTGACTTGACCATGCTTGCTATGTGATAGTGCCAGCTAAGATTTGAGGAAAGGCACGCGCCTAAAATGGAGATGGAGGGAGTAACGTTTCGTCGTCGAAAGAGACGGTTGGATTAAAGAGTTAGGTTTTCTTCGTGGAAAGGGTAAGCTGGGTCTCCACGGAATCGAATTTGGACTTATGGCCACATAGCTCCTCAGATCATTCTCGGGATTGAATCCTTCAGTGGACTCGGGTAGAAATCCCCGATGATCCGCGGCTCCCCTACTCCAGAGATACTTGGAATCGGATCTTCCTTCGGGCTTTGTGGAGGTTAGAAGTTCGATGATCCTCGGCTCCCCTATTCCGGAGATTCTCGGGATTTAATTGTTGAAGTCTGTCTTCTCGAAAAAAAGAATAATAATCCTCCTTTGGGCTCTGTGGACTTAACTCCGATAATTTTCGGGCTTACCATTCCGTAGATTCTCGGGATCAAATCCCCTTGTGAACTGTGCACCTCGATGTGTGATGAAAACTCCGAAAACTTTCTGGTTCCCATTTCCGAAGATTCTTGGGATCGAATCTTCCTTCGGGCCTCGTGGACAAAACCCCGATGACCCTCGGCTTCCCTATCCCGGACATTCTCGGGATTGAACCTCCCTTGAGGCTTCAAATACCGAAACCCGAGATGTTTCGGCCGTCTTACGCTCCTTCGTGTCTACCGTGCTCTCATAGACAGCTCGGTTCTTTACTCCCTATCGGTTTGGTGCGCACCTCCTTCCACCTCTGTCCTCCAGCCAATTCTTGTCGCCCGAGGAAACGGGCTCCGTGCTGCCCTCAGTCGAACTCCCCGTACCCTCATTCCCCATCTGTCCAAGACCTACTCGCTCTTAACACAATCTTTTTACTCACCGTATGTCCTGCCTTGCGTTCCCCTGGATTCGACGCCCCCACCTCTTCCCTCTGCCTTCTCTCCCCTCCCCTGGGGTATCGGAATCCGGTAGAGCAGCTAGAATGTACCTATATCATCAAGCGACCGTCCGTTTCTTCTCAGTTCTCTCGTACATCTCCCTGATATCAACTTGGCGAGCTCCGGAACCGCCTGCCATACGATGTTAGGAAAATTGCCAGCGACCCAATATCCAAGCGTAAAGTTCATCTGCTCATAGTTTATCTGCTCTCGTGCTAAGTCAAGTACCCCATATTATGCGGTCCGGGACTGCGCGACCGCCACATGCACCTCCCATGAATCTATCCCATTACAAAGAATTATGATGTTGATGAAAGTTGATGAATAAGAAATAAGAAATAATTGAAATGAAAACTCCGAGGCTCTTCGGGTCCCCTGTCCCGAAGATTCTCTGAATCGAATTTCCCTGAGGCTAAGCGGAGAGAAGTCCAGCGTTGAACGATTCCGATACTATCAATAATAATCAGTCAATCGAACTCTCATTGTCAGTCTTCGAGATCGGAGAAGAGCCCAAGAAGCGCCCGATTCCAGATTCGTCGTTTGAAACTGCCGGTACGGATCAATGTCATCATTGGCGTGCTCGCCACAGTCTAAGCGCTGATGCAGCGGGAACCCCGCCGCCGCCGATGCCGCCACAGCCGCGTTGTTGTGAGCCACATCAAAATGACTGTTTACGAAGCGCCGCCATTTTGAAACTCTGAGCTGAACCTACAGCGAGTCGATTATCGGTGTGTTTTTTCCGTGGAAGTACTCGGTGTCCTTGTGTTTTTAGTTTCCCAAGGTGAGCTTCCTATTAGTGGCCAAGCTTTGCGCTAGATAGTGAGACCGAAGTCGCGAGGAATGACAGTTTTCGCCCCAAAGCGACAGAGCCGCCAATGGTTTACCCTTCGTCGCAATGGGTCGTCGCTCGGGACGGGATTTGATTTGATTTCAAGTCATTACCTTGTAACCAGTTCAGGCTTGCTGCTTAATCGACTCTCCGCACTTGGCTTGATATTGCCCCAGAGAGTTTGGCCTTGATAGCCGCAGACTGCCTCGAATGTGCCTCAGAATACTTCCGAGATTTTAAACTACATGTCGTGGAGAACGGGTGCTCCATCAGTCGAGACAAATGGTCATTCAGAGGAGGCATACACCTACCGGCGGAGGAATCCCATACCTGGCCGCCTGGAGAAGAAATCGTCTCGAGCATTCCGGTCATCGAGAAGCATCCAATGTCGTTTCGATGCAACGGGGATCGACGCCGGATACTCTGATCGGTCCGGATAAGATCGATAGATGCCTGACCGAAGAATGATTTTTAGTGTTCCAGGCGGAATGGCAGCTCCGGCTGTGTCGCCCGCTCCGGAGGCAGGACCTCCGAGTGTCGGGCCACCCTCAGCCACGGGGCCGAATTCTCCCAATACGCCGATGACGGACGACAGGGACAAAAATGGAGCTCCAGAGACGAAAGAGGAGAAGCCGGCGCCTCTGGGAACGCTAAGTCAATTTCAACAAACCCAACTACGGGCCCAGATTCAAGTGTACCGTCTGTTGGCCCGGAATATGCCGATCCCGGATCACCTCAGTCAGCAGGCTCTGCGGTCCCAGGGTGGACCCGGCGTGGGACCGCCGAAACCGCCGGTTCCAAAACAGAATAGGATAACTCCGCTCGCCAAGCCGCAAGGTCTTGATCCTCTCGAGCTCCTCAAGGAAAGAGAAAACCGAATAACGCAACGCATCGCTCACAGGTAAATAGCTCTCTCAGTTCGAGGATCCTCACCCCGATCGTTCATGCGGATTTCCCAGATCCCGACCATTGTCTTGAGGATGTAAGATGAAGCCGCCTGTTTCTTTTTCCCGCAGAATCAACGAGCTGAAACGAATCCCCGCGGTCTCGATTCCGGAAGACCTCAAAGTCAAGGCTCTTATCGAGCTCCGTGCCCTAAGGCTGCTTAACTTCCAACGTCAGCTCAGGACAGAAGTGACAGCATGCATGAGGAAGGACACGACCCTCGAGACCGCTCTGAACCCAAAACTGTACAAAAGAACGAAGCGTCAAGGTCTTCGAGAGGCGCGAATCACCGAAAAGCTCGAGAAACAGCAGAAATTGGAGCAAGAGAAGCGCAAGAAGCAGAAGCACCAAGAGTACCTCACCGCTGTCCTTCAGCACGCGAAGGATTTCAAGGAGTTCCATAAGAATAACGTTCAGCAGAAAATATCTAAAATCAATAAGGCGATCATCACTTACCACCAGAACACGGAACGCGAGCAGAAGAAGGAGCAGGAGCGGCTCGAGAAAGAACGTATGCGTCGTCTGATGGCAGAAGACGAAGAGGGTTACAGAAAACTTATCGATCAGAAGAAAGATAAACGTCTGGCTTTCTTGCTGACGCAGACCGACGAGTACATCAACAACTTGACCAAAATGGTGGTACAACACAAGAAAGAACTCAAAAAACTAAAGAAACCCAAGAAGCCCAAGATGGAGAGCATCGACGGCAAGGACGACCAGAACCAAGAAGTTCGGGTGCGCGTCATCGAAACCGCGACGGGCACCGAACTTAGTGGAACAGATGCGCCTTTGGCAACCGAAATCGACACCTGGCTCGAGGCTCATCCGGGGTGGGAAGCCGCCCCGCGAGACGCCGAAACGGACGATTCGTCCGACGACGACGGAGTTCAACAAGTTTCAGAACCCGTCGACGAAACTCCGGTCGAACCTGCACCGGTCACGGTCACCAAAGACGACGACGAATACGAGAAAAATTCCGCCGCGCAGATCCAGAACTACTACAACATCGCGCACGCCATTCACGAGCCGGTCACCGAGCAATCGAGTCTCCTCGTGTTCGGTCGCCTGAAAGAGTATCAGGTCGCGGGTCTCGAATGGCTGGTCTCCTTGTACAACAACAACCTCAACGGTATCCTTGCCGATGAAATGGGTCTCGGGAAGACCATTCAGACGATATCGCTGATCACCTATCTCATGGAGAAGAAGAAAGTCAATGGACCTTACCTCGTCATTGTTCCGCTCTCCACCCTCTCCAACTGGCAGCTCGAGTTCGATCGGTGGGCTCCGAGCGTTTTCAAAGTTGCTTACAAGGGCTCCCCGAATCTGCGTCGTTCGTTGCAAGCACAGCTCCGGAACGGCAAGTTCAACGTGCTGTTGACAACCTACGAGTACGTCATCAAGGACAAAGCGACGCTCTCGAAAATAAAATGGAAGTACATGATCATCGACGAGGGTCACAGAATGAAGAACCATCACTGCAAACTGACCCAGGTCCTGAACACGCATTACACTGCGCCTCATCGATTGCTCCTGACAGGAACCCCTCTGCAGAACAAGCTACCCGAGTTGTGGGCCTTATTGAATTTCTTGCTACCGTCGATTTTCAAATGTTGTAACACCTTCGAGCAGTGGTTCAACGCTCCGTTCGCCACAACCGGTGAGAAAGTCGAGCTCAACGAAGAAGAGACGATCCTCATCATCCGTCGTCTTCACAAAGTTCTTCGACCTTTCCTTCTCCGAAGACTGAAGAAGGAAGTCGAACACCAACTCCCCGACAAGGTCGAGTACGTTGTCAAGTGCGACATGTCCGCGTTGCAGAGACTGCTCTACAAACACATGCAGAAGGGAATTCTGCTCACGGATGGTTCCGAGAAAGATAAGAAGGGCAAGGGCGGCATGAAGACGCTCATGAACACTATCATGCAACTGCGAAAAATCTGTAATCATCCGTTCATGTTCTCGCACATCGAAGAGTCGTTCGCGGAGCACATCGGCAACGGTTCCGGACAGCCAATCACGGGTCCGGATCTTTATCGCGTCGCTGGAAAATTCGAACTACTCGACCGGATACTGCCGAAGTTCAGAGCGACCAACCACAGAGTGCTGGTCTTCTGTCAAATGACATCTTGCATGACAGTCCTGGAGGATTACCTCAGTTTCCGAGAGTTCTCCTACCTCCGTCTCGACGGAACCACCAAATCAGAAGATCGTGGTCAATTGTTGGCGAAGTTCAACGCTCCCGAATCGCCGTATTTCCTGTTCCTTCTGTCAACAAGAGCAGGAGGTCTTGGGTTGAACTTGCAGACAGCAGATACGGTGGTCATTTTCGATTCCGATTGGAATCCCCATCAAGATCTGCAGGCCCAAGATCGAGCCCATCGTATCGGTCAGAAGAACGAAGTCAGAGTTCTTCGACTCGTCACCGTGAATTCCGTGGAAGAACGTATCTTGGCCGCGGCCAAGTACAAGTTGAACCTTGACGAGAAAGTTATCCAGGCTGGTATGTTCGATCAGAAATCCACCGGGAGTGAGCGTCGTCAGTTCCTGCAAGCCATTCTCCAGGATGAGAACGAGGAGGAAGAAGAGGAGAACGAGGTTCCCGACGACGAAACCATCAATCAGATGATCGCTCGATCTGAGGACGAGTTTAACATGTTCCAGAAGATGGATCTGGACAGGCGGCGAGAAGAAGCCAAAGTTATCCCGCGCAAGCCTCGCATGATGGAAGAGAACGAGTTGCCGCAGTGGCTAGTCCTGAACGACGAAGAGGTCGAAAAGTTGACCCATGACGACGAAGACGACCGGGTCTTCGGCAGAGGCTCAAGGGCTCGCAAAGAAGTCGATTATTCCGATGCCTTAACTGAAAAACAGTTCCTCAAGGCCATCGAAGATGGCTCTGTTGAAGACTTCGACGATGAGCCCGGCCCATCTTCGGGCCGTCCTGGCCGCAAGAAACGGAGAAAGGTCGAATCCGAGGACGAAGACGAAGCGTCGACCTCGAGGAAAAGACCCCGCAAAAGCCGTGGAGCGAATAAGGACGAGAAGAGCAGCATCAGTCCTCTTCTCAAACGACAAATAAAAACTATTCTCAACACAGTCATCAGTTATAAAGACGAAGACGACCGCGTGCTCAGTGAAAGCTTCATGCAATTGCCCCCCAGAAGGGATCTTCCCGACTACTACGAGATCATCAAGAAACCCATCGACCTGAACAAGATGCAGAAACGCATCAAGGAAGACTATTACAAGTAAGTAAATCCGCCCAATAGTTTCCGTCGTGATCGGCGAGCGTTCCGCGACTCCCGAAATTCTTCCTCTGAATTCTCCCCAGGGTTCTGAGTTCAGAGTCTACACCTGCAATCCGTGTGACGAAAAACGAGTTTCCGATTCCATCGAGGATTCCTTGTCCCGTAGTCGAGATTCGTTATATTCGGGGTTGTATACGAGTTGTGATATGTTGCAGGTCCCTGGATGATCTCGAAGAGGACTTCATGCTTCTGTGCTCGAACGCTCAGAAGTACAACGTCGACGGTTCGCTAATTTACGAGGATTCGATTATCATGCAGTCCGTGTTCACAAAAGCGAGAGAACACGCTGGAAAGAATGGAGACAAGCTGCTCGACGACGATGACGACGACGAGGAGACTGAAAAGAAACCGAGAAAAACGAAAACCCCCCGGAGAGAGATGCCGAAAAAGAAGCGGAAAAGCAAATACGTTGACAGCGACGAAGATGAGACCGAAGACAGCGATTGAAGATCTCCAAGAGTCGTTTAGAGCAGCGAATATGGTTGACGGAAGAGGACCATCTGAACGGGCTCCACGCAGAAGTCATCAGTGACTCTCTCGGATTTCGGAAGGGCGGCGGAGCTGCATTCCGACTTCCGACGGCATCGTCGAAGGTATCGACTCGGTTGCCGGTTTTTCGAGGGTGTGTTCTTTCCCGGAGAAACAGAAATTCTCATCTCTCCGTGCCGGAAGCTCGAAGGAGCGCCTACTCCAATCAGGGCGGAAATTATATTGAAACATACGAGAACGAATACATTATCCGCTTTAGGTATCGGAGCCTAACTCCCTCCAAATGGCTCCGAGCTCCGAGCCGCGAGCATATTCGGAATTCGGGCGCCCTCGAAAATGCTCAGAAGTTCATGGAATGATCTGGAAGACTCCGGAAAAGCTTTGAAAATTTTCGGGACCCTCTCAGACTGAGCACTTTGTAACAATCTGACGGCCGGTTTTTGATGAAGAGGATCAAGACCTCAGTATTGGTCGTTCCTTCCACTATGTTCGCCAATGTTTTGAGTCGCTATCGAAACACGGTTTTTATTCATTAAGCATATTTATTGTCGAATATTCTGATTCGTCTGCGATACGGATCGGCTGCCGCTGATCCACAGCATCACGCGGAAGTGGATCGAGAAGTTGAATCGTCGGGACGAATACGGAAAAGTGTACACAGTGATCCGCGAGGAAAGTTGTAGGAAGAAAGAGCAATTGATTCAATTTCCAAAATCCAAGCCGATTCAATATTAGTAGTGCATCGTCAGATCCTCTTTATAATAAATCACCTGTTCTCGGAGCGTACCGAGTCCTAATTGACCCATCTGCGAGAACAGCGCTCAGATCTGGGAATTCGAGAAAAAGTTATCGATCCTGAAAAATCCTACGATCTCGAATTTCTCGAATTAGTCTACTCTTGTTTGATACCTAAATTCTGGACGATGATTCTCAAGTCCAAAGTGCGACATGGATCCGGGGTGATTCGGTTCCCCGTGACCTCGGCGACCATTTTTGCCAGGCGAGGAAATCGCGCACCGAGTAGTTAGACGATGGCAGAGACTTCCGAAAATGCGGCAGGAATCCCAACTTGAGCTCGGAAGGGGAGGTGGGGGACGAGTGAAAAATGCGGGGGAGCGACGCGAAATGGAAATAGGAGTGGAGGGAGCTGGAGATGGAAGGGGTAATGGGTAGGAGTAATGTAAATGTTACCCTCCGCTCGGGAGACGATGAGGGAGGATTGGTTGTTCCAGGAGTAAAACGATCCCAAGCATACATCGAAATTTAGTCCGCGAATGATTCGAGTACAATCGTGTCCGTGCTGAAATGGCCGTCGCAATCGCCAGATCTGAACCCGATTGAAAACCTCTGGGCGGAACTGAAGAGGAATTCGGTGCGGGAAAGAATCTCGAACAAGCACAGCGTCTGGACCGGAGTTCAGCGAGCTTGGTACAGTACCCCGGTGGGAGATTGCCGAGCCTCGATCATGTCTATGACCAGGCGATGCGAAGCTGTCATCAATCATCAAGAACACGAGGAATTCCACGAAGCACCAACTATCGAATGGTATACGATTATTCTCTTTGTCCCGGTTCGTCCCTATCGTTGTCCCGGTTCGTCCCTATCGTTGTTCCGGTTCGTCCCTATCGTTGTCCTGGTGCAGGCGCGTCCGCAGAAGGGTGACAACCGGGCTATAGCCCCCTCCCAGATTGAGAGTTCTGAGTTCTGAAGTATAGGAGCGAGTCGTCATGTCGGAAATCAGCACCATGCGAGGACCCGAACAAACCCCCCTCCTCCCCCTTCAAGAGAGATCCTGTGGACGCCACTGTTCCGGTGTACAAGGAGGCGGACAAAACAAACCCAGCGAAGGAACGGAACGTCTCACTCACCTGTGCAAGCTGTAAGTTATTGGAAAGTGTCATTGTTGAGACCATCTGGCGGAACGCCGAGGCACATTATTTGAAATGCGACGTCCAGTACGCCTATAGGGCTCATGCTGTTCTCAATGGTCTCATGCTGGTCTACCAGAACGAACTGGCAAAGCTCATCAACGACGGTGACATTTTCGACATAATAATGTTCGATTTGGGGTCGGCTTTTGAACTCACAACGCGTAGCGAGCTCCTCGCCTGTCTCCAATCGGCTGGAGTCGGCCCAAAACTAGCTATCCGAGCCGAAAAGATGCGGAAGAGACCGCCCGATCGCAGCCAAAAGTTCAGCAAAGATCATCACCTACTGTCTCTACCCTCCCCCATTGACAGCTTCCTTTTCCTTTTCCTGTGGAGTTCTACCCCACTACGTTCTTTTTGTACGTTTTTCCTATAAACTCAACAAGCGTGAAATTGAACGCTATCCTCCGCATACCTAAAAGCGTACGAGAATGCGCCGAACAAAGAAGACGAGCGTACGAACCGAAATTCATGTCTAGTGCATGGTCCGCGGTTGTTTACTTTCAATCAAATGTCTGCGAATCGGCTGCGGACTGCTTGGTACTCTGTTGATGGTGTGATGGTATTGGTAGTAGTGGTGGTGGCGGCGGCGGAAGGGATGGGAGGTTTGTTCTGAGGTTTGCTTTTCGCCGCGGCAGCGAACGGCTAGCTGCATCTGACATATACCTAGAGCTGCCCGAATCCCTCCCAGACGGCGAACGGCTCAATGCCTGGTAGCTCCAGACGTCGCTTTGTGTACGATTCGTCCCACCGTCAAATCGAAGGAATCAGTTTATGGTGAGCCGTGAGGACACTCGCTGCAGGAGGCGAAATGCGTCCGAAACGGGAGAAATCTTTGACCGGGGCGAAGGCCTCCGAGAAAGTGGCCAAGATCCCCGACCAGTACACGGAGCACCAACTATTCCTCCAAGCCTTCGAAAGTGAGTTCTCCGATAATTTCTGAACCCTCGGTTCTGGGCTTGCGCTCCAGCCGCTACGGCTTTGGCGCTAATCCGCCCATTGGACTTTGCTCGCTTTTGGAACGCGCGCAATCCCAGGATTGCAGTTGGAGTGCGATCCATCGGGAGTTTCCGGCGCGCGAGCTTGTCTGAGTGTGAACTGTGACATTATCAGCGGAAGTTCTCATGGAGGGTTCCATATTTTCAGAACCAACACAGATCTACAGATTTCTACGAACCAGGCATGCACATCTGGTGAGTTCGAATGGCAGAGCGCTCCATGTTGCGCAGAATACCGTCCCTGACGCGTAGGAAGAATATCTCTGAATGAGCTGGTCGATATCTCCTGCGGTACGAGAGGTAGATTGTCGCGTCTCCTACTTTCCACAGAGGCAAACTAATACCAGAATAAGTATCGCCGGTTTAGGGGATTTTCGTGTCTCTCGGGAGTTAAATTGCTTCTATTTCCGAAGAAAACGCCAAAGTCCATCATTATGTCTGTCCGATTCTTCGTTGCTCGCGTCGAACAGGCTGCGCGAGAAAAGTAGTGGTTACTTGGCACGACTCAAGGGCATTTCTGCTCGACTATAACGACCTTCGTCGTGGTGAAGCTGGATAGTGAAGTGGGACAGGGAAGTGTGCAAGTGTTCGTCGGACCATCGCGTTGAGCCATTCTATGTATGAATATTATGTTCTTTCGCAACGCCATTCACGGCAGCGTGGACATGGAATCGATATAGCTGTGATTTGTGCAAGGAACTTGATGCTGCTGATGAGCTAATGTCTAATAGAGTAATGGGGATCACCTGTCTCATTTGACGAAACATTCTATAGAGGAGCGAGTTTCGATGAACACGTCAGGACCGAAGCGAGCTCCGACGGCGGCCATCGCGAGCGTTGCGAATCAATCGCTGCGGATTCCCATAATGAATTTTTTTCCGGATGCTTTCCGATACCGATGGGATTTCGCATGCGGTGGCACTCTCGATTCCATGTCTCTTCTCAACGTTCTCTTGGGGACGTCGAATGCATTCCGAGCATGTTCTCGACGAATTATTGGAGATCGTCTCGAATCGGTGAAGGAGCTCCGATACCCTCTCGACTACTTTGAAACTATCCAAGGTGAACTTGACCGGACAGCTCCCTGAACTCTAGATTTGGATTCAAGATTTAGACTCTGACCCTCTCTGGGACCCTTGCCCCACCGGAACCTCGAGCGAGTTTCGCTCCCTCAGGAGCGGGGACCGGTACGCGAGGCCCGGGTGCCGACTTCGGAAGGGCGCGGAACCGAGATGTTTGTCCACACCAGCTGAGCGCAGATAACGGAAAAACTCGACACAAAGGGGCGCATTTCCGTCCTCTGCTCCGGGCGCCAAATGGGTTAGGTACGTCATCGGGAACCAGTCCCGATACGACGCTTTTGATCTGACTATAAGACGGAATACGGGTGAGAACATATCATTCGGGCTGGTCGGTGAAGATCATCGAGCGGAGAAGCGAATCTTTTTCAGCGCTTTTCTATGCTAAATCTATGCGGGAATATTCTGTCTGTGTCTTGTCATCTCGAGATCGCAGGATGATTTGGGATGATGACCCAGAACCCTGAGACTCTTCGCTACGATTCGCATCCGCTCGAGATCTCTCTCGTATTTCCGGGGGAATCTCATGACTGATCGTATTGAGTTCCCGTTAGAGCGCCGAGGGATGAATCGGGGATCGTCTCCCCTACCAGCCTCATTCCCCCGAATGATTTGCAACGGGTAAAACTACGCGAACAAAACGCCGTTATTCGGAAACGCTCCTTGACAGCTTGATGCCTGTGCTGATCGAGAGTCGAGAGGACTTTCGGTCTGCCAGGGCTGAGTCGGAAATGACCCGAGCCGATTTATTCCAACAAACGCGGCGCTCTTGGGAAGGGAGCGCTGCGACATTAGATGTAGTAGGAACAGTTCCAGTCCCAGAGTTCTGTTCTTTCGAGCAGGCCGGGTCAAAGCCCGTGGTCCAGGAGATGTTTCGCCACTGCGAGCTCCATATCCATTCATACAGCGTCAAATTCAGATCCATCGCATTTTCTCACGGAACTGATCCGCTTGCAGCCGCTATTCCTCCAGCGAACTCTGACGTACATGCCCAAATCGTCTCACATTGGACCGTCATCGCGGGAGCACCGGGAGACCTTCAAAGTCGACTACCTTCTCGACAAAGTCGTCAAGAGGAGGAGGCCGACGCACGGCTCTCTGAAGCTACAAGTTGCTGGGGTCCAAGACTACACGTCAATTCAAGACAGGATCGAGCTGAATATGGCGGTTGTGAGATCTAACAACTCTAAAAACGGACACGTAGCAAAGGTTTGTGGTCGATTTGAGAGCCCGATCCTCGGACGGCATTGCGGTAGACGTACCCGTACGGAGCGATCGACGCAATTCTTAGTGCACCATCCGTGTCCAAGAGAACCGTCCGATTCTAAAGCGGCTTTCCGATTGCAGGTCTTCACGCATTCCTGCTACATACAACGCAACCAAGATGGATTCCTCGGGGAGGTCGTCATACCTGAGGAAGCTTTCTATTCCTTCCAAGACCCTTCGAAACAATGCACTTTCTCGCTTCTCTTCGTCGTCGCGCTCACCCAACCGCATCCTTCCAAAATGTCCGGGAAAAATTCAGTCGATTCCGAAGATCTGTCTGACTCCGAAGCGACGGACACCGAATCTTCGTTGGAAAGTAGCCCGAAAAGGAAATGCGTTTCGTACACGCTGGCGGGCGAGCTCACCATCTACGATGAAGCCGGAGACTGTCAATTGGCCGAGGGCGACTACAAGATCTTCTTTAGGGATAATTTGCCACAAGACATTACCTCGACTGATTGGGTGCCGTTCTCGAAAGCCAAATGCACGAAAGCAGCTACAGAAAAAATTCCCACCCTCAACATTAACATCGTTTGGCTCGGTGAGAACATGCGGGAGACTCGCTTCATCAAAAAAGAACCCTCGGTTCCGGCACCTATGCAAGAGAGGCGACAGACGAGAGTTTACTACCAATTCATTTTCCAAAATAACAGCCGACAAATAACTGAAGCTCGCGGCGATCTCCGCTGTCCGTGGTGTTTCGTGGACTGCCGTCGACTGTACTCACTTCTGAAACATCTGAAATTATGCCACTCACGATTCAATTTCAATTACACTCCATACACGGGCGGGGCACGGATTGACGTTTCGGTCAACGATTCCTTCGACGGAAGTTACGTGGGCAATCCCCAACGGCTCATCCGCCGACCGGTGAACGGTGTCCAGTTACCCTTGAGACGTACTCCGGTCACCTACTTCATGGTCTGTCGGCCCCAGAGACCACTGCCAACCCTGTCCGAGTTCCTCCAAGATTATCCAGAAGAGCTGGGAATTCTTCTGCATAACGGGCTGAAGATGGGCGCGACGGTCGGACACAACCGGGCGTATTATCACTCACATACTTGTATTCCTATCAAACCTGAAGAGTTCGATTACGACAGCGAACGCGAGAACGATCCCCCGTGGCTCAGGGAGACGACTCAAAAAATGATCGACGATTTCACCGATGTGAACGAAGGGGAGAAAGTCCTCATGAAGCTATGGAACCTCCACGTTATGCGACTGGGGACCGTGGCCGACTGCCATATCCCGCATGCTGTGAGCACGTTCGTGGAAAAGCACGGCACCGCGATCATGGCGCAACATCTGTACGGCAACTTTTTGTTGCATCTAGCCAATCTGCTCGAATTCGGCCTGATCTCTTCTTCTGAACTTTACACGAACGCGCGCAGACTTCAGTTTTTGGCCCCGAAGAAATTCTTCTCCAAGTATATGCAACCGAGCCTTCCTAACACTGCCTCCACAAGCAAATAGATTAAGCTGTCACGAATGGAGCGGGAATCATGCGAAAGGAACAGGACTCTCCCCTGACGAGAACCATTTCCTCGCATCCTGACCTTGAGAGTGGATCGAGTTGATGAATTGCAAGATGAAGTAGATTGACTGAGAGGATCATCCGAGTGTTAGTTAGTTGACTAGTTAATTGACAGAGTAAAAACGATGGGACAGTGAATTTCGAGTTTGAACAAACTCGGGTTGAGTTTATCGTGTGCGAGTGTAAATGACAGCACGAGCTGGATTATCGTGTCTGGGATACAGAATGTCCCTTGAGTATTGATTTTCTCTTCCGGAATTAGTCACCGACGTTCGAAATTCGGCGTGCGAATCGAAGTTATGGATCCTCGTGAATGACTAGGGTGAGGAATAATAAATTTATATGGTACATATTAGAGAAATATATACACCTGAATTCGAGACTGAGAACCAATTGAGTGCGTTCGATCAAGTTTGTATATTATACGCGCCAATGTACACTCCACGAAGCGCTGCCACGTCTCGGAGATAGAACCGTTTCCGAATGCTACAGAGCATCGCTCTTGAGGAATCGTAATTCAATTTACCCAATAAACCTGATGCAAAACTAGATGCTCACATTATTGACCGCGATCGGCTGCCCAATCCTGTCGGACCTTATCAGTTGGGATTATATCGAGTGCACTGGCTAAGGTATAATGATTTATTCATTATGTTGGTTTCATAATCCTCAACGTAAACTTTGCTCTCGAGAAACCATGAGCGAAGCCACGATTTTTATAATACCCGATCCTTGACTCCGAGATGGGCTTAGGAGCGGGAGAAGGCGAAAACCCGAGTACCCAGTAGATTTATTGCAGCACGAGGCCGATCTGTAGGAGGAAACGAGTCATGGTTCAGAATGAGAGCAATAGATGGTACGATCTGGCAGTATCGTCGAGGGAGGAACCCACAAGCTGATACAGACCTCTTCTGGCTTCATCGGTGGGCATCTCCAATTGTACAAATAATATTGGAGGTTCCCGTCGCCCACTCCAAACTTGAGCTCCTCAAGGAAGCTCTTATTTTCCATCATGTCTAAAGCGTTGAAAACATCGTAACCGCGCTGAAAATCGTCGAAAGAACTTAAGATCTGTAGATTCGGAATTCGTGGATCATACGGGCTGATAGGTATTCCGCACCGCTCGTATCGCCGAGATACATACGTTCTTGGCAACAATGAGAGCGTCATTCATGAGTTCGCACAGAGTCACGGAATTCGCCACCGCGTAGAAAGAATAAGCAGCTTGTAGAGTTGAATGGACCGGATGATGCATCACAGAAGATGGCAAGGAGTAGAATGACACGAAATCAGTCACCTACGGGGGATTGAGAACTTTGACTAGAGAACACTTCATCTAGCAGGAAAGGCAGCGGAACCCAACGACCGATCAGCCTCCGAGTTATCAACCGAAAAATCACAGGCTTGAAAGACCTTCAGTCATGGGCTTACCGTTCCGGCTTTCGATGCTACGACGAAACTTTCGACGACTCCGTCTCTCGGTGTGAACCAGTGAATGAACTCTTTCTGTGTGAAGATTGGGACTAACGCGAATTTATTGAGATATTCATTCAACAAGTTGAATGCTTGTTTAGCGTCCGTTTTCGGGTTGAACTTCCTGCAAGCAACAATTCACTTGATTCATGTGATTTCAATGCGGATATGGCCAGCGGTTTTTCGGAATCAACATCTCGAAGAGCTCACCGGAAACCCGCGATTTTTGGCTGATCGGGTAATTTATATAGCTTGAGCGTTCTTTGCATCGTCATGTTCCGCGTGAGATGCGAAAATTTGACGTCTATTAACTTCTTCGGATTCAGTGACCGATGCCAGTATCTGGAACAGCGATGATATTCAGCGTTGATATTCCTAATCGAGCCACACATCCGAAGAAAACGAAAATCGCGTCGAGAACTCACCTGCATATGCCCACAGGCTTGGGTAAGACGACACCCGCCGTATAAGCCGCTTGGAAAACCCCCTGGATGTTACAACGCCGAGTGATCTCCCGGATCAATACGGGAGCCACACGTTTCGCTCTCAACTTCTTGTGAACACAGAGAAAATTCACTTCCGACATTTTTACGGTTTTGTCTTGAATGCGGATATGTGCAGGAACAGCCGATATGAATCCAACTGCAAATCAGAACAAATCTTGCTGAGTTCACGATTTAGGCTCGAATAAGCTTGTCAAGTCTCAGCCGTTAGATATTACTTACCGAGTTTGTTGCTTTTCTCTACCCTAACCCCGACATGCCAAGAGGGTAGCCATCCCGGAGGCATCAGTGCCCATTTGAGAAACTCCGGAGCATAGTCGAAGCGGAACATGTTGTCGTCATCTTCCACGTAATTCTCGTTCAGTAGCTGATACAGCTCTTTCAGCTGGTCGTCGTTGTTCAGATCGACATCATCCCATTTGAACTGTCAATTGTCAAGAATTTCACCGGGTGTGATTTAGGTGTTCAGGCTTCTTCGGGGGCCAGAATACCCACGGATATTGGGGTACTCACAGCGGCGGGCAGAGTATAAGGCTCCTTCCGTATCTGGTCTTTCGATATGTTGCTCTCTATCGGTTCATTCGTGGTGATGGTTTCATCGAGTTTCGGTACCGGTTGAGTGTTCCAAAAATCGTATTTTTTCACGGACGCCTGCAAACGGAGAAACGGTGTATTTCTCTCCCATGAGGTGCCATTAATGGGATTTCGGTTCCAAAACCTCCGGAAATCATCTGCCATAAGTATCGGAGGCTATGTAGGTCTATCCTATTCGCTGTGCGAGGCTCTGCTACTCGGTGCCTCTCTGCTTCCGATGCATGCGTTATAGCGACATCTACTTCCCGCGGGCCTTGTTCGATCACGGACTACTATCTCGGAAATCAACCGTAGCCAGATCGGAATTCGGCTGCCGATACTTTGGAAAAAAATCTCGGACTGACCTGTGCCATACTCTTTGCCGGACCAGAGGGGGCGGCAAGATTCATGCGTAGAAGCTCCATGGTTTTCTTCAGATTCTCAATTTGATCCTCATCCACTGAAGCTTTCGACGAGCTGTAACGTGAGGAGTCTCAATCACTATTCATAGAAAGTCTGACCGCAGAGCCTGGTACTCCTAAGCTCACACTAGCTGTCCTAGAAGTCGATCTCAATCCTGACATTTCGCGTGCGTTCCTCCTCTGTGGTGCGACGGCTCAGAACACTTCTCCGGAGTCCGAAAAGAGATTAATTTTCTCTCAGCGGAATCCAGAAGCACATCGACCATCTGTTTCGACCCTTTGAGAAGACCATTCCCAATCGCTTCGAATGGCGATAAATAGAATGATTTCTATCCACCAGAGCTGGATTCGGTCTAGTTTCGTTATCATTTATTATCGATGCTCCCGCGATACTTCCCGCACGCCTTTTCTTTGCGGCAATCGATATCTCTCAGAAGATGGCATGAGAGGATTGTGATCCGCAGATTTCAAATGTCTACGTCGAAAACGTCAATACTGCTGTCCTTGAATTTACAGAAAATACCTCGTCCCATCACTTCCGTCTTGAGAGGGATCCGCGGTCTCCGACGAGATCGCCGGCGATTTCAAGAGGGAATGTCACTTCATAATTCTGTTCAGTACGTACATGCGGCAGGAATGCCTCTGGACATCCGAGCATGCGTCGAACGTCGACAGATTCTGCCCCTCGTAGTATACGAAAATGCTCGAGCAATTACAGGGGGCTTTCGGGAGCCGCCGGGCATCGCAATACTCGACGGAGCTGTCTCGTCAACTCACGTTTTCTCCGCAGACGCAGCGAGCGAATCTTCTTCCAGGCCATTGTCGATGGGGATTTCTTCCTGCTCTTTATCCCCGGACATTCTTCCGACCCAGTCGATTCTATCCAAGCCAAAGAACCAGTAAAGAAGCACGGAGAGCACTGGAGAAATGCAAAAGCCGGATCGCCACACACTGCAGAACAACCTCACTTTACCGCAGTCGCAGCGGCGAGCGGAACAAAATTTCTTTCCTCTTTCCTCCGCAGGTCCTCCTCGCCCTCTACGCCTGCTGTCTGCTAAGCGGAACGGCGCCGAGGTTCAAGCACGAACGGATTTCAAACTAGAAGGAGTGTCCCTACGTGACGGCGAGATACCGCTCAAGCATGCGCATGCCGATTCAAGCGGCTGCTGTTGGAGGAGATGGGAGCATAGGATCTAAGAGAAAAGGGAACTCAAGTGTTTCGGAGGGACACAGTGATATCGATGATCTTCCCTGAGGATCTTTCAGACATCGGGCGGTCCTTCGCCACAGCTGCAACAAGAAGAGCCATAGGATAGGATAGAGAGGCGGAAGGAGAATGATTTTCTCAGGCGTTTCCTGACCGGAAGTCCGGGGCTGAGACCGTCCAAGGTTTCAGATATCCCAGAAGTTTTGTTCAGCCATGAAAACTGAGTGCTAGCTCAGTGACATTCGCAGTCCGCGGTTCAAAATTCAGAGCCATTCTTTCGAGAGATGGATCTCATTGCCTCATCGTAACTTTTTGTTCCCGGTATGTTGTTCAATTGAGCCCGATTCCATGTCTTCTCGTATTCGATGCTCGTCGGTCTGACCGAGATTCCCATGGCTTGCTGCAGATAAGAGAGTCGAGATCAAACTCAATGAGAATCAAAACTTTCGCCCGAGAAGCGTCAATATGCATTGCTGCTAGTCGACGGAATTCGTTGAAAGCATTTAGTAATCGAGCGATGAGAATTCCCTGCTTCCAGGCTCGAATCGTATTGTAAGGAACTTCCAAGAGAGCACTAAGCGAATGGAAAGACGGAGATCAGAAACAGCCGCTACACATAGGCGAACCATTAGCAGATGCGCATGCGGATATCATAGATTAAAAATGGGTACCTGGAGCCCGAACGAGTCGACGACCCCGAGCCTTCGGATGGTTGGCGGTCTCGGAGTTGGGAGCACACCCGGGACCGGAAGACCCTTTCCCGCAAGGGTAACTGGTGGCGAACCTCAGAAGTTGAGCGGTGCGCGGCTGGCCTATGGAATCGTCGCATCCCCGAGACGGGTGTTGTAAAGGTTCATTCGGGTGCAATTCTAGATTTCGGAAAAGAGAGTAACGGCAGTACACGAAGCAACCGCAGAGGCGAGCAAGCGTCGCATCGGCTTTGCAAACGCAACTCTTGTCTTGTGTGACAAAAGATCTCTGTCAGACCTCAATTCTCTCGGGCCTCGTTCCACGCCCAGCAAAGTCCGCCTTCCTCCGGTCCTCCGTAATTCCCCGGAAACCCTCTTCGATACTCAGACCCTCATCAAGCTCGGACCAGTCATTGTTGTTGTTATCCGAATATCGTCCTGGGCTGTGTTCATGGAACAGCCGGAGCCAACTTAGGCGGAGACCGGGACGGGGATTTTCCTCACAGCATGCACGCAGCAAACACTTTTGAGGCTCACTAAATGGTTTTCGAGTCCTATTCACCCTTCGGAGCCTACGGGGTTAGCTCTGAGAGCGTTCAACACCTCGGATATTTCGACTCCGATCAGTGCGGGCTCTTCGATCCCTTCATGTGTCGTGAAGTGAAGCGGGAACTTGATGAAGTAATTAATCGCTTCTGATTCGACAATCCAAAACTTTGGTTCTTGTCGGGATTCCCATTCGGTTCTTGATTATTAATTCTACCAATTCGAATGATGAGGTCGCTGATCGCATTGGTGTCGATTAATTTTTCAGGAATCTTCGAGAATAGCTGTCGTCCTTGATTGTGCTGGAATCGAAGCCTCCTGTGAGGAAGGATCAGGAGGAGGATGAAGTATGAGTTTTCGTCCCGATACCCGGAACGGAAATTTCTTTCTCCACTTTGTTCAGATGCCGAAGAAGAGAAGACCACGTCGATAGGACTTCCCTATTCGGATAAGGCCAGCTCTTGACCCGGCTTCGTGAGGAAACTATTTCGCTATGGTCGACTCCTCTACACGCAAGAGTGTACTGAGAAACGAGGGATGATGCTCTTCTCCCTATCGAAAATTCTTCGTCAGAAGAAAAAAAGACTCAATCTCCGGAATTCAGTCCTTTTAAGAAAGGTTCCTACCCTGATCTCCTCTCCTGTTCCCGCAGCCAGACTCTTCCAACACAGTAAGAGCTCGTCTAACGAGCTCAATCCGTTTCGTCAAAGCGTTCGCGTGACGGAAAGGTCGTTCTCCGCAATCGTTTTTTTCTAACTCAATGGTCCCATCTCGGCTGCTTTGGCTAACTAAGTAAGAGTGATCTAATACGGCCTTCATTCGCCTACTGACCGCCCGAGCCATCTCGAGTGTCGTCCTTCTCCTTGAGTCATTCCGAATCTTGACAATTGTGATGATTATACGTCTCATTCGGGAACTCAGACGTTGGGGGTTCGACAGGATAAGTCAGAGGGGCGGGGCATCTACCTAGCTTTGAAGGCTCAAAGGCTAGTTCAATTAATTGTCCGACATTTGACGGTTGGCAGTGGTTTCCGATGAGCCGAGATGATCGAGCGTACCGACGCGACGTCCCTATGAGCTCTCCATCGGGAATCGCCGGAGATCCGCGTAAGGATCCACGGCAATCGACGCGAGCCGTTCAGAGTCCAGAATTCTCGACCTGCATAGATACGGATGTCGGAGATTTCCCGGCAAAGATTTGTAAACAACACGCACGCGATCGATTTCGCATGTGTGGGCTTTCCTGGCGGGATACGCACACTCCTCTCACTCAGAAGAAAGAGAGTGTGCCATTCTCTATAATCGGCACGCAATCTCGGGGGACTGATTGCCACGGGAGCGTGTTTCAATCACAGATGCCGACGATCTAGAGGGGACGGCAAAGCTCACTGAGGTGTATGCCATCCTTTAGTACATCTTCTGAGCGGTACGGAAACGCTCCGCGCCGCCTGCCGGCTGTATGCCAGCTGCCATCGTCTGCAGGACAACTGTCCACGATCCACGAATGATGTCCATGGTGGCGGCTGTGGTGTGCGACGACGGGGATAAACGCAAACAGACGGGCTTTTGACGGCGGCGGCGTTGGAGCTGTTAAAAAAGCAATGCTGTATGGTGCTCCCTCTCCATTACCGAAATTTCCTCTCTTTCTCTACGAATTTCGCAGCGGCACATCTTCACGATAAGATCTCTGCCGTGACTCGGATACTAGCGAGGGGGAAGTCAGCTGAGTGATCGAGAAATTCGAAGTGACACCTGTATCGACGGAACTCTTCGAAGTCATCCGCGGAGGGGGGAACGTCCTCAGTGTCAACTTTATCCAGCTGCCTCGTTGACTTGTGCGAAGTTCGAGAGGAGACCATAGAGACTAGCTACATGCGGTTTCCAATCGTTGTGACGTGTCAACAGCATGACGCCGAGACTCGGTCGCTTCGTCAAAGTTTCGCTATTGATAATCGCCTGTCTATTCTTCGTCGTTGTTTTCTTCTTCCCCAACCCCGAGCCGCCTAAGTTCGTGCGGCCTGACTTCGCCCAGTCGCTCCAAAATGATGTCGCCGCAGTCGATGCTCCCGAGATTCCGGAGCCGGTGAAGTTCAAGGGAAACCCGAACGAGCTGCCTGTTTTCCGCGACGATGTTCTGGGCAACTTCGAGATGTCCATGCCCAAGAAAGTGGGTCCTGGAGAAGGTGGCGCCGCGTATGTCATCAGTGGGAGATCGGTCGAGCAGCAGAAGCTCAAGAATCAATATGGCATGAACATGGTTGTGTCGAATGAAATTTCCCCGAATCGAACCATTCCGGACTTGCGACTCGACGAGTGCAAGTACTGGCATTACCCCGAAGACCTGCCGGGAACATCAGTGATCGTCGTGTTCCACAATGAGGGTCTCTCCGTGCTCATGCGGACCGTGCACTCTGTGATCAATCGAAGCCCGCGACAATTCCTGCACGAAGTCGTTCTCGTGGACGACTTCAGCGATAAGCTCAACCTCAGAGAAGAGTTAGAAAATTATATCGCTCGAAATTTCCCTAAAGGACTCGTTCGACTCGTCCGGAACAAATCACGTCAAGGTCTGATACGTTCGAGATCCTACGGAGCCGAAGTGGCGACGGGGGAGGTTATTCTATTCCTGGACGCGCATTGTGAGGTTGGAGCCAACTGGCTCCCGCCTCTTCTCGCTCCGATCAAAGCGAACCCGAAAACGATGACTGTACCCGTAATCGACGGAATCGACCACGAAAATTTCGAGTATCGTCCCGTCTACCACGGAAAACAGCATTTCCGAGGCATCTTCGAATGGGGCATGCTGTACAAGGAAATTGAGATACCCGAAGAGGAAGTTAAGCGCAGGACGAAGCATTCGGAGCCGTACAAGTCACCGACCCATGCCGGTGGCTTATTCGCCATGAACCGCGAGTATTTCCTGGAGCTCGGGGGCTATGACCCGGGGCTGCTCGTGTGGGGAGGCGAAAACTTTGAGCTGTCGTTCAAGCTCTGGCAGTGTGGAGGTCAGATTCTCTGGGTGCCCTGTTCGCGTGTCGGTCACGTTTACCGTGGCTTCATGCCGTACTCGTTTGGTGATCTGGGCAAGAAACGCAAAGGTCCCCTGATCGTCATAAACTACAAGCGCGTCGTCGAGGTCTGGTTCGACGAGTACAAGGAGTACTTCTATACCAGAGAGCCGATGGCACGCGACTACGACGCGGGTAACCTCACGCAGCAGCTAGAACTCCGTAAACGCCTTCAGTGCCGGCCGTTCTCGTGGTTCATGAAGGAGATCGCCTACGACGTCCTCAAACATTTCCCCTATCTTCCACGCAACAATCGTTGGGGCCACATAAAACCTGTATCTGAAGACGGTTGTCTCGACTCGATGCGAGCGCATCCACCGACGAATGTAGGTGTCTCCGGCTGTCACGGTGGGGGCGGCAATCAGCTGTTCCGGCTGAACGAAGAGGGCCAACTAGGAGTCGGCGAGCGGTGCGTCGATGCCAACAAAGAGAACATGTTTCTCACTTACTGCAAATTAGGAACTGTAAACGGTCCTTGGACCTACGATCCGAACACCAAGCAGATGAAGCACACCCGAGACGGCGTCATCCGGTGCCTTCAGATCGATCGAGATCGACTGTTCCTGGCGAAGTGTTCAGCAATCGACGATCAGAAGTATGATTGGGAGGAAATCCATTGACCGGGCAACTATCTCAGCCAGATGAGCTCCACGAGGCAGCCGTGATTCATGACATTGACCAGTGAGGACATCGCTTGCATTTCACGTTTTATTCTGCAATTGTATATACTATCCAGAGAGGAAATGCGATTGACGCTCCCTCGAGTTGACGTTTTTGAACCACCGTGAAATCTTTGAATAGGGTTTTCTCTCATTAAATATATTCTTCGAACACCCTATCCCCCTTTCCATATTGTCAAGTGTCTGTAAATAATAATATACAACAGAAATCAATACAGTATTTTTCACATGGTTCATCTGTTCTTCCCTGAACTCTCAACAAGGCGAAGTCCGATGAGACTCGATTTAAAAAGCCACAACGAAGATATTATTTCTTTTTGCGGCTCCGAGCTCGCGCCCCCGGACCCTCCGGAGCCGGACTCCTGGGTACGACGATACTGGCTTCCTGCAGTTCCTCACGAAGCTCGTCGGGCTGCTTGTCGATCTTCGACTTTGCTTCCAGGAAGAACATCACATCGCGCAGCTGCTCCTCGAGATCCCGAATCTGAAAACCGGTCGACAAATTGAGAACTAAAATAGAGGAGCGCGTCAAACTACCTAGTTGAATAATTCGAAAGCCGGCCAGAATGCGACCACTTCCGACCATCTGGCGCAAAAAATCAGATGGTCGGATGGCACGCCAAACGCGCGGCATGGCGGGCATTGTCTAAGTATCTTGGGCTGCTCATAGCGAAGGGATGTCAAGGAGTAAGGCGTCTCATGATATCCGGTTCTTGCTGGGGGAAAACTCGAATTTCAAAATAAGTACCCTTGCGTCGGATTCATCTTTCGACTTCGACATCTGTGAAGAAATCTGATCCATCCTCGTTTGCCACTTCCGCTGATCCTGCAGCAGACAGGAACTCAACTCTTTTTCTTCGGCGAGATCCTTCTTAAGTTTCGTACACTGTGAGGACACCGTGTCCAGCTTCTTCCGTAGCGAGTCACGCTCCTTCGTCACCTGATGGCAATAATTAGATCCGATGAGTCGGGAGAGCCCCGAAAGTTATTATTTCTGCTCACATTCAAGGTCGTTGAACGCTCGTCTCACTCAGAGAGATGAATTGCCTCAGCTCGATGAGAAAAATTCTGGCCGGACCGATTTCGTGCAAAAGTTGTTCTCAGATATTCCGAGCAGAATAGAGTCGTAGATACACACCTGTGTCATCTTGCTTTCGAGCTCCTTTCTCTCATCGATAGCTATTCTCGTCTTCTCTTTGAGTTCGTTGATCTGTCGGAGCGTGTCCTTCGCCTGTTGCTCTAGTGCGTCCTCGAAGAAGCGTCTCTGCTTCTCCAGCTGCGAGGTCAGCATGTACGTGTATTCCAATTGAACGGAGTCCACTTTCTCGTCCATGCCTTCGCTCTGCGTCTCCAATTGAACCAGCTTGCCTGGCGAGAAGGTCAAGGAGTTGAGCATCGATGACCGTCAGAGCAGGAATAGCGATATCGCGATCAATTGCTAATAACAGGTTGAAACGATATCGCCGTCACACCAACCATCTGTTTTGTTCTGCACCAGTCTATGCACGTAGTTATCGCCAGCGTAATCCCAAACGGAACCGTTCTCGACTTGCATAGCGTACGTGTGCGCCGTTTCAGTGAAGTGCGTATGGGCGTGTCCCGACACATAACGTCCGCAACCGATGTGGCCGCAAACCAAACAAATCCACAGGTTCTCTGTAGCTCCGCAAGTCTGACAACAGTTTCCAGCGTCTTGCTGAGGTGTCTGAGTATACCTGCCGCGGGAGATCGTATTATATAATGGGTGAAGCTCTGGATTATCCATCCGGAAGTTGTCTCTGACGACGGTCAAAGAGTCCGTACCTGCAAACCGGACATGTCGAATCTCCTTGCCATTTCGCCAGACAGACATCGTGGAACGAGTGATTGCACAAGATCGTGAGAATGCCTTCGATACTCTCGTCCATCCTCTCCAAGCAAACCGGACACGTGGGGAGCTCAGTATGACCGGTCAGAGGAACATCTGCACTCCTCTCGTCGTCTTCTCCTTTGATCACCTCTACCTGGGGAAGTTGAGCCTATTTTGAGAGACCCATCCGGACTCGCCAACGAGAGCATCGATTCAACATTGCGTTATGATCTCTGTATTCGATATATGTGTGTATATCCGGGCATCCCGAATCCTCAGCGATGCGAGATGGGCCCGGTCGGCGAAGAATCTCGACCTCAACCCGAATTCCCTGTCGAAGCTTCTCTCCTTTCGTTGGAAGCGGAGAGAGCTCACCTTAGCTACGTAGACCAAATGACAGATATCACCCTCGATCGAATTGAAAGCTTTTCCGTTGAAACTCCCGAAGAATTCGTCTGTCGCCTTCTGAGACCGGAACTTGAGCAAAACCATGTAAGCACTGGGTTTCGAGTCCCGTATCACTCGTATGTGTTCTATTTGGGGCGAGAAGGGTGACATGAACTGAAGCAAGTCGTGCAGAGGGACGTAGGTCGGCACGGCCAACATGCAGAGCATGAGCGACCGATTTGAGCTGAAATCAATTGAGGAGCGTGTTTAACCGGAGCTTGGGTCTCCTTTCCCGCAATCTCGAGGCTTTACCGAGGAAAGAGAATTCGCTCTAAGGCTCCCAGTAAGTAAGCGGGACTGGCTCAATAATTTACCAACCTGTCGATCGGAGTCTTTTTGTCTTCCTTGAATAGATGAATAATCCCTTTTGTCATTTCAACACAGTGGTTTCCACTGAAGAAATAAATGGATTCCGTGTCGCCTCCAGAATCTTTCGATTCACTCCCGGCCATCTCGGTGGGGACCTTCGAAAAGAGTGGGGAAACGGTTAGAGACGAAACATTCACCGATGTCATGGAGGGAAATGTTTTTTTTTCGTTCTTCGTCTCTTCGAACGCTGAGCATGGAGCTCATCCGAACGGAATGTCGACTCACGGTTTCGATTTCTATTCCCTGGAACTGTCGCCGGCCTCTCCGCTCGATCGCAGCTTTCGTCGGGTCAGTTTTTTTCAGTTGCAATCGTGGCAGACCGATGGTCTGGAGCTCGTCTCGTCGACTCTATAAATGAAAGCAAGTCCGAAGTGATTATCGGAGTCGGATGCATTCATCGAACAACATCCATTCCGAAATCCTTCAACAACTCGGCCTGGACTCACTTTCTCAGAGCTGTAGTCGATGTCCGGTGTCAGCTCGCAGCCCGCTTCAAGTTGAAGTCGAATTCGAACAAAATGAACGTCTTGATTGCTCATCACGTAACGTCCGCTCGAAGCTCGCGTCTTGTTTCTGTTGCTCGAACAGATTTAACTCTACGGATCTCAGACGATCTGTTCCTTTGCAATGAGCATCACTCCGCTTGAAGTCTGTCCGATCCGCAACTGCGTTGTCCCCATCTACCTCTGAGACTCGGGGACCGCTCGGGGATTTTTCTAGCAAGAGCTTGGAACTAGTAATCGCAGCGCAGTTCCGTCCCTCAGTCAGCCGGTTTTCCCCTTCTTGTTTTTCTCAACAGCTGGAGGGGAGAGAGTCTGAATAGCGCGCGGAACTCCGAATATCAGTGACGTATCGACCTGGCGCGACTTTGTATGACTCGCGACTCGACGCTCTATCGTCAACATCGAATGACGGGATCCCTCCACAGAGCCGGCGGATAGAATAAATCAAGAGATGATGAACTCTTCTTGAGCGATGCCTCTTCCGACTCGGGCACGGAATGCCATTCCGCCATGGGAGTCAAGGTCGATAGGGCCGATGGGAAATCGAGTCGACGAGTGACCTCAAACTTCGCAGTTCTTGTCCTGCCTCAGCTTGAGAACTCGAAGCCGGTCAGACATCTGCTGCAAGAAAGCGAAACCCTTTCGCAAATTATCGGGCCGAACCTTCCCGGCGGGGGCGCTGGCATCGCGAGTGCTCGACTGAATAATTCCCGCGCCTGAGCCTTTACTTTCGTGAGTCGAGGAATGACTCATGGCATTGAACGCGCGCTTGCACTGGCACTCCCTGCCGTGGATGGAGTCAGCGGTGGATCGGTGGCGTTCTGTCGACTCGAGTGCGGAAGATATCTGATTTTCGAATAATTCGAGTGACGCGGTGAGAGGTCGGAAGAATGGCGTCCCCTCGCAAAAGCACCCTCTTTCAAGTAGAATCACGCACGTGCTACCTGAGTTGGGTCCCTTCAACGAGAAGTATCACTGACAACGCTGTCAGTTTCACCGATTCGAACGGCTCGATCAACATCGGTCGCGTCAAACGGAGCGACCACATCATCCCGGGTACTCTCCGGAATGGCGTGTGCCGCTTTTTCTTCGAGGGAGACTGGCACGAAGAACGGGATCACATCGAGGTGCTGATAGACAACTTCGGTGCTGCGCAGAAAGCGCTGAGTTGGGTCACCGTGAATGAGACGGACGGCAGAACTCTCCTTTCCTTGAACTCCGAGGTGGGAGGCGAATTCCCCGGCGGAATATATGTGATTGGGAGGAAAAAAGGTTCGCTTGACATCGTTCCCATCGCCGTCAAAGAGGAGAGCCGTCGGTTCGACAAGGGACATATCGTCTACGAGGAAGCCTCGCTCAACGACATTGAAGTGCTCGAATCAACCTACCATAAGATCGTCGCTGTCTGTCCGAGCGCCCCTTGTCCGGAAATCGATGCGACGATTCCGTAGCGCATCCTGTCAGTAATGCTGAAAGTACGGATTCAGCGTGCACATTTGAAATTTGAAATCGTTGATCTAATAAAATATTTTAGTGAATGGAGGATGAAGTTAAATTGTACTATATTGTACTCTTGTAGCTTTTAGACCTCATTTCTGACGCACGCACGACACCAGGTCCGACGACGCAATAATGCGTAGGAAGGATAAATTACGTCGGAGACCACCGCACCGGTTACTTTTTTATCCTGTCAGAAAAACGTGTCGAGGTCCCGGCTCATGCGGTGAGCATGAGCACATTTATAATCAGGCATATGAAAACCTTCGCGGATGCCTTCGTCGTGGACGACACTGAGAATTCCTCAGAGGGATTTGACTGCTCGACAATCCCTGGCAGACGTTTTCTCGCCTTCGTTCCCTGACCCAAACACCCGACAGAACTTCAGAGTGCGGTACTTCCTCCGCTATCGGGAATCGGACAGCGGGCGGGATATGTTGGCGCCTGGGCGAACCAGCGAGGGGCGAAACCTGGTGAGGGCAGCGGGAGTCTGGCGACCGCCCTTGCGCTCCTTCGGACCTTCCGAGTTCCGAATCTCGATACGTAGTTGGACGTTGTTTTCGTAGCTGCTGGTGCGACTGCAGCTGTCGCTGCAGCGGCTAGCGATCACTGCGGCTGCAATGATGGGCTTCAAGCCAGTTCTATTCAAAGATGAGCAATTGCCGCGGGAAATTTTGGACAAATTCAAGAAGTTTCGTGAAACGGGAAAGTTCTGTGATGTAACGCTGGTGATCAACAATGAAGAGTATCACGCACACAAACTCGTCCTAGCCGCATCGAGTCCATATTTCGAGTCAGTCCTCAAATCACATCGGGTTTCGACCGAGCACTTGGTCATCCCCCTCAGTCCGATAGGATCCAAGTCGTTCCAGAGCGTTCTCAATTACTTCTATACCGGATCCATACTGGTCGAACCCGCGAACGCACTCGAGGTTCTTCAAATCGCCAACTTCCTCTTATTGTTCAGAATGAAATCATTCATTGCCGAAATCCTCATCGGTTCGCTGTCGAGCGATAACGCTCTGTGTTTTCGGGACACAGCAATCAAACTCTATGTTCCGGACCTTCATCAAGCGGCCTGCACTTTCATCGAGAACAACTTCGAACGAATTCGGCCGAATCTACTTTACCTGGAATTCCACAAATTAGAAGAGCTCCTCCAAGACCACAGACTCAGCATTCCCCACGATGCAAGTCTTGCCAGTTTGATCGTCTCCTGGGTTTGTCTCCGGTTTGAGAAACGCGTCAAGTTTCTCCGGATCCTAATGACTTTCGTCGAGTGGAACGATTCGATCGCCGAACAGATTCTCTCCCAAGCGGCCAAGCGGATACAGGCCAATGAGCTCCTACCTATAATCCTGGGTGTTTTCGAAGAGCTGAAAAACAACAGGAGTCTGACCGCCCCGGAGTTCGACCCAATCGCTGCTCGGATGAAGTTGGAAACGATGGCAGTGAATGCCGCAATAGATTCGATCGCGCGACAAGACGACTCCAAAGACGGAACGGATTCCGTCGACGACGAAGACAACAGTGACGATGGTGAGTTCCCAAGAAAACTGGACTGTTCAGGCGTCTATTCCTCGTAGATTTAGATACGATCGATCAATGATGTCAAAGCCGTGACTTGCAGATACCAATCCTTCAAACGGTTCCGCTCTTGTTGAGGAGCTCGGTGGAGACTCGAACGACTCCGACGATGAAGCAGCTGTTGTTGGCTCGAACGAGACCGCAGACGCTCTTCAATGTGGGAAATGCTCCTTCGTAGCCCGCGGAAAACTGAGAACGGCCCTCATCTACCACCACACGGGTATGCTGGCCATTTTTCTTTCAACTTCCCCGGCGAACCCCTTCCCATCCTGAATAAATTGGAATAATTGGAGCTTTCACGTTTCAGTGAAGGTCCACCTCAAGCAGATCAGTTACAAGTGCTCTCTCTGCGGCTTCGTCTGCTTCTGGAAGCGCCAATTCACCGACCACTTGAAGAAAGTTCATTTTCCGAGGAGCCCTCCGTACCGCTGCGACGTCTGTGATGTGAAAACGGAGAGAATTTCCAGTCTTGTCCGCCACCGTCGCAAACATCTGACTGATCGGCCGTTTACGTGTGATCTCTGCTCGTACCGATGTCGGTTCAAGGCTCAGCTCGTTGAGCACTGCAAGTCGCATAACATCGAGAAACCCTACGCCTGTGAGCATTGCCGCAGAGCTTTCGCGGTGAAAATCGCTCTGGACTCCCATATGCGCATCCACCAAGGGGAGCGGTATCTGAAGTGCGACCGATGCGCGTTCCGAACTCGCTACGAGCATCACCTAGCGATGCATCGTAGGATTCACCTTCGGAGAACGATGTCTTGCCCTCTCGGCTGCGAATTCAAGTCCGGGTCGTGCAGCGTGATGGAAGCTCATATTCGGGCTCACCCTCAAGACCGGAACCACATTTGCCAATTATGCGGAAAAACATTTTTGGACAAGACTCATCTCGCGCGTCACCTGCGATCTCACAATAGCAAACCTTATCGATGCGCGAAGTGCGAATATTCATCGCCTAGACGTGATTACATGAACGACCACGTGAACCGATATCACGACATGAAAGCCACAGCAGAGAAGTGAATTTACGATCTGAAGGTCGTATTCCGCGGTAGGTTTGTCGGACCTCAAGCTATCGGGAAAACTTTCCCCCGGAATCGCTCGACCTCTCGAGGTTCACGGAAAGTTTGCAACTCACGAGCGACACAGTGATAATCAAGGATCTTCCGCCCGGCAATGTGTAATTGAGGATTATATCCTCCTTGATTGTATGGCGGTGCAAGGCGGAGGTTGTACATATCCGGATCCGGAATAAATGCGAAACATGAATATTTCGAATGGATAGAACTTTATATGTATGAGCTAACTGATTGATTCAATAAAAACTGCAACAAACGAACTGTCACTGAATTATCACTGCTTCTCGATCTGGAGTGGGGATTTTCATTTCATCGCGCGCAGGTTTTATTTGACAGATCAGTATTGTATCGATATGGACAAAAATACAAGGGGGATCGGACGATCCGTCTTTCTTGGCGAGGATCGATGAGTCCGCCTCCGCTGGAGGGTCCGACCCGGATGCCATTACATCTGACCGGATTGTGAGATGAAAACCGGTATTTTAGGTTTGTTGTTGGCTCCAGTTGGAACGTTCTCAATTTTTCGCATCACGAGCAGACCATCGATCACTCGACCTGGTAGCAGGGAGAAATAGAAATATTCAGAATTTCGCTTAAGCTCCCCGCCAGGAATGTGCAACGGGACGAGGCTGATTGCTGGCGAAGGAGGACTCACCGAAAACTACGTGCTTGCCGTCCAAGAAATCAGACTTCGCACACGTTATGAAGAACTGACAGCCATTCGAGTCCTTCCCGCTGTTTGCCTGAAATATTCTCGCGAGCATAAGATAATGTTTGAGACCGACGGAACAATTCTTCATCGGAAGAGGACGTCACAAAAGGAGGGAGCTGAAAATTCATACCATGGACAAGAGACCAGCTGAATCGTGTTTTAGCGTGAAGTTTTCATCGGCGAATTTCACACCGGAGTAAATGCTCATAATTCCCGTACCATCGTTCTGCAATGCGAAGCGGAGCTTGTTCTTTTCAAGAGAAAAAACGTATCCACAACCGGATGGATACGTGAGCCGTTCTTCCGAACGGGGGGTCATTCAGAGATAGGACTCACATTGACGAAGTCGCCGCCCTGGATCATGAAGTCCTTGATAACTCGATGGAATCCACATCCCTTGTAGCCTTGCGGTACACCGTCTCTTCTGTATTCACCGGTGCAGAACTGTCTGAAATTTTCGACTGTCTTCGGCACCACATCTGCGTATAATTCGATGATCATTCGACCAACCTCCTGGAAAAAATCCATGACAATAGAGAGTCGAGGTGGAACTTCGGAAATGCTTGATCCGGAATTTTTCCCACGCAATCGAATTTCCTGCAAGTCCCGCAAATCCGCGAGGATAAAGGTACCCGAAACCTACGGTAGTTCCTATCGTGATGTCGAAGAAAACAACTGGATTACTCTGATCACGGAGCTGTGATTGAATTTGCGCCCAGCTGACCATCTGGAAATTGAGAGTGACACTCTCTTAGAGTCATTCAGAATGAAGTCTCACGAATTCTTCGGCGGAATCACAGACACTCTAATCTGTCCGCCATTCGAATGCGTGATCCATGTCACTTGGCATGATCAGGCGCTAGTTCCAGGCCTGCATCTCTTTGATGTCTGACGTCTGATGAGATTGCTCACCTTGATAGAGAAACTCGTATTCCCACAATCGAACAAGGATAGTCCACAAAACAGATATGGAACCAGAGCCAATGGAGGAATTCGAATGTTCCTCGAGAAAATATCGAAATTCGAACACCGAGGGGGAAAGAAGGATCTATTGTTGTTGCGCTCCCGCCACCCGGCATGCTCTTCTGCTCGCAGACGCTCTTCTTCGCTTAGGGCGGCCGCATTCCGGATCAGTCACTCGTCGGCTGCAAGTGCACATCCGGCTTCATCGAGAATAGCCTCTCCCAGACGCTCGAGGTTGAGGGAAGCTCATAATCGACTCGGTGAGCTCGAGCGGATGAGCACATCCCCTAGGGAAGAGTTTTCGAAAGTTGCCGCCCGATCTCTCCGGAGCGCGCCATCCAGGAGGCGCCAAGGGCTGCTTCGTTCTACCGCGAAACTCATCAGGGACGAGCTGCGGTGATTCGGACGGAATCTCTGACCAATCTGATCGGTTCGCCGAGCTTGAATTCCGAGGATTCCTCGAAGACCGCGGAGCGACATCGATTCCGGCTCGAAGCTTGCTCAGCTATGACTGCCCCAGACGAGACTGTCGTTGAGAAGGTGAAAGAAATCAAAGACCTGTGCAATGTTGCATCCATCGCCGCAGAATTGAATATCAGTGTGACCACAGTGAAACGATCTTTCCCTCGGATCGCCGTTCTCTCGGTGACAAGCGGTGAGATCGATGGAAATTTCGAGCTTCACCTGCATGAGTCGAAATCGTCCGAAGACCAGAAACAGCTGATTCCACCCAGCGCTTCGATCTGGTCTTCTCATGGCTATCAAAAACTTCCCGAGGGGAATCTCTCAATCAGCGAGCGAAACTCCCGATACCTGTCCCTGCTACAGAATCGACCTCGCTCGGTCATCAAGTCAGAAGCAGTTCCGAGGAAACTCGGGCAGAGCTGCGGCTTGAGCGAGTTAAAGGCCGAGAAGAAAGCTACCACCACTGAGTTCTTCAGCAGCAAAACTGCGCAGAACAACACGACGGCTCCCAAGAAATCCCCAACGGAGAAAAAAACACTCACGAGTATGTTCCAGAAGAAACCAAAGGCCGAAGAGCCGAAAGGGAAATCCAACGGAAATGACAAGGAACTTATCAAAAAGGAAGCTCCTCCTGCTGCTGATTCACCCGAAGCAGGGAAGAAAGCTCCTGGCAAGAAGGATGGGGAGATAACGGGAGCAAGGGCTGAGCAGAAGAAGGATTCAGGGAATGTGAAAGCCGAGCCGAAGAAATCTCCGAAAGCCGAATCGGCGGTACAGAAGAAGGCAGTGAGAGATGGGTCTGCCGTGGACAAAAAGTCGAACAAAGTGGTCTCGACGGCAGAGACCGGAATCGACCGAACAGAGCGATCTGCCTCGGGTAAGGGAGAAGCTTCAAAAAGTCAACGCTTGTCCACCGAAAATAAACGCAAGCGAGACGAGGGTAGCAGCGATGAGGAATCGATCAAGAAACCGTCTCGCAGTAAAGCGAAGAAGTTGAAACGTGTCGCTATTCTGGACAGTGACAGTGAAGCTAGCGGAGGCGATGGAAACAAATCTGAGACAAACGCGCCCGAGGACGGGACAGACGACCGAATGGATACACAGACGTCCGGGAGCCCGGAAAGAACCGCGAAGAAAACGAAGAAAAAAAACCTCAAGCCGAGCCGAGATCGCAAATCGGACGCGGAAGCTAGCAAGCAGATCGATCCGAAACCATCCTCGAAGGTGAGGACTTCAAAGAATGAAGCGGAAAAGCACGCAGTATCCGGCAAAGATTCACCGTCCGACTCCGAGACGAAATCGAACGCCCAGAACCATAAGCCTAACGGTCAAGAAGAGCATAAAAAACGGAGGCGTCGAGTACTCAAGGAGGTAACGCATACCTTCGAGAGTGAAGATGGTTTCCTCGAAACCAAGACCGTCAAGGAAATGGTTAGCGAAACAGACAGCGAACCAGAGAGTGAACCTCCAGTCAAGAATAAATCTACGGCCAAACCAGCGTCTGTAGCCCTGACACCCGCGCGGGGGCAGGCGTCGCTTCTGTCTTTTTTCAAAAAGCAATGATCGGAGATGTCCAGAGGCAGCTGCATATCTTCAATCGATTATTAGTGTGTTTCTATTTATCGAGTGTTTGTGAAAGCGGAATCGAAGACTTGAGACACGAACATGACAAAAATCTCGACGGTGGTACGAGTTCCGCGGGCTGTACATGTAGCTGCTTGGTAGACTTGATGTTGTCCCGATAAAACGTATTCGAACTGACCCGTTTGGATGGTTTATTTTCCTCGTTCATGCAAAATTCGAAAATTTTATGCAGATCGAAAATGAACCCGGATCCTCGTCCCCGGTTGTAATCCAGAGAATCAGAGAATTAGGACGTTGCAGAAAAACTTCAACGAGGTCGGCATCCTCGCGGCGGATCTCTAAACTGGCTCATATAGGCAGAATACAGGAGCTGATCGACTCGAGGAGACCCGATGCGTCATCAGAGGGTTGAGAGGAAATTTAATGAATTGCCGAAAAGTCATCGCGCGATGAAGATTCCGATCTGGGTCTTCAGGTTCACCAAGACAGAGAATCTTCTGAGGATGAATCTGAAATAGAAATCAGCTCTTAATCCATTTCTGGGCTTCTCGTCGCAGAGCGTGAGCTTATCGACTAGCGCGCTCCAGCTTCCGTCATCTCGAGAATATAGAGTCCGATTCCCCCGGAGAGGAATATTTTCACCCAAAGCTCACCGCTTCGATAATCCGCCTTGGAGCTTCGAATTGAGAGGGCCTTCGTGTTGAAATAGTATCCCAGCGGTGAATAGAATGGTACCTCAGATCCTTGGAAGCATCCGAGTGTTGCACAAAGAGACCTGGAAATCAGCAGATGATATCAGTTGGATCAACCAGAGCCCCTCGCAGCCCCCAACAAGATGCTCGTGGAAGGTATTCGTAGAGCAGAAGTGAATTCCATTCGATCAACCTTGCTGAGTCAGCGTTCGACACACTTCCCGGAGATTTGAGCAGGTTCTGGAAATCCTCCCCGGAACACCAAAGACCGGTCTCCCGATTGTCCTGTTGTCCCTTGCGAATCTTCACGAGGACTTTCCTCGTATCGTAGTCGCTCCCGCGTTGCCACACGCAATATCTTCGAGAGACGAAGGAATCGCGGTAAAGTCCCGCCAACTCGAACCGAGTCGCTCGATCGCGAATTTATTATGATATCTACCCTTGAACCATCTGAGCTCAGAACACAACCTGTCGAACTTGGCGCAACGGAGCTGACTACTTTTCTCATTCCTGTAGACCCTTCGAAGATGGCCAGCCCTGATCGTGGTCCATTGTGAAGACGTATCGACTGCACACGGGAATAGAGCGTCAAACTTGAATGGGATGAGAGCGAAAATCGAATCCATACACTAGGTTGGCTCGACTTGATCGCTCACCGTTGGTGTTGTAGATGTTCCGGAAAAATTTCTCAACTTCAAGTATCGGCAATCTTGCATTCTTGAGAAAAATCAAGAGCCTGTAACGATCGTTGTTTGGGAGGCGTTTGTCACGCTTCAGACGCGCGATGAGCGCATCTGTGAATGGGAAGGAGGGCTAGTCGTAGAAAATCTCGGAGCATCGACGAGAAGTCGGGTGTCGTTCCGCCGAGAGATATCGGCGTCGTATCGCAGTGATTTTCGAAAATCAGAGAAGCTCACATATACAGGGTGGCAGGAGCGGTAAGTCCTTCCACAGCTGAACGACTGAATCGATGTTGAATCTCTGCTCCGAAGATTCTATGAACTAGTGATGGGAGATCGATATGAGATTGAGGCGTTTTCATCCGTCTTCCGGTATCCCCGCCTTTTTTGTGAGCCCCACCTTTTTGACTCTTCCTTGTGCGTGTCTCAAAGAGACCTCCAGCAATTCAGATCGCTGCTCTGGCGCAGGGCGAATCAGCTGGAAAATGCAAATTCGGCGGAATGACGAATAGCTCTACTTCTGATGCGAAACATCCTAATGAAGATTTATCCGGGACGAGAACACGAACCCGACTCATGAGGAGGAGAAGTTGTTCGAAAAGTTCTTCACAGACCTTTGCGACGTCAGCGGCTCCGAGTGAAATCTGAACAACGAAAAAAAAAACGTCAATATTTGAATTCGGAATTTATCATGAAGATGCAGAGCTCGTTACCCCCCACCGCCTCCCCGCTCCCCCCTTCGTCAGCTGTCTGTGATCCCTCCTCAGATTGTGATTTTGAATTATTTTTCCTCGTCATGGGTACCTCTGTACTGACCATGCCCTTCCTCAGAGTCGATCCGACAGAATCCTCACGTAGCGACTGCGGAAAAACGCTGAAGTGGACTTTGAAATTCTCAGCTCGAACTCCGAAAATCCGCGACCATCGCTCGGATAGATCGATGATGTATTTAAGACGGAGTTGGTCGCAAATAGATAATTGCCCCAAGTGAGATTCCAGAATGTCCTGGAACACGGATTTTCCTCTTGCTCAAATCGTGACGAAAATACTCTGAATACATACATATATCTCTGTCTCTCTCCCCATCGCTGTCTGGAGGATCCAATAATTTATATCTTGACACGAGCGGTCGCCTAAGCACCTTGGAAGTGATCGCCAACCATTGAACGATCCTAGGACACTTGTGCGATGCCTCTTTCTTGAAATGCCTCCCGAGGATCAGACCGAACACAGCCCTCTCCATGCGAATCATTCGTTCCCGTATGCGACCTAGATGGATTCACAGATTGGAATGGAGCATCCCGAGTGAATTGAGCACAGGAGGTCATGGACTGCGGATAATCACCCAAGAGATACATACACGAAATCAGGCATAGAATTTTCACCTTTGAACGCCACCTGTGTCAAACGGTAGGCGTACAGATTCAATCGTCTCGGGTGATCGTTGATGATGTTCTTCACCAAAGGTCTGATCCTGTTGAGTATCCCCGCGAGACCAGATATCACAGTACCGCTGCGCACGTCAGGTGGCTTCCGAGCCTATCAGAGCAAACGAGTCACCTTCGTTAGCGATCGAGAGTTCAGAGGATACATACGTCGGAGCAGAATCACTCAAAATTGCCATAAATTCTTCGATGAATACCGCGCATGGACAGACCGCTTGGACGTCATGGTGGGTCACGATCGGGAGGCTGCCGTTCTCCAGAATGAAGTCGACATCTTCCAGCCGTAGTCTGCGTTTCACGAGCTTGAAGGACATAATTCTCGATGGAGCTTAAGGTTATTCTGAATTGAAATAGATCGATCCTGAGCTAGAACAAGCTCTCCCACTCACTGTACTCATCAAGGAGAGAGCCTCGAGCAGATGGAAACGCGCCTCCATATAAGCCAGGATCTGTGGAGGAGAACATGGACGGCGCTTCTGATTCCTTTCTTTTCGCTCCCCACGAATATTTTCACGTCCGTAAGGCTGAGAGCCATACCATGAATTGATGTTGTGGATCCAGGCCGTTGAAGGACTCCGAGGATTCGGGGAAAACATTGGTAGCCGAAGTGGCCGTGATTTCGGAGAACTCCTTTCGGAGCTGGAGCTTCAAATCATTCAGCAAACGAAAACGGTCGACTGACATTGCGGAACTATCAGCTCATAGCAATTATTAGAGTACAGGTTCATTCAATGGGAACGAGAAGAACGAGATGAACATTGATCGTCACCAATGAGATCTCTCAAGTTTCAAGCAAATCGACAAGATTCTCACATCCACACGCTTGAACGACCGACCTAGGAACTGGGGGGAACTTCCAGGTTGAGGAGAGACACGTAGGCTCTTCCTAGACTCATTGCGAGTCTCGTCGAGGTGCAGAAGAAGGACTGAAGAGGGATTTACGGATTTCGCAAGCCAGGGATTCTGTTCGAAGTCGAATCGCCAGAGAAGACAGAAGTCAGCTGCTTCCCGCCGTTGATCGGATGAATGCATTCTTGGACTTGACGGACGTGCGCGATGCTCGAGACTTGTGAAATTGTGAAGAAGTCACCAGTTGAAAAATTCGACTTTCTCCTTCTCGACAGAGAAAAAACTATCGGAGTCCCAAAGACTGTGTCACATTGTCCAATTTATTCATTGTTCTAAACATACATTAGCGGGGCTCAAGGCAGCCTTCCCACATAGCCCTTTTTCTCGACATAAAAGACCGAGTCTTAAGAATGATGACGGCAGACTTCCGCCTATGCTGCCGCCGATCGGCATCGGTAGAGTCAGATCATCGGGATTTATTCTCGGGCAGAGGAGAGAAGAATCACAGAGAAGTCTCTTGCGGATTTGAATGGACCAAAAAGGGGAGACTGAGATATTGGTCCCAATCGTCGCCTCATGGTGCGAGGAGTTTGTGACTAAGTTTGTGCTTCTGGCGCCTCGATTCCCTTTCCTTCTTCCGCTGTTGAATTCCCTCGAATATCGACAATAATTCTTTGAAATCCGGACCGCCCTCCGAGCTGAAATCGAAAAGCGCGATTTCGTAGCTTCACATGTCTCCTGGTATCGAGTGTGCCGGTCCGGTTCAAATCTGCGCGAATCCCAGTTCCATCTCACCTTGGAGGTTCCCCCTTGAAAGACCGCGAAGTCAAGTTCTGATTCGGTATGCACATGAGCCGGGTCCGGAGCAGGAGGAAAGCCTCGCTCTGCGGCAAGAGCATCAGCAGACCATATAAAGCTTTCACGAGATCTTGATTTTTTTCCGGCTCGAGAAGCTGAAGTCGGAGAACTTGTGGAAAGAAGAATTTCGATAAAAAGAGATGCAATGTTGGGATCTCGCTCGAGAGCACGAGTGTGGACAGTGGACGAAAGTTTTGTTAAGGAACTCACACGTGAAAATTGGAGACTCCACGAGCTGAACCAGTTTGTCGACTTCGACAAGAAAGTCTGAAGTGACTTCGATTTCAGCGAATCTTTGGAGCAGCTCACACGCGTGTGTGTAATGCTGTGACAATAGACACAAAGAAACGACAGCCAGCGGATGATGACACCAGACTCTGTACAGACAGACAAAAAGCTCTTTCCTCGGCTGTAAGAGAGTTTGAGAAAATCAGAGAGGTGCTCAGCGGAAATCCTCCCGAGATACGATCACTACATAGCTTCGATGTGAATGCACGCTTCCGTCTGGAAATCTGATGCGGACTCACTTCCGTATCTAGTTGCTTCAGAGATGTTCGCAGTGAGAACAATTCCGAAGTTGTGAGCAAAATGGTGTTCAGAGTTTTCACCATGTGCTCACTGAAACGGAGATCTTCTTCTTTCTCGAGGAGTATTCCCATAGAGCGATAGATGTCCTCGGGCGGCAAGAAAACACACAACTGTCGTATGATGAATGAGCCGCGTCTCTCGAGCAACCTGCGTATTGGGTGCAATGAGTGAGTACAATGAATGAAGAGCATCGTGGACGAGTCCGGGTCCGAGCACCATGACAGTCTCAGGGAGCTGGAGCTCGCAGTTCGTACTCACTTCTGATCGTTCCTGAAGAGATCGAGCAAAGAGTTCATGAATTGTTGAAAGTAGTCTTTCTCATCGTTCGTCGTTTCTTTTTTAGACATCTCCGAGAGCACTTCCAAATCGAGTAACACAACCTCATCGGCCTCGTCCGAGAGTACCTGAAACGCATCGAAGTTTTGGGTCCCTGCACCAATCGAATGAATACCGGACCAGCAATCATCGTCACCGAGAGCTTACATTGAGCAATATCGGAAAGACCGCGTCCATATGATTTTGCATCTTAGCAGGGAGCTTGCAGTACAGATGCAAAATCCAACGGAGCACTGCCATGCGAGTCTGCGTGGAGTCGTGGTCGAGGAACTCTCGGAGAACAGAAATCACAGGTCCGAGATCTGCGTCGAAGTCCTCGCCCTCGGCGGTCACCAGTTCGAGCATTCTCTCGTTTATGTTCGTAGCGCATCTGGAGATCTCTCGCTGACTTTCTGCAAAACGTCGAAATTTTCCAGAGTCCGCGCGGTGCTCTCACGGGGAACATCCTTTGACTTCGACCTGAATCGCATGAAACAGTGTCAGAGCTCCGGGGCAGAGGTAGACATGGATTACCGTATCTGTTAGGGAGCGTGGGGAGAACGGCAGTGAGAATTCCCGAAGTCAGGGGCAGGAGACTTCGGCCGCTCAACGTCACGAATTGCTCGAGCCACTGGAGAGCCGTAAGTTGAACAACTTCCACGCTGGACTGGGAGTGGTCGATGAGGGTCGCTGTCATATCGACGAAGCTTGAACAAAGAAAATCTGCGCTCAGCGAGATTCTTCTCGATTGGCGATTTTCCGCAGCATGGTCGGAGGTTCTCGTTGATACCTTGTGCTCTGTGGATTCTTCTTGATTGTCTCGAGAAAGCTGTCCAGGGTACTCTGACAGTTCCGTTGGAGTGCCGGATCCGCCAGTATCTCGAATAACCCATGGAGGATCTCCGGCAGGAAAACCAACATGTCGATGTCTGGCATAGAGTTCATGGCGGAGATCTAGAAATCCGGAATTCCGAGCTTGAGACAACTTCTTCGGAATTAGTCCCAGGCTGAATGAATCAATGAAGGAATGAAAAAGGCGAAAATTAATATTCGCCCACACGGGATCGAATCGAGGAACTCACCCATCCGACGAGGAATTGGCGGGCCGCAGTGCTCTGCGTCATTATGCGTTCTCTGAGCATGGTCATGAACGATACCAAATCGAAGGCCGGACTCTCCGAAACTATGTCCTTCATGAGGCGATCCAGGGCTTCGGCACCTGATCTCACCGAGCCCTCTTGATCTGTCGCTAGGCGAGCCAAGGCATCGAAAATGTGCGTGAAGTAAGGCAGACATCCACCTCGCGCCACTTTTACGATGTTGTAAAGCGACTCGCACGCATGGTACCTGAGGTTTGCGGTTGGTAAGATTGACGTTTCTTGCGGAGAAAATTGAATGAAGCCTCAAGAGAGCGAATCTATCATCGAGGACTGGACTCACTTGACTCTGTGATCCGGATCGCTGAGACAAGCGAGCACAGGGGTTATCATTTCGTCTAAAAATTCCGGGCATCGATGTTTGAGTTGTATGGCCACCGCGGATATGCCGAGGAGTCCACCTTTTCGGGAGTTCGAGTTCGGCGAGAGTGCGAAATCTTGACCGAGGATTTTCAGCATTTTGCGTATAGGCGGGGTATTGTTGCGCGTCAAGAACTCTTTTGTAGACCTAGAATCGTTCCCGGACCGTTTAGGAATCGCAGCGGCAACCAGACTCATCACTCTGGGGATCCGTATCTCCAGGGCGACGATCGCGTGCCGGCTAACGTCGCCACGAATGTTTGCGAGAACACGTGACGTCCTCGTTCTGGTTCGAAAGCTACTCCTCCTCTGACTGTTCAGAGAACTCCCATTGAGGGGATGGGATTCAGGGCCCCGTCACGCTCCCCTATTATCCTTTGGGCTTCATCGGAAATTGAGTCGATTAACGGATTCTATCCGATTTCGAACAACGAGATAACTCATCAATCCCGTCAGTATATCAATAGGGCTGCGTCTATGTTACGTCTCTAAATCCTCGACCCAAACTCTGCCAGTCGATCACCTGACAGGCAGCTAGAGCTGTCAGAGATCCACCTACTTTTCTATCTCGAGCGAAGCCGCCTTTCGCCGCTCGTAGATTTTGTCCGACAGTGCTCGCGCACAGTGCGGACTGAGCGGTGTGTATTCTCGCTCCATCAGCGTCCCGAATCCTAGAGCACGGGACGGAGAGATCAGAAACTCGCGGTCCACAAGATTTTAAAGCACCATTTGTTGACTCGCCCAACGCTCTCAATCCCCATTCCTAATTCCAGCTGATTAAATCTCAGAAGAAATTCGCCTAACACACGGAAAGCCGGGCTGCCACCGCTGTCAAAATCTATCCTCCTTTCTCTTTCTCGCTCGCTCGATGGAGACGAGTTGCGCGAAACATCCCCTGTTTCTAGCGATCGGAGCGTGACGCTCGCGCATATAAAACCCTATCTATGAGCCGAGTGCACGCGACGGAGATCGCGACGAGGCAGTCCACATGGGCGGCGAGAAATATTATCATTGACGATTTTGCTTTGTAAAACGAAACAACCTTTTCTGTTTGTCGGGAAGAGGCGGAGTTCAGACCGCCCGAGATCGCAATCATATTCGAGGAATCCCTTCCTGGAGACAACCTAGAATTTGCATTTCGCTCTTCAAAAGCTCGTCAAACATGGCGCGCTGAAAGGGTGTCAAACGTGGGGATGAGAGTTACGGTACGGGGACCCTCGCGCGTGCGCGAACCTCAGCCGCAGCTCTGAAGGAGCTCACAGCATCATTGAGCACAATGTCTCGGGTGAGTTTACCTGATGTAGTTTTTGAATGGCGATCAGAGCGGCCGAATTTCCTCGCTGGAGATGGCGAGAACCTCCCCGGAATCCGAACGGTTTCCAGAATCGATCAGGAGGCGCCGGGAGACTTCAAACTTCTGAAGGAGTCGGGATTGCGAACGCCTTGAACCTCAGCGAGGTCGAGCGCCAACGACGTTCGATGCACGTTTGTCTCTAGGCATTGGGCAGCTTCCGCTCCGGCTATGATGTTCCCTGAGAAAGTGTTATTTTCATTCACAGGATTGTGGGCAGATGCCCTAGAATGACCCCGTTGAGGAGCCGAAGGTTGTGAAGGAAGGCGCGAGCATTTGCATTGGGGGAGCGATACAACGAAACTAGTGAGATTAAATTGACGTCGGAAGCTACTCTTCGCTCTGCTCACGATGAGGATTCTACCGATGGAAAGCAGTTAGACACCGAGTGCTTCACCCCGATGCCTTAGACACGAAACTCTACCACTTGTTGGAGGTGCTTCGCATCGCTGACGAAAAATATCGCCTGGCCACAATAGTGAGATTGTGGTGGAGGGACCTATAGTGAGATTCGATATCGAGTGCGCGTTCAGGTGAACGAGCCCTCGGACGCAAACTCTCCGAAACAGTGAGAATCCGTCAGATCCAAATGGAGCCAGTGTACCAGCAGCAGCAGCAACCGCTGCAGCAGCAACTTGGAGACACTCAGACGCCTCCCCTGAGCCAGCAGCAAACGCAATACGGTGCAGCACAGACTGCTGCTCAGGATGCACCGTCGGGTATCGCGGGACTCCTGAAGCAATGGATGGCACCGATTCTAAGGGACAGCCGCGAATTACTAGTGTCAAAGCTGTTCTATCTCTTCTTCTTCGCGGCTTTCGGTTCCCTTTTCCCCCTGCTCGGCGTCTACTTCAAGCAACTGGGAATGAACGCGCTGCAGTGTGGCATCCTAATGGGTAAGGGAATGCGTTTGATTTATCGTTTTCTCAAATGGCAGAATCGGGTCTCCGACGGGGAAGTCATGAGGGGGTGGAGGTGTCATGGGGCAATGTCAGGGACCCCGAGTTATTTCCTTTGACCCGCTCCAAAGCTTCTCTGGTGGGACGATTACGGGATTACTCTTTTCACCGATCGCACATTCTACAGGGCGGGACGCATTGATCCCCCCCCCATCCCGAATATTCCGTGACCCGGTGGTTCAGGAACAGACTGAGGGAAGTATTCTGAAAGGTTTCTCGAGAAGTCGTGCTACCAACGTCTCTCCCTCTTTCTCCTTCAGGGATAAGACCACTCATCGAATACCTGTCTTCACCGTTCTGGGCCGGGGTCGCCGAAAAATACAGAAAGGGTAAAATGATTCTACTCTGTTCCCTGGCATCGTGGCTCCTGTTCACGATGTCGTTCAATGTTGTGCAGCCCGCCGCGACGTCGTGTATCACATTCAATAGAACCCACCATTTACTCTACCCACCCAACACGAATGAAATCGACTTGTCCGAGACCGAAGCTGTCAATATTCGACCCAAAAGGGAAACAATGACTACTTTCTGGCTGAATGACGACCCCGATGTTGAGGATCTTGTGGTGAGTAGAACATATTCTTCACGAAGCCATTAGAAATACAGCTCGAACTGAGTCCACCCGCGAGCTTTCACCAAGCTCTCGCCGATGATTCCTGGCGAAGTTTGCTGGCGGGCTTCTCCGATCGAGATCCCTCCTGGGGGATTCTCCCGGAGATTACTGTCAGGTATATCCGGATGTGACCTCCGACGTGCACCTGAAGCATGGTCAATTCAACAATCACGGCTTTTGCCTTTAATGAACAATGGAGCCATCGAAGCATTGTTCGGACAGTCAGCTTCCAGATTTGTAATTCCGCAGCTCCGTCGAAAAAACGTCAGTGAAACACCTTCGTAGAAGTTTACGCCCTCGCTATTCATGTTCGTATCTCGCCCGGAGAAGTCCGAGCTCATTATTTCGCGTGCGACAGTCTAGAGAAAATGGGTCGGCTTTTTCCGGCCGTAAACACGATTGGGGAAGCGAGAGGTCTTCTCCCGGTTTTGATTCATTTGTCGGCCGCCCTTTGATTCAACAAGTGACGATGCCTGAATGAGATTGCCCAGATGATCAAGCGGTGGAGTAGCGGGGAGAAAACGGAGGATTCGCCTGGAGGATGCGATAATGCCGAGAAGCGCCCGCGGTCTGCTTCTGCTTTCCCCTTGTGCCTCCTACGGACAATGATTCGACCATCAAATCGTTGAGGTCGTTACTCAGGCTCCTGCTTCCGCTCAAGATCAAACCGAGGGAGTGATATTCCCTCATCAGCCACACTGACACATCGATGCTGCCGATGCAGAACCAGATCCTGAGTCATAATTTGTGGTTTCGAACAGTCGATTCCGGGTCGATCAGTCTATTGTGATCGGGGTCTGATCGATGAATGCACAGATCACCGTGAGCCCACGCTTACGTAGGTTGTGGTGTGTAGCTAGATTGGTTGGTTCGGAGTTCCTTTTTATCCTCTTCTCTCGCTCTAGGACTCTACATACACGGGAGAGGAACCTCGTCCGAGAGACAAGCGGGGAGGTCCTCCTCAGCATTGGAACCATCGCAGACCAGGTCCTCCTCCGCCCCAAGGAGCTCGTACTCCTCTGCACAACCGGCGACGACCCGCGCAGCAGCTCCCACCGAATTACGTGATCGGCAAATCGCCCAATACCGTGGAGTACACGCTCAACTACAATAAGGAGAAGCATGAAACTTATGTTTCGCCCCCATTCTCTTCTGTTGTCTACCGTCTAGAGGACGTGCAGGCGGCTTTCTTCCTCATGATACTTCTGGTGATCCTCGGCGAGTTCTTCTCTTCACCAGCCATCACACTGGCCGACTCGGTGAGTGCATCCGACTTCGCCCTATTCTTTCTGTCGGTCGAATGACCCGCCCACCTTTCAAAGTTCCCCCGAGAGGCCTTACTCTATTTCTCCGGAGCTCCGAGCCGGTCGACCTTTCCGGAAGGCCGGAAGTGTTCCCCGCGGAAGATCTCGTGGCCTCCTTGCCCGCATCGATATCCATTGTGTCGAATGCGAGTGCGATCGGAAAGGTAACATTAGACAGGAAGAAATACCTCTCGGAATGCGAGGCCACTTGATGTTTGTTCGCCTCAACGAGCTCGGTTTGCTCTCTCGGCTCGAAATAGCTCTCTCCGGGAAACACAGGCATGGCAAATAATATTTGATATGCTATTTTATCCTGAAACGACATGCCACGTCTGCAGCCGCCCGAGTTTCAGTCTCTCTAGAGACCTTGAACGAGCACAAACATAAGCTGGCCATCTGTATGGCTCGCACGACGCGACCGTCTGTCGGAAACCTCTGGATGCCTCCGCAAGCCGAGCTCTTCTTTTTTTTTCTGATTCGCGGCCCGCTCCGCTCCCCGGACTCCAGCGGGGTCTTCGGACTCGCCGCAACTTCAAAGGAAAAACCTGCGTTTGGAGAGCAGGCGTCTAATTTGTTTATGCCCATCTCGTCGGGATTCCTCGAGATTTGCCTCGTTGCCGAAAAACATCAAAGAGACTGAGAAGCTCCCCGGAGCCGGAGCCCTTCTGTCTCTAGAACCTCGCGGCTGACGAGGGGTGTTGACAAAAATTACTCGCTTTTTGCGGAGCTCAAGTGAGCATCTCGGAACTTCTATGGATCTCTCGAGCTGAACGCAAGTGTTCGCTGACCGATTACGTCGAGAAGGCATGGACGGCGCAGCGACCGAGAGCACCGGGGTCAGAAGGAGCTTCGAGACCCCTCCTTCTGTTGTGGACCGGGAATGACTAAATCCGAAATCGAAATTCCAGGTTACGCTGACTTATCTGGCGGACCGACCCGACGATTATGGACGACAGAGGATGTTCGGATCGATCGGATGGGCTGTCGCCATGTTATTCTTGGGAATCGCGTTGGATCGTTCCACGTCGTTCTCGGCCCATCCTTGCGCAAAGCCCTCCGACCGAGAGCGCAACTACAACGTGTGCTTCGCCACGTTCAGCGTCCTCATGGGTTGCGCCTTCGTTGTGGCCACTCAGTTCCGCTTTGACTACGAATCTGAGAACCCAGGTAAGAATTGTCCCTTTCCTTTCCGCGAGCGATCCAGTGAACATGATCAGAAACTGCTCCTTGTCGCTTGTAGGTTATGGGGGAGCGGCCCAGGATGAAAAGTACGATTTTCTATTCCCTGCAGAACAAGGGGATCAATCCGACGTCCAAATGAAACAGCTCAGAGCAGGCAGCGTCAAAGTGAAAAATTCTCAGAGGGGTTTCTCTAATGAGATCACGATTGAGGATATCGCTCCAGGAATACCGACCGCCGATCAGATCACTACTGACCAACAGCATGCGGAACCGGAACCAGCTAAAGTGAGCTTCACCTCTCTAGAGACGGATAGGGACCCTCCAATCGATTAAAACGACCTAAGCCAAGGATTGGGCAGATTCGCAACGTGGACACCTCCACTGAGTCTCATAACTTTGATCGGGCTGTTCTCGATGTTTCAGAGCAACGTCTTCGCTCACCATATGCGACACCTGCCGCAAATCATGTCCGTTCTACACACCGTTGCCACTCCGCGTTATGCGACATTCCTGCTGGCCGCCTGGTGTATGGGTTTCGGGATCGGGCTTGTGTTCACTTTCCTTTTCTGGCATTTGCAGGATTTAGACGGAACTCCCACTTTGTTCGGTCTCGCTTCCGTTGTGAACCACATTTCTGAAATCGGGGCGTTTTTCTTCAGCTATAAATTCATTCGCAAGTGGGGTCATCAGAAAGTCTTGTGTTTCGGTTTGACCGGGAACGTTCTCCGATTTCTCTATTTGGCGTACGTATCGAATCCCTGGTTGATTCTCCCGTTCGAGCTCCTTCAGGGTGTAACGCATTCTGCGGTCTGGGCAGCGTGTGTGTCGTACGTCGGAGCCGCGACTCCCACGGGTCTCCGAACATCCGCGACTGGAGTCCTCCAAGGACTTCACCACGGATTCGGCCGAGCGAGCGGCGCTGTCATCGGGGGCTTCATCATCACCCAATATGGTGAGTAGAGCTCAAACTTGAAAGGCTCATCGAAGCATGAGAGGGATGGGACTTTATCTTGAATTAGCTGAGAGCGGTTCCGGACTGCTTCGGTTCGTATTTTCTCGCCGATGCCGATGCGTTCGATAATTGACCCCGCTCTTTCCAGGGACTCAAATGACATTTCTTGGGTATTCCCTGTGCTGCCTGATCGTTCTAGCGGCCTTCATTTCGACCCATTATACAGCGACCGGTCAGGGCGAACAAAACGGGTTCATGGCGTTCGAAACCGACCACCCCGCCGAAGGCGCCGCGGGAGCCGCTCATCTGGCTCCTCATGGGGTCCCTTCAAGTCCGATGGCTCGCTCTTTGTCGAAGCAAAACCTGGGAAATCAACCGACTCAACAAGCTGCCGATACTAAGTCACAAACTCAGGGCGGATACCTAGCCGTGCCCTGAGAAGTCTCGAAACCTATAGTGAGATTCAAAAGTGAGATATTTGTCGACCGCGCACTCCTCTCCATCCCCCTCACGTCTTATGACGGCATTGACGAGCGCGGCGACAGTTACGAGAAGCTGAATTCACTCTCTGATTACGGGAAAAGAATTTCAATGACAAACAACTCATCCATTTACCCATTCCTCGGACTGCGAGAGGGACGCATAGTGAGATTACGCGCATCATAAACTGAGGTTCCAGATTCTCAACTACTACTAATTAGGCATTTTTGTTGTACATATTCTTGCCCAAAACTAATGAGACCATACACACGTGTGGTGCAGTGGAAGCATCTGTTCTTCAAGCAACCCGTAATTCACAAGAATGCTGCCCAAAACCAATGTGTCACACGAATGTAATTACGGGACGAAGATTAACCGGAGCAGAACGCTTCACCAGGCTTGATCCGATCTTGGAGACCGGAATCAATCACCCCTATCTTATCCAGCGAATTTCTCGATAAGGAAGGCGATGACACCTCGATTATGAGCCGGGACATGCATCCGAGGCCGTTCGTTCTGCATCGGGAGGTCGCTTTCGGCTCTCCGATGTAGCGAAAGGTATCCCATGCAGCAGTGATACGATTCCAGCAATGACTTGCACTGTGGTTGACTGGACTGTACGCAGGAGCGTACGCAGAATTTTTCCTGGGAGGGGGGGGGGCTGGTTTCCGATCCGTAAGAATCCAATATGGCGACCCGCTCCTAAACTTTACCATGAAGAAACAATGTCCTGGGGGAGGGGGGCTATAGTAGCCCATACAGCCCCGAGGTGGATACGCTACTGACTGTACGTTAGCTTCAGATTGCATTCGTTATGGAGCGACGTTCCATTCTCTTGATGGAGTCGCCAACCAACTTACAGAGACACAAGACGGCACGGGGAATAGTGCGGAGATGGTTGATTCAAGAGACCGGGAACTCATTCCTCGAATTCTATGGGAGTATCCAGTGAGAAACTTATGTAGCTGATGGATTCGTCGTCTTTGGGACGAGTCAATGACGAGTGGAGAGATCGCGAGCGAGCCGAATTCGGTTATAAATAGTTCTCATGCTGTTCAGGTGAAAACCGGTTACCTCAGTGCCCTACGTTGATTGACCAATGTTGTTATATTCTCTTCTTCGAGATCTATAGACCTTTGATGCTACTCCTCTCCTCTATGTCATACGAGCTGCTTAGCGTATCGGAGTTCCTGACTCATCTGAGCCCCATCGAGATCGGGATAGTTAGTAAGCTCGTCAGCGAACAGAAACTCGAGTCTTCTATCAGGAATTCCGACGCGAAGTATTGCTTGAGAGACGGGAGATTCGAAGTTAGGCAAGACGGGGGCAGTTCCCTCAAGAGTCAGCAGTGAAAAAAAGAAAAGTGAGATGTCGACGCTGCCTTGGAAAACCAAGGGACTAGTGAGATTTTGATGGAGTTTGGGTCATTGGAATTTATATAGACGATGGTGAATGCGGTGATCCAGTATCATTTTCGTCAACTCATGTGTAGACCTAGACTCGAAGATTGACTGATTGAGTAGCTCAAAATTGAAGACTTCACGGTGAGAACCCCGCACGGGATCGAGGGAGGGCCAAGCCCTTATCCTTACAAGCGAGAATGCTGTTAGACTCGAGAGCGGTTTTTCGGCCACCCTCCGCGATAAGTGACGTGAATTTTACGTGACTCGGATTCGGTTCCCGAGGGAGAAGCTAAGCCCCGATGGTATGAGGCGACTCACATCGTTTACGCAGGTGAAATTTCTCCGTAATGAGAGGTAGGACTATATGACGCCGACCTCGATGTGAATCTGATTCCATGTTCATATTTATAACGTTCTGTTCATCATTTCACTCACGAAGCTAAATGCACTCCATGAGAGATCAGATAAAAGCGTTTCCGTTATTAGCGATGAATGTAAGAATCACTAGTCTGCGTGCGTGAGTTCAGATCGCCGGTGATTTCGAATCTCGACCCGGCCTCGGCTTCCTGAAATTTCACGTCAACTTACTCCGAATCGTCGCAGCTTCCCTCTCATCGACGTGTACACGCTGCCTACGTATCCTAGATTCCTCTAGTGTTCAAGACAGATAGGCGATCGAGAACGAAGACTAAAATAAATTATTGACGGTCAGGGAGCGCCAATTAGGGCCTTAAAAAAGCAGGAAAATGCGAGTCGGTTCGAGGAGAATACAGCCCAATCAACGGGTATACTCATGGGTATCTTTACCGTAGCATAGAGTCATAGCTTGAATATAGCCAACATACTGAATTCCATGATGAGTCAATACACAGCGACTGGAAGAGGATAAAAAGGATGACAATAAAATTAAATTAGACGAGAGGGTCAAGCGTGTTTATTCTCTCAAATAACTCCACTATCGGAATGATCATGTAACAGCACAGAATATCGTAATGGGGAGAAGCAGGGGACTTTCTCTCAAATCGCGTCCACATTCACAAAACTTCGGCGATAGGGGCAATTTACTCAATTTAGAAACGTAGCTCCACAGAAATTTTCGTTCGCCATCTCTGTGCTTCAAAGCTGGCTCTGAGGGAGCTCTCAAATCGTTTATTGTACAGTATTGGGTTCACAAATGCGACGATTATCGGAAATATAGAATTCCTGAGGCTATCATCTGAACTTCGATTGGATATCATGTGAAGAGGAGGAGTCCAGCACCACCTTCATTCGAGGAGTTCCGCGGGTATCCATTCCGTTCACAGGAACTTTGCCAAAGCGCCGATATCGTTCGCCAAATGACGGCAGTCGTCAACGAGTTTGACTTCTTTCACGTCGATAACCGCTGTATTGAAGCGACGTTCATCCTGGGGAGGAAGGAAATGGTTATCGGGCGCTGTTTAGGAATTTTGAGGAGCTGACGCTCGCTTGTCGATGGGGAGCCTACGGAATCACTCACCTGGTAAACCTCCATCCGACCTCTAAACTTGAAGTGGAATTGTTTGAACATAGCATCGGCGAAAATCTTGTCCATCTCGTCAGGATTGTTCTCGGAATAATCGCCGAGTGTGGCGGCAGTCACCCCGAGTATCTGTTCAGCTTTCTGCGGAGGGAAGCGATGGATTTATATCTCATCGGAAAACATCGGTTTCGGAACGCACGACGGCTTCTTCGTCTTCATGCTCCGATTCGGTTGTAGAGCATATGCGGAGAACACCTCAGACAACCTGTATGGTGAAAACTGCCCTACCTCATTGAAAGCCGTGCACCAAAGCTGTTTCGTTGCATCCGCCACGGCCATTTTCAGGACAAGCCTCCATTTGAAATTCGGTCCAGACGTTGCGCATTTCTCACAGGAGTAATTTCCATCGCCTTGATCCTGAGCTTTCTTCATGCAGTTCTCATTGGGGCACGCCTTGTACATGGAGGTTTCTTTGTTGAACATCGTTATAGTGGCACGGTTCCAGAGATACAGCGGCTTGTCGGTAACTCCCGATAAGTGCTCGCCACGTTTGGTCATAGCCTCGAAATCCACATATTCCGCGGAGTAGTCGGATGTTCCACCGGAACCCCGGAGGCTTTCGAATTCCTGGCGTTCGCCTTCATTCTTCCACCAGGCTCGGAGCTCCCTGGCACGGTCGATGTCGGGATCGATTTCTACAGACGATCCCGTGCTGGTGGCGATGCTCAAACCGCCATTGAATGTTGAGATCCGCGCTTTCGAGATCAGGACGACTGGGTGATCCGTACGATCAATTTTACTGATCGCGTCATTCCAGAGGGTGAGCGAGACGACCTTGTTGGAGGTATCCACTATGAAGGCCTCGCGCTTCGTGAATGGTTTGCCGTCAGATTTCCGATTGATCGTTTGGATGTCGCCGACGCCTTTGAGGATTCCGCAAACGTCGATAATCTGATCGTCGGGCATGGTCTCGATATCAGAAATCTTCACAAAAGAGAAAACCTGCTCCGGAAGATCATCGCACACCTCTGTGCAGAGCTCCACATTCGAGAATTTCCCGAGAGTGAGCTCGTACTCGTTGTTGGTCGTCCTAAATTGTTTGTTTGCCGATTTGCATTGGAATCCGGAGATGTAAAATACTTTTTTGACCTCGATGTAGTCGTAGAATTTGTCGCACTGCTCGTTGAAGGCTGTGATGCGAATCTCGCCGCTGTCATCCAGAACTTCAAACGAGAATAATTTCCCACGGCTGCTCGCCTTCTCCCATGTTTTGATATCTCCCTTGCTTGTGACGCGACCGCGAATCGTGCACCGACTTTGGAAGGGATTCAGCGCGATGATGGGTGTGATATTCATCCTGGACGACGGGCTCCCCTGGGACAGGACTCGTGGTACTTTCGCAGGTGTTGATTGATTGCTTTGCGAGCTGTTCGAGTTCTCTGCAAGGACTGGGTCAGTCACGTGACTGTCTGAGAATACTGCCAGTCATATCACCCGCCACCTCGATATTGAATTGTAAGAAATTACCTCTCTTCTGACTTTCTGTCGGTTTCAAGAGCTCGTCGCCGACATCTTCGGCTAGAGCAACAACTTCGCACTCCATCAAAATTATTATGGGTCTGCGGAGGAGAGAGATTCATTAGACTCCCGTATAGATTATCGACCGACAACCGAGAGAGTCGATTCCGTGCTCCGCATGTCACATTCGCCCAAACTACATAGATGTGTAAGGCTGACCTGTCTTTTGTGATCGTGAGGCTGAATGTCTTCACTTTGATGAGACAGTTCGGCTTGAGCTTGTCTTGAATGGGGGGTATCGCTTGAGATGAAATCATGCCATCTGCAATATGGTGTCAATAGCGCAACTCATGACCAAGATTGGGCGAACTCATCGAATTTGTGGTAACCGCAGAATTCACTCACAATTGAACTGTTCAACACCATCCCAGAGATAAGCTCTCAAGCGGCAGTCCTTCACCGGCTTTAGATCCTGAAAGAGAAATGGTAGCTCCTCGGTCAGTGTCAGGATCGCACCAGATCTAAGCGCTCATCGATTAATCAAAGATGACGAAGTCCGAGCATTGAAGAAGAAGTCGCCGAGGTCTCGCAGTAGGAGTTGAGATGATAGTAAGCATGAATCGATTGGAAATTCCCCTGGACATCTATGTTGAGGGCCCGCCAACAGAACAAGGTGCCTCAGAACTCCAAGTGAGTCGTCTGAGGGAACCACCCGAAGATCCTGCCTGCTTCCGTCCCAGGACCAATACTCACCACGACCTGCAGGATCGGCTCCTTGACTTCTTCTTCCTTTTGCATTTTCTGAAAGCGATTAAGAATGAAGGTTTCAGTCACGCATCATTCTGAACACACTCCTTTTCTTTCCAGCAGAGCACTTTCATGCTTCGGCAGAGTCACTCCGGTGTCTTGCGGAGGCTCTAATTCCGAATCTGACTCACCGCAAGAGCTCCGCAGGAGAGCATCGCCGCGTGCTTCGGAGCCATCGGAAGATCTGTTCCAGCGTTCCTACTTGACGAGATGGAAAACTCGATTCCAGACAGAGCAGCACAAACACTGGCAAGTTTTGGCGCGAACAGCCTCTTCCCACAAGCCGTGATTCGAAAAACAACAAGTGCGGCTGCTAAGTGTCGATACGTATTTATCTCTTCCGTTCAATCATGCATTTTCTTGCGAACGGGCGGGTTGGGAGCCGGACTTCTGCGCGGTGGAGGATTCTCAGCCTCCTTGACTCTGCTCCATGGAATGATCAGTAAGCCACGGCACCAGGACCTTCCCAGTTCCACTAGGGAAGATTCTGTGAGGTAGCAGACGAGACTCCGTCGAACGCTGATGACTGTGATCCTTGCTTTGGGACGACGAAGCCAACGACGAAGCTCAGGCATCCGGGCTCGAAATTCATACAGTCGGTTTTACGACAAAATCAGTGAATTATCATGATACTATAGAATAGAATCCGAAGCCGCTCGCTTGCAGTAAGAAACTGGTGTATATAGGTCGGTTGAGCGAGGTGGTCACGGGTCACGGTACATAAATGTCTGTAAATTTCACGATAGTCATAGAGCCATATATTCGAGCCGATTTCCAGTAGCGATCATCCGCGCAGGAGGTTGAACCTCTCACAATCAAGCTGACCGGAGATTTTTACAAAACTCAGGGTAAATATTCGGGTGAGACTCGACGCACGCTCGCCATAGATTTGGTCATTCGGTAATAGCAGGATGTCTCCTTTGTAAGTGTCGATGGAGTCTTCATAGATCATCGTGGAGGCCAGGAACGCCACACGCATGCATATACGGTGAGTAGGGCTGTAAGAAAATCGCGGAAGTCGCGGAAACCGTGATTTTCGTCAGTATTCAGCGAACTCCGCGATTTTCGTCATTCTCAGATTTTATCATAGATTCCCCTTTTCTCGGGGAATGACGGGAAACGTATTTCGATCAATGAATTGAGTTACGGCTATCGAATGAGCTCCGAAACTCCACGGGGCCCGCAGAGCTCTCAGTTAACGCTCGAGTTCTGTCCCGAGTTTGGAAATACAGCTAGATAAAGATCCGCGACGAGGGAGGAGCTCGCCAAGCATGGTTGTTCTGGAGAGCCGCTCTTCCAAGCAATTTCGAGTGAAAATTGACATTTCCCGCGATTCCGAGCAGTTTATGTGGTTTTTCGCGGTTTCCCGTGAATCCACCGCGATTGTGTCGCGATTTCGGCGATTTTTCTCCGCGACAAAACAGCCCTGACGATGAGCCCAGAGCCGCATTTCCGGACAGAAGTGGACCGGGGGAAGGTGGCCGAGCAACAGTTCCGATTCAATCTCTTGATTGTTAGAACCACGACAATCAGTCTCCTCCGAGCTGCCGCTCACGTACTCACTCAAAGAGGAGAGGCATGTAAGAATATATAAGTCACAATGCAGAGTCCTCAGAAAAGGTCCATTCCCTGCGACTTGGGACTCAATTAGCTCCCACCGCTTTCTCTTTGCTGGAAGATTATCTCTCGGAGAATAGCGTCTCGAGCTTCCCATCTAGGAGCAGCCTCGGAGGGTCGCTCCGACAGACACAATGGCGCCTCAGGGTGGGTCACACGAATGCCGCTCAGCTAGAAATTTCGGGTCATTCGAGCTCATTCGCCTCGGCCGAGCATCGGGTGGGACTCGCCCCGTCCTGAGTCATCCTCATCAATCCAGTGGACATTCCATCTTCGAGTCGTATAGCGTCGGGGATGTCTTCCGCGGATGTCGCCACTAATGCAGGGAATCCGTACCCAAAGTCCGTAGCGCCCAGGATGCTCTTGTCATCCGGGCGGCAGACTTTCCTTCGGAGTAGTGATCAACTCGATCCTCACCGTGACGGAGTCAAGAAGTGGAACTCCATCCGGAGCGTTCACAATAAGATCTTTCGGCGGGTAGTGGGAACTGAGAAAGCCCATCTCGACCCGTAGACGTCCGATCGATCGAGAGACGAGGGGTGATATCGAGGGAGTTTCCACTACATCAGGTCCATCGATTGATGAGTGACTCTTAATTAAACCTCCCTCATCTACAATGACATTTCGAATATTGGGAGAGACCCTAGGGGCGATGGCCAAGCTGGTCGTAGACAATCGCGGCTTTGCGATTCGTCTGTCTGGGCCGTCAAGTCTTCCTACAATGCTTCTGCGTCGGATGTCATCTCTGCAGGGCTTTATTCGCGAAAGCGCGGTCTTTCCCGTATGATACCCTCAGCTTCCAGGGTCTTCGCATTTGAGGATCACATGCTCCTGTGTCTCATCTTTTCAACCGCACCTCGATTAGATCGCTCCGATGTTTCCAAGCTGAGACCTGTATGTCCTGGCCTATTAACCACCCGCCCTAGCATCGGCTAGGAAACGAGTGTCTCTCAAAATCACGTTTGTGCTCGATATTCCCTCGCACCATTCCGAAGGTCCTGTACCGTTCTAGGGTTGTTTTTTCGGACATTCACTCGACCCACTCTCGGTCGGTCCTCTTTCGGAATCGGGACTTCATTTGGAGAGGATCGAAGAAATCCCTCCCATAGCTCGCCAATTATTCGTGCAGGGAAATACATTTCCGTGAGCTAGATTCGGTCGTTCCGGCCGTCAGCTCATCAGGGTCCTCGATCGTTTATCAACGATGGTCGTTAATGCCGTCCCCGATTGGTCACGAAATCGGTCACCCTTGACACGCTCGTATGTAAGACTCTTGCATTAGTATCTACCATCACTCCGAACTGCCGGAGAGACATGAACCTCCCTCATGGATTCCTTTCGTTGGTATACCGGTACGCGGGCGACAAATTATTCAGCGACAGAATAGCCTTGATTCATGCATTTTAGTCTGTTTCCATCGCGTTGCTCAATTAAAGATAAGTCCATCTTCTCCCTTCCTCCAGCGAGTCATACTCAAAGGAGGGAAGATGTACCTACTGAACGAGACCCCGGAAATCACGGAATCAGCCTGATGCTCCCAATTTCTGAGACGCGCGAATCTTTATTAATTTTCTCAGAACTGCAGGAGGAGCTAAGTATGTACAATCACAGCAGCAGTATGTGGTGTCATATCATAAACCAGAGGGCCGTTGCTCTTCTAAACGGATTCAACTTTGCCGGAAGTGCAAACTGTTCGCAATCTCACATCTCACTGAGCCCTCTCGTCATCAGTGGATTCCGTCGAAGATAAGATGATCGCTGCGATCCGATCCCATTGAACGATGAAGGGGGTCTTGTCTCCCGTTGGTCAGGAAATCTTTCGTGGCAGGGGCCGAACATCGTCACGGAAAAGGAGAAAGTTCTCGCCGGGGAGGAACCGACTCCTGTCGATGAATTTCTTTCACCGTGTCATGAATAATTATGAAATCCTCTGGAAGCTATCTCGGATACCAGAGCTCCGACTGAGACTGCTATGCCGATGGTGAAAATCACAACACGACCAAGAAAGTCTCGGAGCTTGCCGCGTCCGATATCCTTGAGGGCATCGATTTTGTTATTCGCGTCGCACTTTTCTTTAGCTCTCAATATGTACTCCGTCATCTTCTGATGCATAGATGCTTCCCGAGCTAGCAATGCTCTGCAATAGAATGCAAAATGAATCGCATTGCCGGATTGAAACAGATACCCGATCGCGGTCGCTTAGCACTTACACGGATCTCAACTTCTCGCGCACCTCTAACGGCAACTCACGCGACACGAGAATCGAACTGGCGGTCATGCCGGAGCTTTCGGTCGTCGTCATCACTTGCGGACAAGTTCCAGAATTATTTCCCGCACGTATAATCAACGCCTCACTGAGCTCAAATGTGCAAATTATAACTTTCTCCCTATCTTGGACCTCGGTCACCATCCTAAAGAGAGCGGGGTTTGGTCTGAATATGCCTTTTACTTCAATAAGTCTCGGACTCAATTCGCGGAGGATATCACTTTTTGGGTCCTGAAATGGATAATCGAATAATCGGTACCTTCACGACCTGGATCGCTCCCTGATTCTCTTCATCTCGGAAAGCGTAGGGACGCACCGTGAGCATCCGCGCGAAAGAGGACTCCGCTTCAGCATAGATCCCAACGTCTGGGAACCGCTTGATATCTTGCAAATTTTTTACGAAATCCTCGGTGTCCCTCATGGTCATAATGGACGTCAGCTTGCTGCTCAAGTAATTCATGAGGACGACCGAGAAAGTCATGAGGTAGGTCGCCAGAGAAATACGGAACCAGTCATCTTGGCGCGGGTACGCGTCTGGATTTAGTGTGATTGATAAGAGATCTTCCCCATGGAATCTTCCACCCTCCCACTTCACTCCCCAGGAAGAGCGGAGTTTTGGAAATCTTTCACGATCTAAAGACAGGACTGACCTCGGGGGAAGAGTCGTTCGAAGAAGGTCCATACGAAGTGGAACAAAGATGCTGGCAAGCATCGCTCCGACGAATGACACGGCGAAGTGAAATATCTGCGCGGGAGGAGACGGAATTTTCGGACAGTGGAACTCTTCGTGGGCGATTTGATAAAGAGATGAGACAACCATTACCTGTCAATGACGCAGCAAAACACAGCCAGGAGAAGTATTGTGATCAGTATAGCCGACCAAACCCCGACTGAGAAGGCAGATAGAGTACAGAAGGGATGTACGACCTGGGAACAACGTCGGGTATCTGATACGACACTATCCCTCTTAGTTCTACGGTCATAGCTCATGGCATTCAACATGGGGAATCAGGCGCCTCAAATCTCCACATGATGTCGAGAATCGGTTTCAGATCCTTGCCTTCAGAGGTCTCCACGTCAGGAATCGGTAGGATGAGACAGTCATAGTCAAAGGTTCGACCAAGTCGAATCTTTCTTCATTCATGATGGCGGGTCCCAAAAATACATCCACGCGCTAAAGGCGAAGGGGAAATCTCGGGAACGAATGTCTCCGCGTACCGAAGAGGGGGAACTAAATGGGGAGCTTGCGAAAAGAAACTCACCCTTTTTTGGAATTCTCCCATGATACCGGTGAATGTTCCATTCTCGAGACGAATCCCGTGCTCGAGATTCCCGGCGAGGACGACCGTGACACTGTAAATTGTCTATTGGTTCACCGTCCACGAATAAGATATCGATATCTCCGACAAACTCACTTGCAACCGAGGAGAGCTGCGAATGATTCAGCGAATCCTTTGGAGGATCCCCTGAGTAGGATACGGTTCCCTAATCGTTCCACATGAAGGAAGGGCGGGAGCTAGGAAAGGAACGCGCGCTGATGTTCGCTATATTCTCCCGGAGCTGGTTTTCGAATCTATCTGGACCGGAAACACCGGGAGAACGTGCTTACATTTGTTGCAGCGAAACGCAGGAGTTTATCCGTTGCATTTAAGTTGGTTTGATACGGGAAGACTACGGGGTCCATTATAGCCATACTAGATAGCTAGCGATGGAGAATGGACTCGGAACCGACACCCTGTCGCCAACGCTAATGTTCATCGTGACTTGCATCAATTCAGTCTCGGCGAAGCGACGATGGATATTGGATGATCCCTCGGCCAGCAACACTGCGCTTTCTGCCGCGGGACAACATCAATTGATCGATCAAAGAGGATCCCTCGAATGAGAGCACTAACGGGAGGGCGCCCCGAGATGCACCTCACAACGAGTCTCTCAGTGCTTACGTACACGATACTGAGTTCAGCGGGTTCTCCAGATCCATTGAATCCTGTCGGCGGCATTCTCTCGGATTTCTGTCACACGGCTCTAGCAAGATTACTTGTCTGGGTTCCTCCCTCGCGGGGAGACGTGGGGCTCGAGATTCCTCAGGCGGTCTATCCTCCAGTCTTCAGGTTGACACGGAAAGAACGCCGTAGTCCATTTCTTATGATCTCATACTCAGGACAGGAGGTCGCAATCGTTCGGGGAACAAGCATTCATTGAATTGACCAATGCCCTTTATTTAGTCTTTTATATATAGAGAGGATTTGAATCTACGGGTTTTTAAGTTGAGGAATCATTCATTGCATTTCTCCAACAAGGAATACACTATTCCTGCATCGCATTAAGGTTCAAAAAGGCCCTTCGATGCAGGTCCGGGGCTCTTTCCCATGCCGCGTCAGAGGAACAAGGTCTACGATGAATTCTTCACGGGTCATTCTTCAAGCGTCGAATTATGAACACACAAAATATCACGGTAATTTCAAACCATCGCGTCCGTCTCACCGATTTCGCGACCGTCTCGCTGATCTTCGATTTCGCGACCGATATCATACGGACGCCTCGATACGACCCGGGCTCGGCATCTCCCCGGCTCCGCTCCACATTTCTCCGTGCGCCGGCGGAGAACTCATGAACCCCGCAAACACAGGCGAAGCTGGATCCGGGGGCGACCGAGTCGCCGCCCCGCGTCGCGTTTCGGCTCGGTCCGCTCAGAACGGTCCCTGGTCGTTCTGTAGAGATCGAGATATGATGAATTATATTATGGAATGGTCTTTTATGGTGTTCAGTGTTCAAACAAAGACTTCCCGATCTGAACTGAGGCGCGATGTGTCCTTCAGGAGGTGGGGTCTGAGAGTTCCGCAGTGAATCGTTCCTCACTCCGATTGCTTCGAGATTTTCTCGATGGCGAACACCGCCGTCGCCGCGGATAAGCCTATCGACCACAAGAAAAAACATCCTTGTGTATCGGTCATTGAAAGCGACTCTATTTTCTGCCAATCCTCTGCATTCGAATGTCGGAGGCATTCTTCCACGTCTCTGAGAGTCCACTTGATGTGTTGTTGGAGGAGGAACGCTTCTGATGATATCAACACCCTGGAATGGATTTCGTGATTGTGGAGCGAACATACGATTTTCCCCTAGTCCGTCCTGAAAATCTCCCAGTCAATGCATGAAGAACTTTCAATCCAATCGCCCGGTTCATCACACAAACGTATGGCGCCGGCTCCGGTAAACTCATGTATTATTCCACAAGAGCCGCCTCTACTTAAGCATGAAATATATGGACTGGTATTTGTGTATTTTGCTTGCGTCCTGGACCGAGTCGGGAAAACCGGCGGGCAACTAACCCCTTATTAATCATAGAACGTAGATTCCTCGGTAGTCTTCGAGAAATGAATACGGAACCGCTCATCAGACCCGCACTCCCGGATGATATCGCCACGCTTGGGCACCTCCCCGTTGCCATTTTTTCGTTCAGGATGAGAGCTTTACACAGTGTCGGACTCGCAACGATCACTCCTTGCTTGGCTTCTGTTGCGACAACAGCCTGGTGTGCCCTACTTCTGTTCCTCAGAAGTCCGCGGACAGGACTCAGTCTTGAACTAAGTTTCCGATAGAGCTCATTCTGAGGGTGCTGGAACCAAAGAAAGTGGAAGCGTGAAGAATTCTCAGAATACGTTCTTCTATATCTGATGAGACACTTTCTCGCTTCGACAAGACGTATTAAATTCGTAGTAGGTTTTCTCAAGACGTGCTCTCACCGTGAAGATCTGCGTCAGCCACGATTGTGCTTCAGCGAAAATCTGAGCTCTAGGAAATCGAAGGATGTCGGCGTACTCCGTCACAGTATCTCCTGCGTCCTTGATCGTCATTGCTGAGGTGAGAGCGCTGCTCAGGTTTATCATGAAGAGAGTAGAGAAAGCGATCCAAAAAGCTATCTGACACATTCTGAACCAGCTCGCTCGTTGTGCGTTCGAGCCTGCAATTCAAGCACGTACGTCGGAAAGTCCAAGGAGCGTTGGACTCTGTCCTCCAACCGGAGGATTCTAAAGGGCTCTCGCTTACATTCAGGAAAGAAGTACGTGAAAAACTCCCACATGTAGAACGACAAGGACAGTTGAGGCTCCGTCCTCCAAGGCGTCATGTACCTGGGGAGAGCGGCATGTTCCCGTGTCGCTTTGGGGCATCTGACTCCCCAATGAGCCCGAAGAGAGCACCCCAAGCCGATCATAATTTTCACCTGGGGCTCAGGAGAATAATTTTCCATGGGGAGTCCTACCTGTCAACGACCCAGCTGAAGAGCACGAGCAGCAAGGAAGTGATCATCAGGGAAGCCCAAACTTCTGCATCGAAGGCTGACACGAAGTTGAAGGGATCTATCATCTATGAAACCAGGGAGCTCAGACAGGAGGATTTCAATCTGACTGGAGACTCCCCGGTGGAGAGTCCCAAGGTGGTGACATCCCATAGATCAGAGAGGGAACCAGACCTTTCCAGGGGACCACGTCAAAAGATTGTATGTGGAGACGGAGAGGACCGAAGATTCCACGATCGGGAAACGGTCGTTATTTTGCAGAGCAGGACCCATGAAGACGTCGATTTCCTGAATATGAATGGTGGAAAGTGTTCATTCAGGGTGCTTGGGATAAGGAAAACCCATTAATGGAGGGGCTTCGGGATACATAGTCTGAATGAAGTTCCTCACTCCTCGCTGGAACATTCCCATGATTCCTAGGAAGGTTCCGTTTTCCAATTTTATTCCGAAAGGAACGTCATCAACGGAAACGACGGCTAATCTGCAGAGAGCAAAAACTTAACTCTGTTTTCCACGACGAGCGTTCACGATAGAACTTTCGGAGAGCGTCTACGTCACTCTGACCTGTGCTTGGTCATGGCTTGAATCGCAGACGCTGCCTGCGAGAGCGCCCCGTACATCTTCACGGAGTTTTGAATCCGCTTCTTGTCTATGAATGGATCGACCTGAATCATCGGAGAGCTTTGGCTTAGAGCGACCGGTCTTTCTTCGAGCTCGTTTCCACTCTCCATTCAAATTTCGATAGACTGCGAATGTTCAAGCGATACGGGCCCCGAGGAAAGAACTAATTTCCATTGGAAATATATACATCTAATAATACATCTATGTTCTATATGGTAGAACATCTGAAAGAGGGCGGCAATTCCGATGTTCTACATCGCCGAAGAGCATTTTGAAGAATGAGGAGTTTGGTGTTCAGGTTCTCTCATCCAACCCACCTGGACGATCGCGAGGCGAAGGAATTCATCCGATAGATTGAAATCTGCTGAGAATGGGAAAACCTCGAACTTGAGATAGTTCATCTGGAACGTCAGTTCTGAGAGCTGCTGAAGCACATGACGGCCCGGGCAGCATCAGATGTCCTCAGCGAGATTGCGGGCCGCATTCGCCGCGGCGACGCCTCCGGAGGGATCATTCCTGCCCAATATTCCAGTACATAATATGCATGTCTGCAATCATCTCGAGATCAAGTAACGATCAGTCATCCACATCATTGGATTCAGATTACCTCGGACCTACTCTCTGCAGGGTCCGCCGGCTCAGATGCGAATTCTATCAATAACAATGAGCTCTAGAGACGTTCGAGGATCGATCCAAGAATTCCACGAACATTATCAGTGCCGGAGCCGAGTCACAGTCGATAGAGAAGACATCCTTAGGTCTCGCCTCCCGAATTAAGAAAGGCTCACAATGTGTCTGACAAGAGATATCTGACGAGTCGAATAATTCCCATGAAATGCACTCGCTCGCTGCCTTCGTATGATAACCGACTGAATCAGTGCAGCAGCCTACCGGAACTCTCCGCTCACAGAACAGTAGGTCGCTCATGACGGGTGTGATAGTCAGAGGGCTTGAACCTCGTCCCAAATGGATTTAGAAACCTCTTGTGAGAACCTGTCTATCTGGAGAGCAGCGAGACGTCTGCCGCGTGACGCTGACCCGTTGGCGAGCATGAAGCTTCAGCAGGACCTTGTGTAGCTTTTCGTACTTCGAAAAATATTTAGCCACCTGAGCTTTTGCATTGGAATCACCGCCGTACTTGCCGAGGCAACGACCGAGCCGTATAGGTTCGAAAATTATTCTCTCAGGCAACAGAAAAGAAGGCGTTCGGTGCTCTGATTGTAAAATAGATAAATGTCGAACGTGCTGAGAGGTGTCGAAGATGCAATCTACAACCATATAGAACCCATATAGAACAGAGTATCAATGAGAGAGCCCATTAGACCGTCACGGCAATGCATGCCATTAATGGCGATGATAGCGTCCTGTACTCGAACTGCTACAGAGTTCCATGCCACTCGTTCATCCGAACACTCGGATCCGTCGAAACTTCGGCAGCGGATCGATATGTATCATATTCCATGATGAGCATCGAGGGCAAGTCTTCAAGGACGTTTTGCGATCGGCTTCGCATTTCCCTGCTTCATATTCATGTATTCAAGACATCGGACCGACCCCACCGTGAATGAATCTTCAATACAAGGCGAAATAACTGCTCGACATATCCGTCCGCCATCAAAGACAGAATAGCCGGACATGCCGTGTCTGCCGATCGTCCGATTCACGCACAACCGATCAGATCGCTCGGTCCCCAGCGTGAAGTCACAGACGTTCTCTCCGTCAAACTTGGACAGTGGAAAATTGTTTTCTCTGTCACAGAGAGGGGCCCTAAAATCTCCAGGGCTCTCTAGGCCTCCGTTCTCGCCGTTCTCGGAAATCATATCTGGCGAACTCGATTTTCGAGAGCGAGGTGAACCTGGGGTTCGGAATATCAGAGACATTGCTTGAGCAGCTGAGTTCCTCTGCGAGAGCCTACGGCGCGGCGGTTGCCCAACAGAATTCCTTCCCAGCCCTCTGCGCTCCGACGCTGCGTTTGGGGCTCGTAGCCGCACCAAAGATGCAAAACAATATCGGAGAAATCCAAAACCGTTCCGACAAACAGATCGGGAAAAGTTATCGAGAAACCCTTGCCAGCGCAAGGTCCTCCGCGAGTACCGTAGCGTGCCATAAGCCGCGCAAATGAGATCCCAAAATCTATCGGTCAGTAGCAAGCGAACGCCACATGTCTTTGAATGCTGGTGCGGGTATACAGGATCGGGACGAGTACTGCTTTACGAGTTAATATTCCTGGAATCTGGGTTCGGGTTTCTTGGGTCTGACAAGAAGTTGGAGGTCGGTAGAGAGAATCCAAATCAGGAGAATAAGGAAAGGACGCGATGACGCACGACGGCAGCTCTGACAGAGGGCAGGGGGAGTGGACGTTGATAGAATTCAGCCGGCGGACCGACACGGAGGGTCGGAGGCGGAGGATATCGGATAGGTTCTCGCGGAGTCCTCGCCTGGCTTATTGCCCGTCGGAAGTTCAAGATTCTGGATATATCCCCGTATGAAGCGCGCATACTACTTCGCCCCGCACCGAGAGTGATCTCACCGATCGATACCCGTACTCTCCGGACTTTCGGACCCGCTATCACAGTCAATCGCTCAGAGAAGGTCTGAGAGAGTTTCGGGGTCTGGGACGTCGAGTCGCCGAACCCGCGTGCGGAGTCTGTGAGCGGTACCGGATACGGGAGTATATTGGGGCATGTCTGGGATAACTCCTCTCTAGGTCCTGCTGTTTTGATCAAGTTTGACAAACAATCGTATCTGTATCGAATCTCTATCTTGAAACCGCTTGGGGGTTAGAAATGCGGAGTTGGTTCTCGGAATAAGCAGGCATGCTTGAGCTCTAGACGCCGAGAGAGTGTACCTCCATGACCTCGACAAGGCATCTTCATAAACATCAGAGGAGTACTTGCGTCAGCTGTAGAGACGAGAAATTTCAACTGATCTTCGACTGTAAGTACCCGATATTTTTATCCATGAAACCGTTGAATGGGGGTTCCGCAGATAATCCAGATGAGTTCATGAGTCGTAGATATTTCCTTAATATTCGAGCTCGCATTAGAGTGAAAGTACCGTAGAGGAAAATAGACGCGGGGAGTAGTCTCTGATTTTCCCCAGCCATGGTTATGGAGAGGTCTTTAATTCAAGCTCTGGTGTCCTTCCCACAGATATGTGGCTGAAACTCCGATGAAAGACGCCGCCTTCCTACATTACATCGAGTCCAAAGTGGTCGACGGCGGAGACACAGTTACTGCGAAGAATCTATCCGCCGAGCTGGGCATAAACCTTCGCAAAGCTCAGAGTTTGCTGACCGACTTCGTCAGGACCTCGAAAGCCGATCTGACTTATTATTTTGTGGAAGTCGGTGATGCGACGGTCTGTCTGAAGAGCAACAGGAGCTCAGAGTTTTCACCCGAACACGTCGTTGAAGCTCTCGCGCCGGACTACCGAGCTGAGAGTCTCGTTCGAAGCGATCTGGAATATCTGTTGGAGAATCGCTTAAGAAACGTCATACGATTCTAGAGCTAGGGTCTCGAGCCTGCTCAATAGAGTTCGCCAAACAGCATATTCTCGCAATCCGGTCAAAATGGCTGAGGCATCGCAAACGACCGACGTCAGCTTCACTTGCCAGCGTTGTTCGATGCCACTGAAATTGGACGAATCGTTCCGGACTGTTGACGCTCGATTATGTACAGAAATCGCAGCTCCCGTTGTTCTTCTGAAGCCCTCGTCGCAGGATGAGCCGCTGGTATTGCCCGAGCCGTCCACGGATGACGACACTGTTTGTAGAAAGCTGACGGCACCCCTGCGAGTGGTCGAGAGCGAAAATTACACCGTCGTGGTAGGAGACAATGTACATAAGGAACCAGGTAAATTTTCGCAACATTTTGAGATGACAGCTCGCTTATTCGACGTCCTCACCGACCAATCAGAAGTGGAGCATCCTCTGTGCGAAGAATGTACCGATACGTTAATAGACCACATGGAGAAAGAACTCAGCACGGCCGAGAGCGAAGTGAGTCCAACCCCTCTTTATCATTTCTGAATCAGCTCAGCCGGGTCTCGTCATCCTCGCCAATGCATGTGAATTAAACGTGAACCCGGTCTCCGCAGGTGAAAGACTACAAGAGATACCTCAGCGAGAGGAGCGACAACGACGAGGAGAGCATCGAAGATCTACGAGCGGATCTCGCCAAACTCCAGGCCGAGGAGAAGGAACTGATCGAGACCCTCCACAAAGTTGAGAGCGAGCGCGCCGCTGTCTTTCACAAGCGAGACCTACTCTTGCAGGATAAGAAACGGCTGGAAGAAGACGAGAAGAAACATTTCAAGGAATACATGGATCTCAAACGTCAGTGGATTTGCGCCAGCGATGAGAAAATCTCCGTCGAAAATCAATTAGCGTACGCACAGGCTCAGCTTGATCTGTTGGCGAAGACGAATGTCTTCAACGCGACGTTCCACATATGGCACGACGGTCACTTCGGGACCATCAACGGATTCCGACTAGGGAAACTCCCCGATATCCCAGTCGATTGGAAGGAGATCAACATTGCGTGGGGACAGACCGTGCTCCTGATGAACTCACTGGCAAAACGGCTGAGTTTCTCCTTTGGGAAGCATCGCTTGGTGCCCTTCGGAGACAGATCATATATCGAGGTGGTCAGTGAGAAAGGAACTGAGAAACTACCGCTATATCACACGGGGGGTCTGCGTTTCATATACGACGTCAAGTTTGATTTGGGCATGGTGGCCTTCTTGGAGTGTTTGTCTCAGTTCAAGCAGGAAGTGGAGCAGCGCAACAAAAACTTCAGTCTTCCGTACAGCATGTTGGATGGGAAAATTCGTGATAACAATTCCGAGAAGGCTTTCTCGATCAAGTACCAGCTCAACACCGAGGAAGAATGGACGAAGGCGCTGAAATTCATGCTGACAAATCTGAAATGGGCTGTCGCGTATTGCAGCGCTAGTTCGAGAGACGCTCCAAGTTAATTCAGAATCTAGTTGCGAAGGAGACATAGTTGTTTTTTCCAATATCGATGCCACGCTGGTGTATCCGTGCCTTTGGTGATCGATACTTCGCTCTTCAAACTCTGAGATGCGAAACTTTTGTAAATGGTTCGTCGGTGGAGAATTAATAAAAGCCCCCGATATATTCTCCTTCCCTGTCATCTGTTGTGGGCATATTTCTGCTCTTCGATTCCTTCCTTACTCGTCAAGACTGATCACTGGGCCTGTGCGTTTTAAGCACGAAAAAGAGTGAGATATGCAGGAAAATATGCATGAAAACTGATGACCCGTTCCATTGACGAGGCATCAGTCCCATCTTTCCATTGATTCACGAGAGGAAGGCAACAAGCACGGAGAAGCCGTGGAAAACGCTCGAAATGCGGGACAAGCCTGGAATTGCAGCATATGTGAAGATCCTGAAGCCGTTGAGATGTGCATATATGCACGTAAATGCGTAGAATGCACAACCCTACAGATCAGCGATCATCGAATGAGTAAAAACAGCATACAGGTCGTTTTTCTTCAAGCAGCATTAGCCTCATTTATTGTCATTCACTGGAAAACACATCGAGAAAAAATTGTCTTTCTTATCATCTGCAGGACTTGTTTTTGTTTTTAAATATTTGGTTTCAACGCTCGATAACTGTAATAGTAACAGATGCGTCATATCGCAGACCAGGAACGAATTATCGACGATATGGAGTGCGCGGGAAATTCTGAAGACCACAACGGAAACTTTAACGACGCTTCACGGCCTGACACTTCCAGATGCATTCTCGAAAAACGACAGTCGACAACTCTCACTATTGAAAAGTGTAAAACGTGTTCGCAATCCTTTGGGAACCTCCAATGCATCCATGGTACTTCGAGATGAAAATTGAGACGGAGCTTCGATGATGAATCTCGCTCTGCAGAGCGGTCACCCTTGGAACACCAGTTCTGTATTCCTGTAGGCATCGAGACTCATTCGTTTGGTTGTCTCGAGTCCTTTCGACTCGAAACTTCATTCTCACTACCTACAAGGGCAATTCGAATTTGACGTCGATCTCGGCGCTCCTAGCAAGTCCGACGATCTGGGAAAGCTTGACAGCCATCTTGGCAGCTTCATCCAAATTGTCACATGCGATGATCTTCAATTTCGAGGCAGCTATCAGAGCCTTGGCATCGTCGACCTGGAATAAAGGGCAACATCAGAAATCTGCCGTGGTGCTCGGATACGAAAGTCCCCATGGGATAGACGCGGAGGCAAAACTCTACCTGGGTGCCTTGAAGCCGGCAAACAATCGGTATTCTCAGTTGCAAAGTCTCAGCGGCTTTGATGACTCCCTCTGCAATCACGTCACAGCGCATGATTCCTCCGAAAATGTTCACGAGGATGGCTTGCACCTTTTCGTCGCTGGTGATGAGTTTAAAAGCCTCGGTGACCTGGAAGCAAAATTTAGGGATTCCGCTCAGGATCGAGTAAGAGGTCCGTCCAAGTTATGCTCACAGGCATTCGTCGGTACAATGGGGAACTCCTCAGGATTGGAAATAGTCTATTACCTGTTGGGCGGTGGCGCCTCCACCCACGTCGAGGAAATTTGCAGGACTGCCCCCATGCAGTTTGATGATGTCCATCGTTGCCATGGCGAGTCCAGCTCCATTGACTAGACACCCGATGTCTCCATCGAGAGGAATGAAGTTGAGATTTGAGTCGGCCGCTTGCTTCTCGCGGGGATCCTGCTGCCCCCAATCACGAAGACCGAACAAGACCTGGAAAATCAGTCAAGTGATTACCCTCCTGGGACATTCCGGCGTATGCCTGGATTCGACCCATACAGCTTCGGTCCCGACTGGCGGTCAAGTCATCAACATACCTTTTGTCGGTACTCTGCGTTGTCATCGAAGCGGCATTTCGCATCGAGGCAGTAAACAGTTCCATTGTTGTCTTCCACCATCGGGTTGATCTCGATCATGGTTGCGTCATATTTGCAGAAGACGTCGTAAAGCTTCTCAACCATGACGACAGCTTCTTCTAGACTTTGGCCTTCGAAGCCGAGCCGATGGCAGAAGTCGCGAACCTCATCTTTCTTGATTCCATATTTCAGAGGCAGTGTTAGGATGGCGTCAGGGTTCTCTTTCGCGACCTCCTCGATATTGACACCTCCTTGAGACGAGGCGACAATCATGGGTCCGTTTACGCTACGTTCCATCATGATGGCGAAATAATATTCTCGGCGGTTGTAGAGACGTTCGCTCACCATGACCTGCAATCGGTAAGCCCAGTTCAAAACAGGGAGCCCCAACAAGACTTCCGATCGGCCAGAGATACATTCTCGCTCAGCGGCACGACACGACAGTACTTGCCTTATTGACTAGAATTCCTTTTTCGCCGGTTTGTTTCGTGATGAGTTTGTGACCTATCATCTGAGCAGAGAGCTTTTCAGCTTCTTCGGGGGTGAAAACGGTCCGAACTCCACCCTGTCGATTGACGAGAAAATATCATTGGATGATCTCGTGGATCCGAGGATCGCCTCGATCTGCTGGACTAGAAAACTAAGAGCTCGCAAGGATCTCGCGACCGATCGAGTGGGATGAGAACACGAACCTTAAGTCCAGAATCGAAGTGTCCTTTACCTCGGCCTCCCGTGAGCACGAGGGCTTTGATAACAAAGTCCTTCGCCTTCAAAGATTCGGCGATCTTACGGGCTTCCAATGCAGTGGTGGCCACTCCGAAGCTGGAATCCGTGAGAGATTAGTTTTCTGAATTTTTTCGGACTCGAATCAATCAAGTATGGGCGATCGAAGACGTGAACGACTCGCTCCCCTCCACCAAAGCTCCGGGATCTCCATGAGAAGAGATTAGAAGATCAGAGGAAAAGCTATACGGCAGCTTGGGGAAGATCTTCAGAGACATGGCCCGAATTCAGTGACGAGCCGCCCGTGGAACCTCGATTAGACGGGTCTGACCGTTAGCCCCTGCCCCAGATCTAATTCCTATACCGCTGACGGCATGACGATGTATGACTGGCTCTGGAGAAACCGTCCCGCATGAGTCTGAGGTCCGGCTCCGCGCCAAAAACCCTCGTCCCATACCATGGGGAATCATACTTCGAGCTCACGTTTCATGCAAGGACGTTATCTGACGTGTAAGGCATCGTAAGAGTCGCGTGACGTAATTTCTATGCCGGGTCGAAGTTCTCGTCGACTAAAACAGTCCCTTCCGTCCCGGAGCAAGTCGATTGATGAGACCCCAGAAGCATCTTGGGCGATACTGATACTCATCCGATAGAAACTCGAGCGAAGGTTAAGATACTCACTTGGGGACCTTGACGCCATTTTCCTTCAAAATGCTCATCGAGTCGCTCTCTAGCAGATTCAGCTGGCGCGTGGAGGCGATGCATACCGCTTCGTTCTGTGGGGTGGAATCAGACTTTAGAGCCGGCACCCCGATACTTTCCGGATCGCCAAATCTTCAAAAGAATCCGCCGAATCAGATTTTGGGTCAGAGAGCTTGCGACGGAGAGGCGCGCAGGGAGCGGGGGGCGTCTACTCATTCAATGACTTGGGACAACGAGTACGGTATTCAGCGATATGAGCGTCCCGCTCATGTCTCACACCCCTCACTGAACGAGTTCAAGGATCACTATCCAGAAAGCAATTATGTCGTAGAAGCGGAAGCAACCCTTTCCAGGGTCGTACAGCTTTGGGAGCTCCACCGGTGTGATCGACCCGGTTTGAGTCATAGTGTCGTTCCCAGAGAGCTCAGCTATGTATTATATGATGCCATAATATTTTGTCATTTCGGTCTGTGACGGCATACGCGACGATGTGAACGGATCAAATACCCGACTTGAGTCTCAGCAGAGAAATCTCTCGTTTTGTGAGATGCTACATTCAAACTTCAGAAATTCGTCCTCACACAGGACCGATTAGAGTCTTGTTTCCTCAGACCGCACCAAAAGTCGCAGGCTGCATGAAGCGCGCAGCGCCCGCTCGTTCACGAAAGGAGTTCCTGAATCTTTGCTAAGCTTCAACAAGGCCAAGGCTGGAGAGCATCCAAACACTCGAATATCACCTTGGTACTATCGATAGTCGAGAACATCGCGAAGCGTTCTGTTCTAACCAATTGAAAGATATCCGACGGTATCGCCACCGGGCGCGCGGTTATGGGAATTTCGCGCGAGGGCCATCGGTTGTCGCTGTTCCAATGGCTCATTACGGAAGGTCACTGAATTCAGAGCTCAGGACAGCGCGGGTATCAACAGATGACAGAGTCTCCGGTCCATAACCTTATGTATTGAATGCTGACATTAGACTGGGATTATAGAGAAACAATGAAGGAAGCCACTGTGACGGTCGTATGTGGAGACACTGCACCGGATACATGCACCGTCACGGAGAGTCGGAGACCCCGGTCGCTTTACAGCCCGGTTGATCATCGCCATTCTGGTCCCCTCAAAATTCAGAACCTCCCCACCGATTTCCGTACGGGCTAAGCGCGTCAAATATGGATGACAGAGGTGTTACTCTGACAATCAGAATAGGGAGGGACGGCCAATCACCTGATCGTAGAGAAAGAGACGACCTTCGAAAAAACGCACTAACCTCGAGTTTCCGCGAGATCAAAGCCTTGGTGAGTCGGGAGCCACTTCTCAACATGATGCCTACGGTTTTTCCGCTATCAACAGAAAAATCACTCACACACAATAAGACTAGACTCGTGACAAACTAGATTCGCTGTTCTCTGGATTCCCCTTTGACCGATAGACCACCGACTGGCTGCAAACACGGAGTGTCTTCTCTAAGAGGTTCCAAAGTGATCGGCCAGACGGCGCTGCGGTGTCCAGTCAGTAAGTAGTGTGTCTGGTCGGCCGCAGCCACTCAGTGTGCAGTATGTATTTTAGACGGCTCTTCTGGCGACGGTCTCTCTACTCGGAGCGTGAGAGCAGACAAGCGGGGCGAGCGCGCACTTCGAACTTTTGAGAACTTGATTCAACCGAAGAGTGAATGTTCCGTCCGATTCACTTGCGTCTTCTTATGAATGAGTCGAATTAGAGAAGAAGGGCAGACAGCAGAGGAGACGCTCGGGTATCAATAAGGACTCACCCCGAACGCTCCCCGATCGTAGCCATATCCGTACCGAGGCTCTGGAGGTTCGTGAGAGCCGTGCCTCGCATCTCTATGATGTAACTCTCGATCATATTATTTATCTCGCTGAAAGAGAATTTACGGAAAGGCCCCTCGCTAATGCGGCGAGGGACCTCCCGAACCGCTAACTCGTTTGCTCGTCACGAGTAGGAGATTTCGCGAAACCAGGAGTTTCTCTCACTCAGACTACGGGAAACTTCTCCTCCCAGAATTTCGAGAAGACATCGAGCTCTGAGGTTCGACAGGAGCTCGGGATCGGAGGATCGCAATCCAGATTGGCTGTCGCGCGGAGTTAGAGAGAGAACCCAGAGAATGTTCGGTATTTTTGATCCTTCGATGCAAGCTGCCCAAATTCTTGCAATCATATCTAGTCCTGCGCGGATTCGATGTGCCCATCCAATCGAGCGACCTGAATTCGTGATCGCTCTCCTTCTCGGAGTATCGTAAGCTCCAGATGCCTGGGTGTCGGATGAAAGGGGATGTTCTCCCCCTTCTCTCGCGCGAACCCGCGCGAAATACACAGTTATAGGGGGTACATCGACTCGTTTCACGCTTCCGCGATGCGCAAGCGAGAGTTTCCAGCAATAAATGTATCGGTTATTCATTCAGCTCTGAAGCGCTCGATCGAATCGCGATACACGAGAGCTCGACCAAATCTCGAATTTGGAGTCGGACGGGATGAATGAATGCCTAACCTATGAGTTCATCGGCAATCCAAAACTCGTCAAGCCGAAGCCCCGATCGAGCTGAAGTTCCCGCTCCCTCGATTAATTATCGACCCGAGAAGAATCGCTACTAGACCCTTTCGTCGCTTACAGCGAGGAGCCGGGTCCGGCAGTGCTCCCTGAATCGAGACTCTTGGTACAAGACACCCCTTCCGAATGGCGGTCTTATTCGGACCGCTCGGCATTTAGTGCCATGTGATTCTGCTCGGTGGAAGGCGTATGAGAGTTCGAAATTTTATAAGAACTTCGATGTTATAGAACTCGATCCAAATCTCTGATAGTCAACGGTCCCCTGCTTCCGAGATGAAGAAGAAGGTAAGTGACTCTGAGCATGTCGAATCACGAGCGTCGTCTATCTCGAAATTGACCAGTGTCTGGAAACTGAGTTGACAGATCGAACGCTCGAGATACGACTTCCCAGTCGAATCCGGCTTTAGCCTGATTCCATGAGGGAGGTCGGAGGATCCCATTCTCGCTGAAGGCCTCGGAGCTCCGGAGAGAAGGCAGGACAATCCGTGGCGGCGATAAATGTTTCTGAATTCTCGTGATGCATAAATTTCGGAAAGCATCAGAAGAAGAGATTTCGAGGAGGGAGGCTTCCCGTTTTCCCTCCGATCGTGAAGCTCATGCTTATCCTGATCCTTGAATCCTGCAGGTTCTCCTCATGGGGAAGTCGGGGTCTGGGAAGACCAGCATGCGATCCATCATATTCGCCAACTATATCGCAAGGGACACGAGACGTCTGGGACCAACGAGTGAGTGAGCCGGGGGTCGAAAGTGATACTCGCTTGAGTGAATCTTTGAAATCAAAGGAACGTTCCTCGTAGAAGAGTCGCCTGAAGTATGTCTGCCTTGCAGTCGACGTCGAACACGCTCATGTGCGGTTTCTGGGGAACTTAGTTTTGAACCTCTGGGATTGTGGAGGGCAGGAAGTCTTCATGGAGAATTACTTCCAAGCTCAACGCGACACGATTTTCTCGAGTGTTGAGGTGAGTCCCTCCGAATCCGCTCCACGACTCAAGTCAATCAGGTCGGTTCGCGGTAAACCCGAAATTCCTTCCTCAGGTTCTCATATACGTATTCGATGTATCCTCCATGGAGTGTGAGAAGGTGAGAATTTCGGCGATGCGATTCTAGATTCATACAGGATCCCTGATGAGTGGAACATCCCATCATGAGGATCACAGGAAACTGCGGGAAGTATTTCGGTGACATTCTCGGATTTCCGCGATTCCAGGATCATGAATATTACCAGAGCTGTCTCGAAGCGATTCTGTCGAACAGCCCGTCGGCGAAAGTTTTTTGTCTTGTGCACAAAATGGATTTAATTTCGGAGAAAGATCGACAGAGTGTAAGTGTGAAGCTCGACAGGTGTGGGTCTCGAATGCGTGCGGTCAAGTGCTCGAGAACTGCGTCTCACCGTTCATGATCTATTCTGCAGGTTTTTGATGGCAGAGTTTCGACATTGAAAAATTTGTCCCGACCTATAGAACCTATTTGTTTCCCAACATCAATCTGGGATGAGACTCTGTATAAGGTGAGTTTCCGACGATTTCCGAATGATACTGAAGTCCGCTCCGGAGCGAGATCTGTACCGTTACACGTTGATCCGCGAATCGGAGTCACGTGCGTGGATGAAAATTATTTCTCTTTGCAGGCCTGGTCCTCGATCGTCTATACGCTAGTACCCAACGTAGAGAAACTCGAGAGAAGTCTCAACAAATTCACTCAGATCATCAACGCCGATGAGGTCCTCTTGTTCGAGAAAGCTACGTTCTTAGTGAGTTCTACATGTATCTCCGCGACCGATTTTTTGGTTCCTAGAAGATGAGTAGGATGTACTCCGATTGGAGATAACAGAAGCCTAAGCAGGACCCTGAGTCAAGTCGTCTTGGAATTTCTCAGATAATTTCTCATCAACAACAAAGGGAGCATCAAGATATCCACAGATTCGAGAAGGTGAGATCATGAAATCAGAGGCTCCACCAGATTGATCTCCTGCGTTCACATGCGAATTCGAACTACTCAGGTTTCGTATCAATGCTCTGATGCCCAATGCTCTCCAGGTATCGAACATCATCAAGCAATTCAAGCTGAGCTGTTCGAAGCTGGCGTCTCAATTCCACTCAATGGAAGTACGAAATTCATCTTTCGCGGCGTTCATTGAAATGTTTACCCAGAACACATACGTCATGGTCATCATGTCGGATACGAGCACGCGTGAGTATTGCTGAAGTTCTCGAAGATTATTTTCGGAGTACTCTATATCATCTCCGTTCTCCACCCGGTGAGTTGCATGAACGAGGATGGCAGGAAAGCGTCCAAGTCGCTCTCTTTCATTCATTTCGCAGCTTCGGAATCTGTTCTTCTGAACATCCGGAACGCCAAGAAGCACTTCGATAAGCTCGACGGAGTTCGAGCCGGCACCAGCAACAACCAACTTCGAAAATAGCGGAGTCCCGGGAAATCTCATTTAACGACTCAATACGTCCGGACCATCGATCAAGGCACTTTATTCTCCCATGACTCGGGTGCTCTGTTGTGAAGCTTTAGTTGTGGACGATATTTTTTGAAGAGCCGTGGTCAGCGAATTTTAATGTGGAAGTACTTGGACGACACTCTCAGGACAACTCGTTGCCAAAGAGTCCGGACCCCACGAAGCTAGTGTCCGAGCAAGATCCCATGTTATCCCGAGCTACTGAGAATGTTTGTAGGGCATGTGGGGAAGTCGCAAGGATGTCGGCTGAGCTCCAACCCGGTATGTAATAAAGGGGAGAACGGTTTTACTCCAACACAGATCATTTCTCATTCATTGGCTGCAGGAGTACACTCGAAGCTCTCAACCGATAGAGTTCCCATTATCGATTCGAAATTCGAAACGGCACGATCTTGCGATTATCTCGATCCATCTTTCGAATTCTCCCCCATCGGGAAGTTAAAGACAACAGTTTTCGAGGTCGGCTCGTCTGCAGGAGACCAGTTTATTGACAACCCGATTCGAACGACTCTGCAGCTGGTATCGCCTCAGATCCCTCTGCCATGCGGGCGATAAGATGAAGCTCTCCAGATCCGGCCGTATGATTCGTTTCACCGCCGTTCCCGACACTGATTGAGGTATCTCTTATTTGCTCCGTCGTCCTTCTTGCACTGCTGCTTCAGGGCGGCAATTATTTTCCTTTGCCGTATCCGAGAGCTCTGTCGCACGGGTCGAACTGATGTATCGATCGAGCTGCTATCCGACTCTTTACCGACTGGTTCTAGCTTCACAGTCTTGACTCTCAGCGCCTCCCGGTGCCGTTCCTCCGCGGCATACAGCTTCTTCACTTCCTCGGGCATCATCGTTTCCAAGACGTAGATGAGTATATCCATCCTAGTGGTCGCCATCGATCTGGTCGAAGATTCGCCTGAGATGGAGAGCTCGAAGTGCTCGAAGTGGAATGACTCGCAAGGATGTTGTGCATTTCGAAATGTCGAACATTCGGCGAGTTCTATATGGCCGGGATAGTGATGTGGAAAGCCGATTCTGAGAGGCCGAAGAGAGTCCAAATCCATTCCGTGCGATCACACCTTGATCAAATCGAGGAACATGATGACTCATGGCAGACTTCAGAGGATCCGATGCCTAAATCTGACTCCCCAGATCTTATCTGACGCTCGAATCAATTTCCGTATCTTCCTGGAAGCCTCCGACAATCACATTGTGAACTTCTACAACAGCTTTGGCTCTCTCCCGGCGATTTACGCTGTTCTTTCCGTCGGAGACTCTATTTTCCGAATATCAGAGGGCAGAAACACATGGAACATCGTAACTTCACGTCGCTCCGGACATTTCGACCGATAGGCCTCCGTTGGGGTCCGTTAAATGAGGCTGTCATGGATCTGATCGGAGACCTAACGGGGTTGACCTGATGATTTCACATGGTCTTCCGTTCGAGCGAGCTCAGCGTTCCCTAAACTGACCGATGATATTTTATTTTCCTCAACGAGCGGTGGGGTCTTCGCTCGCCGGACTTGAGGGCTGAGTTTGAATTTCCAGGCGCCTAGGGCTCGCAGGTCCGTTCAGAGCCCGAGCCTGGAGGTGAAGAAGGTCACTCTCGGAAGACGGGAGCTTGAAATTCAAAATCCCTCGCGACATTCCCAGATCGTTCTGACGAATCGACTTTCGTGGACCTTGGCCCTCGGTCAAGTTCAGACGGGAGAGGAGGTGAGCGGAGTTCCCGATTGCCGAGCTCGTTTGTTATTCGTAAGTTTTTTACAGCCTCGACGGGAGGAGAGGCGCGATGCAGGATGGTAATCTTCAAGAAAATAGATGTCTAAGGGGGGAAGGAAGGCGGAACGATACTCCGTCCGCTGACGTATCCGTGGAAGAGCACGGGGAGACTCCCAATCTTTGTTGACTCACATCTCTCGCGGTTCCTCGGATCGACGGGTTGAGACATGGAATCTTTTCCAAGCCAAACTCGGGGATGGCTGTCGCGGCTCCCAATATCGGTACCGTCGCGAACACATCTGACATACCTGGAGTGTTGTTAGAATATAGCTCGGATTCGAAGCTTGAATATTCGAACTGCTAGAATCCGAAAGCAGCACACTATCTCCGGGACCGGAATCCTTAATTTCTTCCTTTAATTCGAATGATTACGATGAAGATCCGGCCTTTGAGTCGAGTCCAATCCCTGGAGGAATGCTTTGTGGCCGGCTTCCCCGTCGGAGGATTTCGGAATCTCCGCAGCAGAAAAGCTAAACGAATACGATTGGACCTGGAGTCGTTCGTAGCAGATGGAGGGCTAACTGGAGTTGACCCGAAGAATGAGTTTCTGGAGCTTTCGTGTCGCACCGATTCTCTCGATCTCTGTGGCGAAGCATCAAACATCACCTGCATTCACATCTTTCGGCTGTGTCAATCAGCGTCGCGGCGGAAGACCGTGAAATTATCAAGAGCTTTATCTTTAGAAATCCATGAGGCCTTTTGTTTGGTTTCGCTCTTTCTCCACTCGCCTCCAGGTCGCCTCCTCTGCAGCTTCTCTTCAGACTGTGCGCGAATCGAAGGAACGTACCAAGCAGCCAGCCAACAGCCAGGCGCCAGTCGTCAAGAGAGTGAACCTCCACCCTAGCGACCAACGGCCAGGCAAGCGGTTAGGCAGGCAGCTGGATATATTGAATAGACGGCCACTAGGCTCAGCAACGCTTCTCTGACTTTGTGACTCCGGTGTGTGAGTGTTTGTGGTGCTCCGACTGTGTACTCTCTTTCGTTTTCCATCATCTCCGCGAGTGTTTGCAAGTTCGCTCCAATTCTGAGTTCACAATACAGATGGGAGGCAAGAACAAGACTCGGAGGATTCGCTGGAAGCCTGTAGAGATCGGTGAGTTGCTAGAGACCCCTCAACGGCGAGCCGGTCCGTCGCTCGGTCGAACGAACGGGCGACCACGTGGGTCGTGCTCAAGGATCGCGCACCGAAAGTCAAGCTCTCGCTGTTTGCCGAATCGCGCGGAGGTCCATTCAACGGGCTCGCGGAGAACCCAAGAAAAATCGGTACATGTCGTACTCTGTCCGAATCCATGAAATCATGGACTGCTGATCCGCTCTACAGGATGCACCAAACGATTATGGTTCTTCTAGACGTTTGGAGGGCAAGCACTTTCGGATCGATTTCACGAGACCGCTCACGTGAGGGATGCCAAACATTTCTCGCGATCCATCCTCTTAGGTGACGAGCGATGATTCCTGATAAAAATGTGATTAGACGAATTCTGTGTCTGTCCCATGTTCGTATGCGGCGATAAGATAAGATCGACATGTGTTTTGTCTTCGAATGGCTTCCCTTGAGCAGCAATTTGATTCATGCCGAAGCTGGCGATGACGGCGACCCGTGATATTAGTGAAGTCAGCCTTGAGTAGCGTTGAGAACGAATTCTTAACCGAACATTGTCATCTACCGCCTGAGGATGACATTGCGGTCTCGGCTACGAACCTTTGACGGAGAAGCGAGATCGCGCGTCATCAGCAATGGAGCACACGAGCGATATCGGCATCGTCGATCAGCGATCCTTGTCTGTTTTGATGCAGGAGGAATGCTTCCTTCCTTCGGGCTCTGGAGCTTTCGGGAGTGAATTTTCCACGATACTTATGCTTAATTATGGACGTATCGGCTCCGGCCCGGCCTGGATAACTGCTGAGAGACTGCTCGGCTCGGGCCTTCTTCCAAAGAGAAGGGGGAATTCGGAGCATTTTATCGAGAGCCCGCCTTGTGGACTTTGAGCCAGATCAAGATTCTGTACCAAGTCTAGAGTTTTCGGGGACTCAGGAGTTCCTGGAACTTCACCCAGAGACAAGGACCGGGATTTCCGGGCAGACCAAGACCTTCCGGAATCCAAATATCACCCTTTCACTTTTGACAACAACCGAGTTTACTCTACTAATTAGAGCTTGTCCCAGGACAGCCTATCCGGCCATCGACTTCGCACTGTCCCATTGCTCACAGCGGCATCGTCGGCGGCTACGGTTGTGGTCGTTTTGGTGACAACGGCACGAGCAACGATGGCATCTCGCATGTCATTGAGTGTCCTCTCGCTAGCGATGCGCCGGTAGCATCGGCAGCCGGTGAGCTCTTCGGCTGCCGTCTACATTTACGAACGCTCGGTCAATACATAAACGGATTGAGCCTTATTTCGAACCCCGATCGCCACATAAATCAGTGAAAGTGAACGGGGAGCTGTTTCGCAGGGAAATACAATCCAAAACCCCACCCGATTGCTGAGAATTTGCGTGAATGGAGGTAGGGGTGGAAAGTCGAAATGGAAGTTAGAGGAAGCTCTCTGGAGGTAGAGGACCTTCGAGGGTCTCGCGCGTTGACTCGAGAGCTTCTCGACATCTCGACCTTGATCGGGGTGGGCTTCTGTCTGAATCGGAACTCGGCAGCTTTGCCACATCGAGCGCCTAGCTAATTTTTCTGTCTCCGAAGGAATTAGAGATTTTTCGATTTGTTTGATTTTTTCGACTCTCACCTAGCCCATCAGGCATCGCTGCGGAGTCGCGTGTGATCTGTCCGCCTCGGCGACGTAATCAGGCAAAAACCTGCTCGCGCAGCTGATTGATGTTCTCGTTCGAGGAAGGGATCGGTTTATGAAGCGTTTCCGAGTTCAGAACACAAAAAAAGGTGTCGCCTCATGTATTCATCCTGGGAAACGAAAAAACCTTGTCCAATCACTCGGACATAATTTCTCACAGGGGAGAGGGCGGTCGAGGCAGCGAGTGCGAGAGGGAGCAATGGTAGAATCGAAGAAGACTCGAGAATAGAGTGAGCCGACGACTATAAGCTAGAAGGAAGCTTTTGTCGACGTCAGGACATGCCCGGACAAGAAGGACCCTTATTGTCGCTTTCTATTAATAGCGATTCTTTTTAAATTTAGCATGTCCGCTCAGATTCCCTACACAAATAACCTCATCTGTTTTTCGCTCTCCTGAACGAATACTGTTACCGTGGATTTGATGGTTCAGGATCGTTCCGTTAACGAGTCGGCGGCAGGGCAGGCTGCGCGTCTTCACATCGGTGACCGGCAGCGCGATGCAATCAGAGCATATGTCTTCTTTGTGGCCTTTAATTGCAGCCGTCCCTCCGCCGCATATCGTTGATGGCTTTTTGGAAGGATATGCGGTCCATCCCGGACGGAACGTTACATCGAGACGTGGATGTTGTCAAATTAAAGGGGGAAAGGACGAATCGACGAGAACTCGGAAGTAGAACAGGATTTCGTTGATCACGGCCATTGATGTATGAACAAGGCAAGGGGT